ATGCATGCACTGTCCATTGTTTTACATAGAAGTGATAAGCTGTTCTGGTCTGTACAGGTGTAGATGAATTGCATTGTTGTATTGTCTGCTTCTGCACCTCATAGAGAAAAAAGGGCCGTTTTAATTTTTAGCCTCATGTTTCTTGTTTTTTTATAAGTAGGTTCCCTGTTCTTGAAAAGTAAGAGCTCAGTGATGAATAATTGGGTATGTGTTGTTAGATACAGGGAGCATGTTACACTATTTATAAGTACACCAGCTCTCAGAAACAGTAGATGTATAAAAACCCATCTACAGCTATACAAAACTATCAATTATTCATAATATATCCAAATATTTGCAATGAGAAATATTTGCATTATGTGAAGGTTATATTATGTTAAAAGCATTTTAACGGCTGCAAATATTCCTGTCATAAAATGCATGGGATTCTTTTTTTTTTTATTTAGGTTTTTCAAACATGTCTGAAATGTCTGTCATCAATTTTTTTAGGTTGTCCAGGCATCTTAGACTGCAGTATTACCCTCAGACACAGCCATGAAATCTGTGCTGGACGGTGTGGCGGACACCACCTTCCGGACTATTACATCTGGTTTACAGTATCTGGGCTCCAACGACGCTAACTATGACGACCCGCTCAATGATGTAGACTTCAAGGCAGGTTTCTCTCTGCAGAAGCCCTTATCTGCTTTCCGCAGCAACTCCTTCCCTAACAAGGTGCCTGCGGACGAGGAGCTCATCCTCAAAGGCATCCCCTTCTTCCCCACCAACGCCACAGACTTGTTCGGCAACAAGAGCACATTCATAGATGAGACTAACAATGTGCAATGTGGGGAGAACTTTATGGACATGGAGTGTTTCATGATCCTGACTCCCAGCCAGCAGCTGGCTGTGGCTGTGATGTCTCTGACTCTGGGTACCTTCACGGTGCTGGAGAACCTGGTGGTGCTCTGCGTCATCTTTCAGTCCCGCACCCTCCGCTGCCGGCCATCCTACCACTTCATTGGCAGTCTGGCTGTGGCTGACCTGCTGGGAAGTGTCATATTTGTCTACAGCTTCTTGGACTTCCATGTTTTTCACAGGAAGGACAGCCCCAACGTTTTTCTCTTCAAGCTGGGTGGAGTCACAGCGTCGTTCACTGCATCTGTGGGGAGCCTTTTCCTCACCGCTATTGACCGCTACATCTCCATACACCGGCCTCTCGCCTATAGGCGCATTGTGACACGGACCAAGGCTGTCATTGCCTTTTGTATGATGTGGACCATCTCCATTGTCATCGCAGTGCTACCTCTGCTGGGCTGGAACTGTAAACGTCTCAATTCTGTTTGCTCAGACATATTCCCTCTGATTGATGAGAACTACCTGTTGTTCTGGATCGGTGTAACCAGCGTTCTGGTTCTTTTCATTATCTACGCCTACATATACATCCTGTGGAAAGCTCACCACCACGCAGTGCGAATGCTGAGCCGCACCTCTCAGAAGAGCCTTGTTGTTTACTCAGCAGATGGGACTAAAGTGCAGACCACACGCCCTGAGCAGACACGAATGGACATCCGTCTGGCCAAGACCCTGGTGCTTATCCTGGTGGTGCTGGTCATCTGCTGGGGCCCAGTGCTCGCCATCATGGTCTATGACCTCTTCTGGAGGATGGACGATGACATCAAGACAGTATTTGCGTTCTGCAGCATGCTCTGCCTGCTCAACTCCACTGTCAACCCAATCATCTACGCCTTGAGGAGCAAGGACCTGCGGCACGCCTTCCTCAGCTCCTGCAGTGCCTGCAGGGGCAGTGCCCAGCAGTTGGACAATAGCCTCGAGTCAGACTGCCAGAACAGAAATGCCAACATTTCTGCCAACAGGGCTGCAGAGAGCTGCGTGAAGACCACTGTGAAAATAGCCAAAGTAACAATGTCTGTGTCAACTGAAACTTCTGCAGAGGCTGTCTAATTGGCCGTCACGGGGGAAACTGTGTAAATGTCATCTTCCCCAAACAATGCCATTCAACACAATAAAGCAGAAGTTAGAGATATTCAGCAGAAAACAAAATCCTCTCTTGAAAGTACTGACTTACATCCTCATGAGACGCTTTAGTGGTTGCATTATTTTATGTTAGCGTGTGAGTACATCGTGTGCCAAAGTGCCAAATGGTATTTCAAGTTCATAGAAAAGGACTCACGCTTTGACAGGATTATCAAAGACTATCATAAGTCTGCTGTTTACCATAGACTTCATGATATCCAGTTAGTGAAGGCATATTATATTTTTGTACTGTGAATTCAGGTTTTAAAAAACAATATATCTTCATTTATGGGATAAGGGGCTACTGACATTTTTAATTCATGATGTTTTACTGTGTCATTTAGACTTTAACATGTCTTGCACCATAAATATAAGAAAATATAAACATTTCTATGAGGAAATTATAAAAAAGAAGTTCAAATGACTCCGTTTATTTCCAAAATTTCCATTAAATATGTACATTTTTGTACTTTATCTGACAACACTCAGTGAGTGGCAAATGTGTGAAGAGATTTTGAGAAATGAGAGGAGATTCATGCTCACCATAGGAAAAAAATAAACATATTTATCACCACTATAAGCAAACTCTAATGAGATGGAGATAAACTGATTCATGGCTTTTGAGTACGTGAAACCTGAAATGGCATTTTCTGTGGCAGAGTGACGATCGTCCCTGTTGTCCATTTCTTAACTTGCTAGCTGTTAGACCTTTAGAGTAACGTGTCTTTGTTCAAATGTATACCTAATACCTGTACAGTGTTTTCTTGCTAAATAAAGTGTTCAAATCAACTGGTTCAACTATACAGCCAACGACGACGACGACAACAACAACAACAACAACAACAACAACAACAACAAGCTTTTGGCAAAAGCTTGAACTCATCAAATCAGAATTTGGACGCAGTGTGCTGGTCACTACTGTAACAAACTGAAGTGGTTTATGATTATAGCTGCTTTAATCAAATGTATGATTTTACTGGATTCAGCCTTGTATGTGTGTGATAACTTGTGACTTGGTGATATATTTCCAACCCCCTCAAGCCTTTTGATCATTGCAGTGAGTTGTTTTTAGTGCTACTGTTGCAGCGGGGGCATCATTTGGGAAAATAAAAAGCAGCCCATGCACAGGCCTAGTGAAGTACCTTTGGCGTAACTCTAAATAAAAATATGTCTGCTGTTAATTTTTACTTATCTCAACAAAGAAACAAGAGTCTTTTCATTAGCTGGCAACTTGAACGGGAGTCTGTGTGTATGCATCGTGTGGAGAATAGACAACTGACCTTACAAAAGAAAACTGAGAAGATGTGATGTAGTACTTTTTAATCTAGAAATCTCACAGCACAATTGTTCTGTAGACATTTATCTTGGTGTAAAGTTATCCAGACTGCTGTTTATCAGTATGCTTTCGCTGCCTCTTGTATTATTGAGTATTGAAGATCAAAATGTCAACTGTCAAGTGGCTTCTGTACAGTGGTGGCATAATGAGGAATCTATGACTTAATTAAAAAAATCACAATCAGTCAAGTGTTTTTAGTATTGCTATTTTCAAACTTTTGAATAAAGTTGCAGCTGGTTGTCATTTCGCCTGCAGTTATTTGATCGATTATATTAAATGATGGGAAACAGCACACTTTGCTTAATTAATCCAACAGATTCAAGAGGAAGCCCAAAGCCCTGAGCTGACACCCAAAGCCTTTAGTGAGGTTTTAGTGCCCCCTTGTGGAAGATAATAACATTGTCAACACTGGCAGCCTCTCTGAAGACTTTTCTACACATTGATTTGAGCCTTGTTAGTATTCCACTGGTTACTTCTCCTAAACCCTGAAAGTGACAAACTGAAAGAAAATGGCTACAGCAGCATCGTCTGACTGCAACATCTGCCCTCGTTCTTTCCAGCTCTTGGCTTTGGGAGGAATGGGAAAACTGTAACATCTGTTCGCACAGATGTCAACAGGAGTTTGTTCATTTATCTAACAAATACAAAAAGCAGTGAGGGTGGGTTTACTGTGCGTGACATAAAGCTGCAGTTTGGGGTTAAATACAACACATACATACATGAATAAATGAATAATTAGACAAGATCCAATAAGGTTTGTCAATAAATTGATTCACAGAATAGTGAACAGTATCTAATTACCAAACAGTACCAGAACTGTGAGCTTGTTTTCTTTGTGTGTATCTTTGGTAAACATCACCTGGAGCCTTGATATGTATTTATTATCAATTTCTTGATATTTTATTTACCAAATAAATAATTAAGAAAACAATTGGCGGAATAATCCATAATGGGAAATACACAGCACATACATATATCTCAAAGTATGACAGCATTACTTAAGGAAGAGATGGGAGGGAAATGTATGTGTGTGTGTGTGTATGTGTGTGTGTGTGTGTGTGTGTGTGTAAAGGTTGGGGAGTTGTCTCAAATAAAAGAGAGTAAACATTGAAAAGTACACGTCTATTTAGTATTTTATTCTGATTAATACTAAATCATCATACGCTGCTCAATCACACCACAGCAGAAATATTTATAGTTTGAACAACTTAATTGATTTCCTTCTTAAGAGCTGAAAGTGACCCACAGATAGTTATTAATTCCACTAATTCAACAGACCTAACTTTAATTAAAATTAATATTATATTATTTCTTCCATAGATTCATTTGGTTTAGTAACCTGTACAGGTTGTGAGATGTGTTTTTATTAATGTTTTTGTGTTTTTATGACATGTTTGTTGGTGAAACTATCGCGTTGTATTCTTATTAACGTTATATAAACGTTTTATGTGAAACTGAAACTTCGCTGTGGTTTTGGGGTTTTTTTTTTTTTTTTGTTAGCAAACAAAACAAATTTGAAAAAAAGCACAGTTTCAAGGTTTTCGGGAAATGTAGTATTTAAGCTACTAAAATAATAGGCGCAATATGGAAGGAAAACTACAAGTACCGTCATGAGGTTTTTTGCGCATGCGCCTAGCCGATCAAATAGAAGTGGAGAAAAAAAAGGTATGCTAGTGGTTCGAGCCGTTGGAGTTAGTACTCGGAACTAGTGCCGCAAAATCTACGATCATCTTATTTTATACCAAACATATCGTCAGGTACTTTATCCGGATTATCTCGAGATATACTCGGCGACTTAAACTCTGTGAGATTTATCAGCAGAAGGCAACGAGAGACGAAAATAAGTTCGTATCTGTGTGACGCCCGGAACCGCTGTTGGCGTTTTAGCTAGCTAACGTGAGCTAGTAGCACCGACCGGGGCCCAGGTCAGCGACGTCCCCCCAGATAACAGCGAGTTTTAGATTTTATACTCCAGGTTTTTGGTTTTTTTTAAGACATAATTTATCGTGATGGCTTGTGGAGCTACTCTGAAAAGGACCCTGGACTTTGATCCGCTGATGCATCCGGCGTCCCCCAAAAGAAGGAGGTGCGCCCCGATCATGTCTCCAGTCTCCTCACCACAGAAATATTTGCGTATGGAGCCCTCACCTTTCGGGGAGGTGTCGTCCAGACTCACCACAGGTAGGAATCTAAAACCCAAATGTTATACTCAGACGTAAATCTAAAGTTTAGTTCGGCTCAAACCAGCCCTCACTGTAACCTGGAGGGCGGTGTACCAATGTGTACCGGTGTCGTTTGGGTTGAACAAAACCCCAGACGCAGTTTGCTCAGTTAAATGAGTTTTGTTATTGTTTATGTTGTCTGTCGGTTGTCACACAGTGCAGACGATGGGATGTGACTTATAAGTGGCCTATTTTAAATTCGGCACACACTGTTTAGCAGTGTTTTTCTTAAAGAATGGATTTTCAGAGGTTTGGGGAAGTTAATTATGTGAATAACATTCATCTAAAGTTTGTTTTGCTGCTGTGTAATTAATAGATAGATGTTGTGATGCTTCCAGTATTTCATGTACACTGAGTTTTAGAGAGAGAACTGTCCCTTTTTTTTTTTTTAAATCAATATGTATGAGGATGCATCTGGAAGAAATTATCAAATGTGTCAAGATATCACTAATGGAGCAAATGTTGTTGTTTTTTTTTTTTTTTGTCCTGTTTCAGAGCAAATTCTACACAACATTAAACAGGAGTACAAGCGGCTGCAGAAGCGACGACACCTGGACAGTGCTTTCCAGCAGGCAGATGGCTGCTGTCCTCTGGAGCTGCAGAACATTCACAGTGGATCTGCTCTCCCAGGTAGCGTACCAGTCGCACATCAATAAGGATATTGACCGGTTTGAAGAAATCCATTCACCAAGTATTTGAGCTCAGGATTTACGAGCCTTAGGAATGTGGTTTATACCAATTATTATTTTACTGATTGATGTTTATTGCGTGATATTCAAACCCAAAAATAGATTATATTTCAGTCTGACATTGACTCTTTGTTAGCAGTTTTCTCTTGGGGGCACACCTAGTAACCTTTTGTCCATCCTCTCTGACATCAACAAGTAAAGATTGTTTTTGTCTTTTTGAATTGCCAACAAATCCCATCGGCTTAGTTAAACATGCAGAGAGAAAAAAAAAAGTACAGATTGAAATCCCTCCTTATCCTTTCACTTTCTTTTAATAGGGAGTTTTTATTTTCTTTAGGCAAACCGACTGTGAAAAAGTAAAATGTGCCTATGTATGTTGCTATATATATATATATATATATATATATATATATACATACAACAATATGTATTTTAACACACACATGCTCAAATATTTGCACACCATTCTTACTTGAATATTGCATAGTGTGTATACTTCATTTATAGTCTTATATTTTCTATTATATTTTGTAACATTTTATTTTTTGATATCTTGTTGTACCTCCACTTCTGTACTTTTTCTTTTTGCACTACCTTGCCCTCTGCTGCTGTGTCAATTTTGAATTTCTCTTAAGGGGGATCAATAAAGGAACATATTATCTTATGTCTTATCTTAAGGCTGAACAAAGTTGCAGAGCTGTTAAGTGTCTGACATCTATCCTTTATTAACTCTCCTAACAGGTACGTCCTCGGGTGCCTCATCACCCACCAAGAAAGAACAGCCTTTATTCTCCCTCAGACAGGTTGGGATGATTTGTGAAAGACTACTGAAAGAGCGAGAGGACAAAATCCGCGAGGAGTACGATGAGATACTGACGACAAAGCTTGCAGGTATGATTTTTTTTTTTTTAATGATATAGAAAACAATTTGTAGTGAGTAATCTCTAATAGGAGTAATAAGTATGTATTCTTCCAACAGAGCAATATGACGCCTTCGTCAAGTTCACGCATGATCAACTGATGCGACGGTTCGGAGAGCAGCCTGCTAGTTGTGAGTATTCATTCTCTTATTGCTGAACACTTATAGTTTATTAATGTACCAAACTTGCCTCTGTGGGTTTGTCACGTTTTTAATAATGAATGTAAAAAATATCCATATCTTCATACTATCCTGAGACAAAATGTTCCTTTTCAAATACAGACATTTAAGAATTGAGATTAATTTAAAGCACCAGTTTAAATTCAAATCCAAACGTATAAAAACTGGACATTTGAAGAGAGAACTTTTAGCTTATCGATTCCTGAAAGTGTTTACATTTCGACAGTGGACTGTAGCTTGCTGTCAAACCTCCACAAATAGCAGTAGTGATACAGTGTAATGTAACAGTGTAAAAGAAGGAGTCTAAGATGACTACTTTCTGCAGCATACTGTGAGAATGCAGCGTTTTCAATTTCCCCAGTCACTGTCATAATGCCCCACAATCAGCTTATGCTAGCGTGTCCAAGTTAAGCTGCTGAGTCAGGACAGTGTAATGAAAACCTTATTCTGGGCTCAGCGTTTCACTTAGTGCTTATAGTCAGTTATAAAACCACTAAAAATGTTGAACCATGCTAGAACAAATATAAGCAGTGGTGATTTGTAAAAATGTTTATGTGCCAAAAACTGAAAATATTATTTCAGGCTTCAAGCTTTACGGCTCTGGTCAGCAGAACAGGCTTCTAAAAGCCATTAATTCAACCTTTATTTATACAGGCTGGTCAAATTACAGCAGTTTACTCTGTTGCACCCCCCCCTCAACATTCACGAGGATAAAAGCTAAAAAAAAAGACAAAAATCCAACATTTACAGAAACAAATGTCTAGTTAAACTTAAAGAGATACTCTTCACTTAGGTGTATTTATCACAGGTACAGAAATAGTCAATGGTGGACTGAATCAGTAAGTCCTGTCCTGTCCTTTTTACCGAGCAGTTTATAATTTGTGAACCTCCAGATGTAGTATAGCAGTGAGTTATCTGATACTGTAGAAGGGATTGAAGATGTTTAGGCTGTTTTATCTAAGAACGGGGCTATATACTCAGAAGTGCTCGTCTCCTCGGGCTTATAGAGGGCCAACCTACACTCTGTGCAGTGTTATGTTGTGATGAAATGTCTTCATATTTGAAGTGTCCTCATGCTCTTATCACTGTTTGTCCTCCACAGATGTTTCCTGAGTGTCGGTGTCTGATATTGAGGAATAACATTTGCTGCAAACTACTCCCAGGGACTCAGTGGGTCTAGTTGGACTTTTCTCCTAGCTGTGCCATATCGCCTCTATGTGGACTCACTGCCTCAGGCATCAGTTAGTGGCATCCACGTTTGCTGTGTCTGCCAGAGTTAGGAGGGCTTCCTGCTGCCAACCTGTTCAAGGACTCTCTGTGACTCTACCTGTGGCCTCTTAACTGCCGTGTCAATATTTATTTGGCTTTGTTCTGATGCCTTCGTAAAAAAGGCTGACTGTCTCCACACACACTCAGCCTTTTTGATTCATTTTTTTAAACATTTATTTTTGTCAAATATAGGTTGGTTTGTTTTTTTCACAGAGGGGATGTTAGTTGTGCAGCTTTTCCATATGTACATTCTGAAAAAGGGATTGAACATTGACGAGTGGACAAACCAAGGCCGCCTTTCACTGGACTCCAGGAACCGGCATCTTGGCTTTTTTTGTTTCGGCATTGTTTAAACTGTACTGGCAATTACTGCTATTACATTTGTATACACTGTATTTTTTTATTTTTCGCTTGACTTAACGTTCATTGTATCAAAATTTCCTGATTTTATTTGCTGTAGGTATAATGGGGCTTTGATTCAAGAAAAGCAAATGAATAAAGTGTTTACACAAATGTCTGTTTGGGATTGCTGTGTTTTTTGTTTTTTTCTCCACAGTTGAAGGAATCATACAAATCATAAAAGCTTTACAGGTTTGTACGTAGGACAGATGTTGCTAAAAAGGTGAGTGGAATTTAGTTTCTTAAATGTTCGAGCTTTTAAAAACCAGACTATTTCTTCTGTAGAGATTAGTTACATTAAACTTCAGCTCCACTGTACAGCTACAAAGTTGAAAATGACAAAAGTATGACTTCATACAGCTAGAATATAGGCTTCCTGTTATAAAAGTGTATGTAGCACTCTGATCAAATGATTCCTGAGATATATTTATTGTCACATTTGAAAAATAACCGACTGTAACTGTACGAAGTGGAACATCACGTATTTCCTTTGCACCAATCAGAAGTTAGCAACGTAAGACTCTAGAATGTGATGACGGGTCTTTTGATTGTGTTACCAAGGAAACGCCGTTCTATCAAACCGCACCTAACAGTCCTGGTGTGGTTTTCCTTAGTTTGACTTGTTAAATATAACATAACTAATCACTAAGTTTGTCATTTCCAACTTTAATGTCGATGGCTACTTATTTAATAACGAATATTTAGTGTTTTAAGGACTTATTTATGTTTTTCCGGTGTTTAAGGGACCGGATATGCGGTACTCACCGTCGGGAGCAACGTATAACATAATCGAACGAACCTCTCCTAGTGGTTGACGTAGTTAGCGAGCGAAGCCTGTGATTGGACGAGCTGAGAGCTAAGGAAGAAGTACAGTGTCTATGTCAATGTGAACAGTTCATACAGCATTGGATTGTGGCTCATGTTGTGACAGTTTTATCGTTATATTGTGTTGGCACGTTTAGGAAACATGGCTTGTTTCTTTAGAAGGATAATAGCAGAAAAGGTAACGAAGCTGCAAGTGTTGAAAGATGTTACCGTATGCTAATGCTAAACTTAGCAGCACGCTTTGACCCTGGTGCAAGTGAAAACAAGAGTCTCACGGTTGTCCTGTGCTCATAATGGTGTTCATTGAAACCTGTCTCTCTGTGTGTAGCTGGGTAGGACGCTGCAGCACTCTGAGGACGCCTTCATACCAGCTCTGTCAGCAGTGCCCCTTTTTAAGAAACAGTTAAGTGTATTTTGTGTTTAACATGCATCCTGTTTGTCCCCTGTGTGAGCCAGATGCTCTCTATAGAATGTGTCTGTCCTCTCACCGCTTTGTTAAAGCTCCCTGAACTTTGTACTCCTCAGGCAGACTCCTGACTTCAAGCTGTCAATCAGCTCCTTACGAAGCAGTGGGATTTTACCATCCAGTGCTGACATTCAGCAGCAGACAGAAGACTTGGCCAGTCAGGTGAGATTCATCTCAGAGGAAGGCTGCAGCAAATCTAATGTGTTGACATGTTGTTTGTTTGGTCACCATGCTGTTGTAATCTCACAAATGGACTGCATTGTCATGATACGACATGTTGAGGGCACACATCAGTGGTTGAGGGATTTTTAACTGAAATAAGTGATGTTTTTTTGGGGTTAAAAGGCAAAGAAACAAGTTAAGGCTCATCATACATTCATTTTGTTGCTCTTGTCCCAAGCATTGGCATTTTTTAACATGTGCATACATTGCCAGCAATTTGGGGTTCACGGTTTAGTTTCTAGGCCGGAGGAGCTGAAGGATCGAACCGCCAATCTAGCCGCCCTAACCATCTTTATTCCTTGTTCATTGAATTTTACAAATCTCGGTATCATTTTCAATGCCAACCTCATGTTTCCACAAACATATCGACAGTGTCTCAAGATCACTTAAATATCATAAGAGGATACCAACCAAAACAGAGCCTTGTAGATGCTTTTGTAACTTATAAAATAGACTTTTATAATGTTCCTCCTTCTGGTTTTCCTCAGAAGATTGCTGGGTAATTGCAGTTCAGTCAGAAAGGGACAGGGACTATGGAAAGAGAACATATCGCTGTACATCTGTCCTCAAATTACTGCACTGGCTTCTGCAATGCACTAGAATTTACTAGAATTAAGGTTTTCTTACTCTGAATACTCCCCCATCAATCTTAGACATGCTATAATGCTATGAGTCTATTCTTAACATAATCCTGAACCCTGTTTTTTTTTTCCAGTTGAAGCAGGACAGTGTGGTGGAAGACATATCTGCTGGATCTGGAGTGATCAACTTTAAAATTAATCGCAAACTTCTTGTCCAGGTTTGTCCGTTTTCTTTCCCACTGTGGTTAAATTTACGCTTTTTACTGCTTCTACTGTGATTCTAATCTGCTACCTCTGTTTTAGAAAATGTTGGAGCCATTTGGAAAGGAGGAGGATGAGAAATTTGGGTTAAATAGTGAACTTTTCAACACTCTTAAGAAGGGAACAACATTAGTTGAGTACAGGTATGTTTGACAAGAATTTGTATATCTTCTTTAACACTTATAACTCTGACTGGGTTATCACTTATTACTCATCCGACTGAATTGATGTATTTTTTTTATGCTGTAGCTCTCCAAATATTGCCAAAAAATTCCATGCTGGACACTTGCGATCTACAATTATAGGTGAGTTTAGGCTTTTGAGTTAATTTATTCAGTAACTAAGGCCAATTTATTTTGCTTAATATGCAATGCATGTGAGCTGCACTGTAAACTAGAGCAAGTTCAATATATCAGTCGACACTATCGCTGTTGTCCACAGGGGTCGTCAGAAAAAAAGGAAAAGTTCCTTGTGTTTTTAACTCTTAAATATCAAAATCGGTATCTGATCTCCATCTCCAGGTAACTTCATCGCTAACCTAAAGCAGTCACTCGGAAACAGTGTTATTCGGATGAACTACCTTGGAGACTGGGGCATGCAGTTTGGTGAGTAAATAATGTGCAAAATATTCAACAGATGTGCTCTGCTCTCGTAAAAGTCCCAAATGCTGCTCTTTGAGTGAGTGTTACAGTTTTCTCTCTTGGTTTTCAGGCTTGCTCGGAGCTGGGTTTGGCCAATTTGGATGTCAGGAGAAACTGAAACAGAATCCCTTACAGCATTTATTTGAGGTAAATTTGCATGTTTGAATAAAAACAGATAGCCACACAGTGACTCTAATCACAGAGAGCTGTTAGTATGTTTTATTTATTGAAAACAGTTTGGCAAATGGATACATTTTGTGTGTGTAACATGGTCTGAATTCAGTTAAAAAGGCCTTTTCTTCATTACCATGGTGGTTCGGCACTATTTGCATGTTTCTGTCTATTTGCAGGTTTATGTTCAAGTGAACAAGGAAGCAGAGCACAATGAGGATTTAAAGCAGGCGGCCAGAAACTTCTTTAGACAGCTGGAGCAGCATGAGAGTGAGGCTGTGTCGTTATGGCAACAGTTCAGAGAGATCACAGTGGACGAGTATCAACACATTTACAAGGTACAGACAGACAACCGACACCATCTCTGAAAGATAAACCTGTGACGGGGACAATAAATAAAATCAGCTGTTTTAATACATGATTGTAAAATCTGACGTCTTTCCAGCGGCTAGGGGTCCACTTTGACATTTACTCTGGGGAGTCCTTTCACCAAGATCAAGCCCAGGAGGTGGTGCAGCAGCTGCAGAGCCGAGGCCTGCTGAAAACCTCTGAGTATGTGACAGTATGTGTGTTTAATCAGTAACAGGGATGAAGAGACAGGACAAGTAAACATGTGTTGGGAGGACAGTAGGTCCCAGTTGGTGTATTTAGTTGACATGTCATTGAGTTTGTATGTGTGTGATTTTACATTTATGGTGTTGAAAGAATTGGGAGAACATCTACGTGTTTATTTATTTTGAAAAGAGATTTTTCTTGTATATTAGCTGATTTAAGCTCATCTCAGTTCCTTATTGCTGTATGTGTTGCACACAGAGGTAGTTTAGAAATGTCCTGCTCTGTCCATACCTTAATCTCAGTTCTTTAAAAAAACTAATTTTAGAGATTCTTATCACTCATGTATCGGTCTGATATACTTTAAAAAATGTTCAAATTATCAATATTGGTATCAGCCTCAAAATACCCAGTTTCTGAGCAGTTATAAAGAATATGAAGAACATTTCTCCTGAAGTTTTCCCACCTACGTTCTCACTACTTAGAATACTACTTAATTACTTATTAGTTGTAGTATATATTAGGACACGAGTTATCTTTATTATCTTGTGATGATATCTTGTATAATTTGTCATTTACTATATAAATAATTGAGTGTATGCTCTTTCATTGCAGTAATATTGATGTATTGTTTAATGAGTTAAACCGACCCTGAGCTCACATGGACTTGGTTTCACTGTTGTTGTATTTACAGGAAAGGAACAGGTGTAGTGGATCTCTCCTCCACTGGAGACATGAGCAGTGTTTGTACAGTGCTCCGCAGTGACGGCACAACTCTCTACATCACCAGGTCGGTACAAACAGAAACTAAAATACAAAAACAACCTGAAGGGCAACTCGCAGACCTCGGCTAATAGTCGATTCTCATATGCCAAACGGTGTGCTGTGGGTTTTTGTGACAGCTATACAATATGCAATATACAACAATACAAAAAGTTATGAATCAGTTTTTCATTTACTTTGTAGTTATTTTAGTGAATTCTTAAATTATTTTCTTAATAAATATTTCAAATTTTATTTGGCATTAGTATTACATAAAAAAATAACATTTATAGAATTATAGCACGTGTTATAGAGGTTGTTTTGTATGGGAGGCAGAGAGATTTTAGTTTCACTTTTACAGAGACGAGGAAATCTGCATTGTTTTGCTCAGTTTTATTCGACCTCAGAAATAAAGGATTGTAAAAGAAAATATATTTTGCAGGTTTTTGTCTGAGAAATAAAGGAATATTTTCTCTAATTTTGTTAAACAATCGTATTGTGAACGGTATATATATATATCGCTACATCCCTTATGGACCACTCTGCACTCTTCCACCAAGTTTCATGAAAATCGGACCTGTTAGTTTCTCTGTATCCCGCTGACTGACGAACCTCCTCGGTGGAGGTAATTAAAAAGCTGAATTTTACAACCGTGCTGTTCTGGCGTGGAGAGAACACTGGAACTGAGTTATCAGATGAATAATTAATAAGTCATGACTTTTGATATGTAGACGGGGCAAAAACAGCTTATTTTCCATTTTCTGTGTTTCAGAGATCTCGCTGCAGCCATCGACCGAACAGAAAAATACTGTTTTGATGAGATGATTTATGTGGTAAGGAAACTGGAGCACTCAGTCTCTCTACATTTACTTTTAAATTGTTACATTGCTGCTCTTTAGACACATGATGGAGCAGTTGAGGTAACTTCACAGACACATTTCTCTGCAACGTGGCCTACATGACTAAAAGACATAAGTGATGACTACATACTGGAATACAAAATCATGGCGCTTCAATTATCTTTGTGACATTATCAACATTATAGTCCAAACGTATATAAGAGTTGCTTTGTCAATAAACACAAACATTCCCAAGCTCCAGGCTTTAAATTGTGCGGGTTTGCTTATTTTCTTTGCCTCACGCGACAGTAAACTGAATATCTTTGGACTTATGGTCGGAAAAATCAAGACATATAAAGAAGTGTTGGGCCTTTTCCCCCATTTTCTGGTCATTTTATAGATGAGACAAATTAATAGTTGATGACAATAATTGTTAGTTGCAGCCCCACTCGCATATTTAAATAATGTTGGGATTATATTGATTTATCGTCCATTATGTTGCGATAAAGGCTTCATGCAGAAACACATCAGGTGATTAATCAGCATTTCTTCCTGAATCTGTTAAACACATTGTCTGCACCCAACTGAAAATTAAACACTGTTAAAGCGCAGGAGACAAGCACCTGTTTCTAGGGAAACTCATCCACATTGTTTCATTTTTCACGATTATTACATTTAATGTAACACATTTATTTATAAACTTCACAGCAGAAACAAATGTGCCAAACATCCAACATGCAAAACCTTACATGGATGTGTGGATATTTGTTTGTGGGAAAGTTGCTGATTTGAATGTTGGGAACTAAACATTGATCATGTCATGATCTACTTTACTCTTGAATTCATAGCTTGTTTCCTTTCACACACCATTAATGCATATTTATCAGTTTGCTGCGTCTGTGTTTCTTTTTCTTTTCAAGACAGATAAAAGTCAAGCGAATCACTTCCACCAGTTGTTCCAGATCCTGCTCGCTATGGGACATTCTTGGGCTGACAGGTAGCAGGAAAAATACCAGAACCGCACACACATAACATAGACAAGTACAAGTACATTTATTCATTTATTTCAATACAATTTTGAGGTGCTTTTTATATATGGTTTGTATACTTTTTATGCTACTTTAAACCTCCACTGCACTAAATTTGAGAGGAAACTGATTTTTTTTTAACTCCATTACTTATATCTGACGGCTATAGTTACTATTTACTGCAAAGTTAAACATTTTCTTCACAATATGATAAATTGGTGTATATCAAAACTCAACAGTCTATAAACTAATTCTAACTAATTCTAACTCCCCCAATTTCAAAATGTAAATTATTAATTACATGTTAATGTTTTAGTGACAATAAACTAATAATAGGCTGACACTGAAAAGGGCTGCATGAGTACCATTACTTTTGATACATTAAGTCCGTTTTTGCTCCAGGACTTTTACAGTGCGGTATTGCTTTCACTGAAGTTAAGGATATAAACTACGACTTGTTGCAGGTGTCGACACGTGCCGTTCGGCCTGGTGCGGGGCATGAAGACCCGGAGTGGTGAGGTGGTGTTTCTGGAGGACGTGCTGGACGAAGCCCGGGACAGGATGCTACACAACATGAACCAGGCAAAAAGTAAAACCTGATGCACTGTAGGCAACACAGAACACACATGACTCTAAAAAGTTTATTTGTATAATTATCTTACAGGAATGAAACGGTCATTGTTCCTTTACGGTCTCCACACTGCATTTTACAGAGTGTCCTTTGGTCACAGTGTGTGCCACAGTCAGTTTTATTTGCTGTGTATTTTGCTGCTTTAAAGCATCAGGTGGGACTTTCTGATTGCATCCCACAACGGGATGGTGGCGCTGTTCATCCAGTGCAGAATTTCTAGTAGAAGTAGTAGTGGGAGATTTGTTTTATGTCACAAATCCAAACTTAATACTGTATATTTGAAGCAGCTATTGAATATGTTGTGCATTCAGATGGATGGTATTGTACTGACACTGATATCTATGCTGATACTGCTTATCGATACAGATACTTATCAATACTACTTCATACTACTCGCCATCATTTGGTGCAAAAAATAATACCATGACATGAAAAGATTCAACAGCTATTTTATTACTTTTTTGCACAAATAGGTTAAATTGTGACAAAAATAGATTAGACCCAGAACAATCATTAGACGTACTAAGAAAAACTTGATATTGAGTGTGCTGTTGATGGACACTCTTCTCCCACAATGCAATGCACAAATGAAATTGAGCTGTTTATTATTATTCTAAATGCAAATTCCTTCCTTTAGGTATAGTATAGTATAATATTAGTATAGTAATGCTACTTTCAGATAGTATATAGTGTGGAATTGGGGCGAACCGTCTGTCTTTAGTTTCTGACAAACACTCCGAGATGTCTTACCACCGGCGTAATTTAAATAATTTTCTGTTATATCGGGATCATTTTAGTAATAAGGCCAGAATGTAGGTATAAATATCGATAGGTAACAAACCAATATCACCATCTCAATCTCTTTTATAATGACAAATATGCATGATGGTACTAAGAAAACTGCCCAGTGTGGGATAAATGAACCTGTATTTAAGGAGGAGAAGTGACAGCCGCTCTCGCTCTCTCCACAGCAACAAAGGAAATGGACGACCCAAAGGACACAGCGGAGAAAGTGGGAATCAGTGCACTAATAGTTCAGGTGAGGTGGAAACTTTACCTCTAGGCTCTGCTATCAAATATTCAACTACCTGTACCAAAACATTTCTTAATTTGTCTGCACAATTTGATGAGACAGACTCTTGATTCTGTTTTCCATTCATCCTGATTTTGTTCCAGGACTTTAAAGGTCCGCTGCAGTCCGACTATACGTTTGACTGGGACAGGATGCTGCAGGCTCAGGGAGACACAGGTGTCTTCCTTCAGTACACACACGCTCGCCTCTGCAGGTCTGTATTCATCAGCTGCTGAAAATAACTCTTAATTCAAGAATCTTAAATTGTGTTGTTTTACAGCAACAACAGTAAGAATTCACAAGGTTTTCAGTTGATGATTTTAAACGGGTGTTTTTGCTTCGTTCATAGTTTTTTTGTTGGTTAATTTTATTTGAGTTTTATTAGGGATAATGTTCCTTTAATAAGATTAAAATTATATGTAATAGTTTGTTTTATGTGTTATTCAGCCGACACATTACATTCAACTCTGCGTTACAAATTGTACTTGGAGTAAATGTACTTGAGTATTATCATCAAAATGTACTTAAAGGTCCAGTGTGTAACATTTAGGAGGCTCTGTTGCCAGTAATGGAATATAATATTAATATAAATGTTTTCATTAGTGTGTAATCACCTGAGTTGTTGCGTTTTATGTTAGAATGAGCAATTGTTATCTACAGATAACACACAAGAACTTTATGCAAGTTTCACAGCCACCGTAGTTTCTTCTACTTATTCCCAGGTCGACAAATAAGAGTTCAGTTAGTTGCAATCTGTAACTTCACTGCTAGTTGCCACTAAATCCTACACACTGGTCCTTTTCCTTGCTGTAATCATTCCTCCTGTTTAATGTTGAGGATTTAAAAAAGCAATAAACAGGTGATTCATCTTTAAACAAACATCCATACATTTGTGGTACTGGATACAAATCCTCTCTGGCAAGAAGAAGCTGCTCATTCAAACCTTTACTGTTGTGTCCTTGTTGCAGTTTAATACGGAAGAATGAAGGTGTAGAGGCAGCTTTATTCGACCCATCCCTTCTACTTGAGCAGACAAGTATAAATATCCTTCAGCACCTCCTTCGGTAAGCAGACTGCTTTTTAAATGATAATCCTTTTATTCCTCAGCATCTTATTAAATGTGAGACAGAGAAAGGCTGTCACAGTCAGTGTGACAGTGTGTTCATTATTTGCTTAACATTTAAAGCATCACTCAATCTGCTCTTTGTAGTTATGATGAGGTGTTGCATCAGTCGGCCCAGGATCTGCAACCCAAACACCTTGTCAACTTTTTATTGAAGCTATGGTAAGGACCAGGATGTTAGTCCTGTGGGGTTGGGAACTTTTTCTGTTTAATGTTTACCAGGTTCAATTATTCCCATGCAACTATAATTTCTTTCCAGCCACCTGATCGCCTCAGCACACAGAGAGCTGCCGGTAAAAGGAAGCTCCCAGGATGTTGCACAGGTAGAAAGAAAAAAAGACACTTGCCTAAGTATCTGTGGTTTCTCTTTTAAACAAGTACCATAAATAAACCCCTATCAGCCTCTGTAGTATATTAAACAGGTCTGTATTGCACTATGACATACTTAGAGTAACATACGGTATAATATGATATTTTGTTCTGAGCAGTAGTTGTAGTAACAGCAGGTTGACGCAGTAATGTTAGCTAATTATTATCATTAGCCTCCATTACTGGTAAAGTGAAAAATAATCGTTTATTGCTTCTGAATTCAACTTTCATTTGTAAGAAACTGATTATTTCTGACTGACATCGTCTTGCTTTAAATATATAGTAATACACAGTAGCTGCTTACCAAGTATGAGAACACACGCACTTCTATAAGAACACTGAAAATAGCACTCTTCCAATATAAAACGATGAATCATTCAGTCAAACGTCTGAATCAGAGTAAAGCAGAGGAAGAGATCTGAACACAAATACTTTATTCTAGTTTGTAGGTGCATCCAACATCAGTGATTTACAACAAATTAAAATGCTGTTAAATGCGAAAAATGTAAAATATATATAAAAAAATCAAGTGTTCTCTTTTTTAAATGTCAACAGGCAAGGTTACGACTCTTCAGCGGAGCCTGTTCGGTCCTGGCCAACGGGATGAGAATCCTGGGCGTCACACCGGTTGAGAAAATGTGAAACTTAGTTTGGTATTACTTAATCTGCTGTAGAAACGACACTGACGCTGCTACAATCTGTACTGTAAATAAAAGGCCTTATAATTTCAAAATAAAATCATTAATTGAATAATTGAAATGTTTCACTAACAGAAGCATTTGCTGTTCCCACTGTTGTCTCAGGTATTTTACACAGATTTCAGTCAGTGTGAATCAAAACAATATCAGCTGATAACCTAAATTATCTGAGGCCTGACTGTGTAACCTGGCAATGATGCCATGCATGCACGCACATTATATCGAGGTTAGACTGGTAGAACTGGTTCAGCTGAGTTTCACCTGAAGGCCTTTTTATGAGCAATAGACTGTAAAGTGATTAATGGAGTAACTGACTAAATGTTGATGCGTTTAAGCTCATGGATAAAATTTTTAAAAAGTGTTTGCTTTTTAGCTTACCCTTAATTCATATAAATGTGGTCAAATTAAGAGAATCACCTGTCAGTATAATGCTGTACAGGTACATAATAAACAGGCACCTGTACATGATATTGTTGTAAAAGACTAAAGCTGTAAGTCCAAGGCAGAAAATCAGCACCCTCACCAGCTGACGATCAATGTAGAAGAAACTTCTGCTTTTGTCTCGAGCTCACTGCTCAGAATCTATTAATATACAAATTTAGTTTATTTCTAATGTTTTCCTGCTGCTCAAACATCCAACTGTAGGAACAAGAAGAGGGACATATTTTTGTATAGACAATGAATTAATTGAAAGGTACGTTGGTGAGTAGTAACTCGCTTTTATCACTTCCATTCAGTTTTAATAAAAGCTTCAAAACAGAAGGTGACAGATGTGATACAAAAGATTACAAGACACTGGAGAGATTAAATTATAAACATGAGATTCTACATGCAATCGGTTGTCATCCTTCTTTCAAGTATGTTTTCCAAAATCAGAGCTATGTGGTACGGACATAAGACACTAACACTGCACAGTGTAAAACAGACTGAAAAGAAAATCTCCACGATGAGGAGTTGTGACATTTATATGCCGTTTATGGAGGCATCAAAATAAAAGTAAAGTCCTGTTACTACTTATCGCTCCAGCATTGCTGAAGATGAAAGACTTCACTGATTGCTTCAGATTATCTACAAACTTTAAGAGCAGCAACCTGTAAGAGCCGTTTAAAAAAAAAAAGTGTTCATATTAAATGAAAAACTGCTCAAATCTGGCGTCAAAAACATTGAGATGTTTTTTTTGTTTTTTTTTACAAATAATCTGTAAATTCATAGTCCTGTCACCAGTCCCATGTGGGTGGAAGAGGGCTGGATTAAACATTAAAGGGGAACAAAAGCTGTTTGTGATGAACCCGAACACGGAGTCAACTCAACTGATTGTTCATGTGGCTCCCTAATCCCCCTCCTAGTGCAGGAGCTCTTTTAGGGCCTTAGAAAAAGTTAGACCCCTACACAGACCTGGTCCACCAGCGAGGGAGATTCCTCTGCTGCAGGTCCGTGATTCACACAGTGATCAGTTTCTGTTTGGATTCGTTGTCTGTGTCTTCCCGGCTCAGTTTGGATGTGTCCAGCTTTGGAAGTCCGTATAGGTAGATGGAAACGCACACCAGGAGGGCTCCAGAGGCAAACGAGATTGCTGCACAAGAGGGACAGAAGAGCAAAATGAGACACTTTCATATTTAAAAAATAAAGACATTTGTAGAAGAAAACAATCTGTTTCTGAATATTCTTCATTCAGATTCATCAGTGGGAGAACAAATGATTTTACAGGTCCTGAAATTTCCTAAAAATTTCTTAGAAAAGAACTGATAGGGTTATAATAATTGTATCAGAAATAGAGACAAAGTTAAGTTTGTACGTGTGTATAAGCAGTTGTTGACGGACTTTTAAACCCATAAAAACATTCATATTGTTAAACTGTATGTTTCCCAGTGAGTGAGTGTTAAACTAGCAATTAACTGTAATTAATTTCCGTTTCCGTTTTCTCTATAAGTACCAAATTGCAGAAACATTAGTGCTGTATGTTCTAGTATTTCATTTAATCTCACAGCACTTGTTGCTGTTTGCACTTTAGAGCACGTCGAGTCAACCTGTAATGAGAATGTGCTTTATACATTTAGATACATAAAATTACCATGTTTTGCCTATTACCAATAACTTTCTGTAAACCTGTCCAGTTCTTTAAGATTTTTATAGTAATGTACAAGATAATGACTGTTTTCTGAAACTTTTTTTTCTGGTATCTCTCAAGCATAATGGCAGAAATAAGATTCAGATACGTGACTACTCTACTAAATGTTATGCAGCCGGTTTCTTTTATTATAAACGTGCAAACGTCCGAGTCATGAGCCACGAGCACAAAACACACACCCACACCTGAGCAAAAACCATAAACATCTATTTACAACGTGGTTATAAAAACTGACGTACTTATCTGCAGTCCAAACAAGAGGACAGACGCCACAGTTGAGAGAACAATGGCGGCCGCAGCGGAGAAGCCCTTCATGATGTTGTCCGTGTACTTCACCACCACCGACGTGTACAGACCACCGACACTGGCCAAGACTGGAAGTGCAAAAAGCAAAGTCAGCTTAAATACTATGAAGAAAAGTGAATTTAAAAATAGAAACATCATCAGGTTTACTCATACTTACAGACTACAAAGCACACCCAGGGTGTGTAACCGAAGAAGAAACCTTTCTCCAGGATCTTGTCGCCATCGTTCATGTAAACACCGATCAGGGTGACCACAATGCCGGACAAGTACATCTGGATGTTTCTCACCCACAGAGACGTGTCTGAGCTCTTTAACACCTTCTCAAAGTACACACCTTAATCAGAAAGTAGACACAAAATCTGTCAGATGCAAGTAAATATTCACAAATATTTTATGATGACTTTCGCAAATAATGTTTATAACTAGACGACAGATCTGACAGCAGAGGCAGATAGATAGATAGATCGATAGATCGATAGATAGATCAGTTGGTATCATGTTGAAGTTCACATTGTGTGTTTGTCTGGCTGGTGAAAGGTTTGGCACAGTGTTTATTGTTTTATTGTGTCTGGTAGCTTAATCAGTGATGGATAAAAAGGTGAAACCACTTCCAGGTTTTTCCAAAGAATCCTGTGTTAATTTCACCTGCAAATCCGGAGCACAAGACAGCGACAGCGATAGCCATGAACCCAACAAAAGGATTTTGCTCAATCTGAAAAAAGAAAAAGAAAAGAAAAGACATGAGCCACCAGACAAGATGGTGAAATACCACCTGCAGTCAGACAATAAAGAGCCAAATCCATGATAGTGTGAGGCAAAGGACAAAGATTGTGGCTCACTGAGTCACCATTTAAATTTTAACTTTGTGCCTCCCCCACCTGAACCTTCGTGGCCTCTGCGGGCCTCCACTGGACGAGTGTCACGCCCCCGCAGAGCATGAAGACAGAGAACCACTGCAGCCGGCTGAGAGAGCGGTTCAGCATGAAGACTGTACACAAGGCTGTGCATGGGATCTTCAGCTGATAGGTCACCTACACAGACAAACACAAGTTAGGTCTAATATCTATTGATTCTTTTTAAACATATTTATAGAGGGAAGGTGGACTCAGCACTCCTTTCCTGCTTCACACATACCGTAGATATTATGGGAACTACTGGGAATAACCACTGTTTACTACTATTAGACACTGGACAATTATCTGCTTTTCACCATGAACTTCACATATTGGAAGCGGTCAGTGTTCCTCTATTGAAGTTTAGTTTCCAAAATGTGTATATTGTTAGCTTTCAACCCTAAAACCAAAGTCGGCTGCAAGATTCAGCTTCTACAGCTAAACATCAAGTGGTCCACTAGTGCTGAAACAATAAGAAAAATAACAGAAACTTAGTATATAACTATATATGTTTAACTAAGCAAAAGAGTCAAACATTCACTGATTATAGCTTTTCAAATTTCAGGATTTGTTGCTTTTCTCTTGAGTTTTGGGAATGTTGTTGGACAAATCAGTACATTTAAAAGATGTCACCTTTGGATCTGTCTAAAAGACTTTTTTTTATTTTATTTTATTTTTTTTTTTACTATTTTTGGACATAAGTAAGTGATAAATAAATAAACAGATTAATCAGTACCAACAATAGCTGTGAGTTGCCACCTAGAGGAGAAAACACATCAAACCTCCATTGAAAAACCTCTGCTGTTGAGTTGTATTTGAATAGGCTTTTGTATATGTACCCTTTGTCAAATATGTATTCAAATCCCAGATACAACAACGACACGTATTTCACTCCAGGCGTCAGAAAATTAGATCAACATAATCTTATTAATCTGTCAACATGACATGATTTAGCAAAGGTACTGTGCTTTATCTGATATTGATCTCTCTTTCACAATAAAATCAACAGTCTACAAATAATAAAGAAAAACTACATAACAGTTAACTAGAGCTGCAAGAATCAGTCGATGGACAGAAAGTTAATCTGCAACTATTTTGATAATGGACTGATCATTAAAGTCATGTGAGTAATTTTATTGATAATAAAACTGTTTGTTCGAAGTTGCAGAACAGACTCAACAAGTTCACTAACTATCCACACCCAGTCATTGTATGGTCTTTAAACCAACCTATAAACACATTTCATACCTGATAAACTGCTGCATCGAGATTACTCAAGGCAAGAAAGGCCATGTTATTCTGAATTGCGTACACTACAGAGGGCACGCTCAGCTTCAGCAGTTCTTTGGGGCTGCACAACACATGCTCCACCAAGGTGTTCTTCAGTCTGGCGGGACTTCCTGTTTCTCTGAGAGAGGAGACACACAAACAGAACTGATGAGAAGAAGAAGAAGAAGAAGAAGAAGAAGAAGAAGGGTACTTGAGATCGGTAGTTCCAAGCTAATACCCCTTTCCTCAGCTCAACCAATCACGTTCCAAATGTGTTCACCGATTGTATCGTGGATCATTCATCGATGTTATAGAGTGGATATTATTTATATATTATTATATTATAATATATATCTTCATCATGCGCTTGCTCTGTCCGTGTTTTGGTTTGATAAACTTTGCGTTCGTTATTATGCTCGATGTTTCAACCATTTACCTTATTTTTAGAAGTATCCCTGCACGTACCTCTGCTTGGGTATCCCTGCTTTAGACGATTCACTTAAATAGACATTAACTCCACTTATGGACGTCGTTGATTTTCAAGTGAAGAAGACTAAAAACCTTTGTCCATGATCAGAGTAAAAACATCCATGTATACTTGGGCATATTGCCATTATTCTGACAGATATTACAATATGATTCACGATTAGTGGGAATGATCATTTTTGTATCACAATTTACATTTTCACAAAAACAACAACAACTATTAAAATCATGATAATTTGACATTTCTGTGTGAAACAAACATTTTTTTTTAAATCTGGAGAACAAGATTGAAGGCCAGGGCATCTCTTTAGAACTACAATACTTCATTATAGTGCGATTTTGTCACATATTTGACTTTTTGGGGGGATACTGTACTTGGCAACATTGTGATTTTCAACAATATTTTGGTTAATTGTTGATGTTAATTAACAGCCCTAATGTTTACCCCTGTAGTCAACAATGCAACAAACTAGCTGTGTACAGCATTTACTGTCAGTGTCAGAATATATTCACATCTAAATCTGTGAATTAAGGGTTTATTTCAACCAAACCGGAGTTGGTGATTGTTGGAAAAGTGGAAAGACTAACCAAGACAGTCATGGTGAGTTTTATTTAGTTAAAAGAAGAGTTTTAAACACAAAATGAATTCATCTACATCATCACACTATAATTGTTAACATAAGCGGTCAATTTTAAGACAAAGTTAAGACAGATCTGTAAAGGATATCTTTCATTAAACTATATAAAATATACGTATATCTTTAGTCGAATCTAGTATAGTTATAAACTAGATTTTAACATTTGATTCCTGGAGAGCCAATTAAAAACTGTATGATGCCTAAAAATACCTTTGAAGGTGTAACCTGGTATCCCTCCAAGGTTTGTGTGAGGAACACAAGAGGTTTGTACACAGTTGAGGTCACATCAAATCAAGTTTATTTACATAGCACATTTAAAAACAACCAAAGTAACCCCAATAAAAGACAATAAAAGACAATAGAAGACAATAGAAGACACTTACTTTGACAGCATCCCCAGGCTCAGTATGAGTTTAATGACCTCGGTGATGCACACTGCAGTGGTGGAGAAGTACAGCTCTCCTGATGAGATGGTCCTTGTGTATCTCAGTGCCACTGTGTATGCAGCCGCCACCAGGGTCATCACCGTCAGGCAGTACACCTTGAAGACCACACTCGCATTTTCTGACGACAGACCGACAACAATACCTCTTAACGTTGGCTGACGGCCATTAGCCTACATGCTGAACCTTCACTCAACAGTCACAACAAGTGTTATCACCGTAACTGACACATAACTGGAGCCCACAGCGGGTCCCTTTAACTCAGCCCCTTCCTCCAAACGTCGCTGTCGCTCCTCTAAGCTAACGTTAGCCCGTGGTGCTAGCTTGTATTCTGTACTCACCGCCGGCCATCGTTGCTCTGGTTGTCCGTCCGGGTGGCTAAAGAAGTGGCTTCTCCTGCTCGGGTTACATGGCAGACGTATCCCAGTGTGGATTAAGGAATGCTGTCCGACCAGTAACACATCACGACAGGAGTCTAGTGTAGATTCTCCCCGCTGCTGCCTGGCGACATCCACATCGTACTTCCTGCATTTCCCAGAACGCAACGCGAAAGTGTGACGCTGAAGTTCGGCTTCCGATTCGGCAGTTAAGGGTTGCTGAGCGACCGATTTGTTTTTTCTTTTTTTTTTTTGCTAATTTAGTGAAAACTTATTATTATACTTGTAAAAAAAAATCAAAAAATATGTTTTAAAGAGCCTCTGTCCTCTCTGGGGCAATCTAATTCAGATTTAACAAGTATAGCGGTAGTGCTTCTTTTTTGTCTAAATGTTTCCGGGGGAACAAGTAGAATACAGCGTTACAACGGTAAGAGCTTCGGTCGCTCAGCAACCGTAAATTAAATCTCCCCTTAAGTTTTCCCTTAACTGCCAACTTGGAAGCCAACTTCAGCGTCGTAATGTAAATCCCCTTCACGAAGGGTGTGTTCGTTTTCTACCTCGATATCCTGTCGGTTTGTTAAATATCTATTATGACGTTACACGGCAATATGTATTATTCTTCAATTCTTCCTCCTAAAAAAAAAGTTTGCTCCATCCGTCAGTGTAAGAAACAAACAACATTTATTAAATAGAATATTTTATATAGAATATAGTGATTATTAACATTAACACTGTGAAAATATAAATGTAGAAAATACTTTAAAAAATTAAAACAACAACAACATTCTTGGTGTTCCTCCAAAGTTCAATGGAGGATTGTACACAGTCAAATCAAATCCAAATCAGTTGTGCACATATGTAAAAACTAAAACCTGCTAAGAACAAATAAAAGCCACAGAGAACATGTACATCTTGAGTTTTGTCTTAAAATTGTTGATGGAGTTGCTTATTAATGAAGGCAGAAAACTATTCGAAAGATTTTGATTTGCCACCGCAAAGGCACAATCTCCCTTAAAAACAAATAAAAGAACCCTAAAATCCATCCTGTATTTGACAGGTGGCCAGTGCTGGGATGAAAGCACTGGTGCAATGCCGTCTCTTTTCCTGGCCCCAGTGTGAAGTGTCCTTGCAGTTTTTATGCACAAGCTGCAGACGAGACAAAGACGACTGGCCGAGACCCAAGTACAGAGAGTTGCAGTAATCAAATTTTAAGGAGATTAATGCAGTGGCAACAGTCTTCAAATCACTGAGAGAGAGGATGGATTTGACCTTTATTCCTCAGCTGAATAAAAGCAACCTTTCACCACAGAGTTGATCTGCTTGTGAAATGTTAATGCTGACACCTAGATTCCTTTCATAGGCATGAAGGTTTGAAGTCAACAGCCCCAGATGGCGAGCTGTATTCCCTGTGTGTGGGGGGTGGGCAAAAACAATTACCTGTTTTGTCATCATTCAAATGAAGGAACATTTTTTCCCACCCTGGAGGCATTTTAGGATGGGAAAAACTGAGTTTTGTCAGGTAGATCTGCTTATCATCAGTATAACAGTGAAAGGTGGCATTGTGCTTGTGCAATATGGAGCCTATGGGAGCATATAGAGCAAATAAAGTCGGCCCTAGAATGGAACCTTGAGGTACTCCACAAGTGATGGGGCAGTAGAGGAGGAGTGGCTGCCAATATTTACAGAGAAGGTCCTGTCTTGAATTTCCCTCGGGATAAATAAAGTATCTATCTATCTATCTATCTATCTATCTATCTATCTATCTATCTATCTATGTAAGTAGGAGGTAAACCACTTGAGGACAGTGCCATGGATGCCAACCTGGTCCCTGGTCTCACAGAATTAAAATGTCACAATCACCACAGTCCAAAGACAAAAGTAGGACATTTGAGGCTTTGATAAGGGCAGATTCTGTGCTGTGATGAGCCCTGAAACCTGACTGGAATTTCTCCATAATGTTATTATTATCTAAAGTAAGACAGAAGTTGAGAGTAAAACAAGTTTCTCCAGTATTGTGGACAGCAAGCTTGGAGATAAATTTATGTTTATTAACATTGTCTTTTATTTTTATGGTTAGTGTATGGCTAGCTATTGTAAGGATTTTATTGGATGTCATTTCTTTACCAATTTTATGTTTAACTGTGTTTAATTGTCAAGTACAAAATGGCAAGTATTCAGAGGCATAAAACATAATTTTTGTGTAGCTTAGGTAATCTCCAACATATATAAGCAAATGATACAAATACTGGTGAGCTTACTTAAACATGCACTGAAAAAATCAACTAATAAATAAAATAGTATATTCAAAGAAATTATATGTTGTGATAATTTAGGAAGTACACAATCTTCAAATCTGAATATAAAACAGACATATAAGAAAAAACATATTCAATGCATATGTATTGTTTGAATGTATTTATTTTCAACAAAAAACAAATGTTCTAAGTTTCATTCAAATAGTTTGTTAAATTCAATTAAAACATTTGAATAATTGTGAAACTGTTAATTAAGTGGCTTTAATCAACAGTACATGGAATCAAGATCATCACTGAAAAACCTGTTCTGATCAACTTTATCATCTTTCTGATAACATGAAATAAAGAGGGGATATCTGAACTCTTTCAGCATTAATAACACCAAGAATGTGATCAAGATGATAAACATGAACATTTCAGGGTTAAGATTCTGTTTACTTTGATAATGTTATTTATTTTTAGGGAATAATCTGTTACAACTATTATTAAAGACAAGTAACTTGATGCTTCTTTGAACTTCTGGCGTAGTGTCACATTAAACACTCGTCAGGAAAAAGGAATGTAGTGCAACACACTGCTTAGCGACTAAATCTCCTGTTAAGAGTCAGAATACCCCAGGGCTGTTATAATGGGTATTCAGACCTCTACATCTGTCTGAGCTTCCTGAAGGGCAGCAGGAGCGAATCCTCTCCCTCTGACAGCAGCCAAAATCCCACCACACCAACACTGTACGAACATCACAACCTGTTGGGCGCACATTGAAGCTGCGGGTGATGTTAAATGGGCAGAGAAACAATGGTATTATCACCCATCATAGAAGATATTCTTAGATGTTTAAAGTTATGGGAAACACGTCCATCACTTCTTGTTTAAAACTTCCCACAAAGACCCAGCTTGTGATATTATTTTTGGTGTAGCTCTACTCACAAATGGCACACTGTCCATGCAAGTCCATGCACTGCTGCTGGAGGAAAAGCTGTATTTTGAGCACAAGGTTGAGCATTGTAGCGTGGCAACAGAAGCGAACTCAGGAGTTGTCAGAGGGAACGTGCTCGAAGCCTTCGCTCTCCCTCACCAGCGCCCTCTCCAGGATGACGCGGCCCTCCTTGTAGCGCTGGCTTTCCTCGGTGGCGAACTCGTACATCCAGCCTAGCTTGCTGTTGCAGTTCTTGCAGCTGACGTCCCGCACCATGTGTCTTCCTGTCAGCATGACCCTGTCTTGCACCTCGCTGTGCTGCAGATTCACGACCTGGAGTAGAGGGCGGCAGTCAGATATCTGTCACCGTAACCGCCATCTTGTTTTCTAGAAGGTGTTTTTAGGTTTTTCAAGCACATTTTAGCACGTTTGAACACTTTTTTAAGAAAACATTTCAAATTCTGATATGTGTGGACGAGATGTAGTTGCAAATTATGTTCAGGGTGGCAGCTACAATTATTTTCCTAATGGGTTCTTGATTAATTGTTTAGTCTATGAAATGTCAAGGAATAGTGAAATAAAATGCATAAAAACTCAAACACCTACAGATATTAAATTTACCTTAAGATTTAAAACTGTGAAAAGCTTCAGATGCTTACATTTGAGAAGCTAGAACCATCAGATGTTCAGCATTTTGCTTGAAACAATTAATCAACTATTAAAATAGCTGAAGATAAAGTAGCCATACTAATTGTAGCAACTCTAATAACGTCCACAGTCATCAATAAATGCTTGTTGTATTGTTGAAATTAGGACTTATTTGTTCCAAATTTTTGTTCAAAACTATTTCCAAAGTTCATGTCAGTTCTTAAATCATATCAATCTTTATTGAGGACTATTTTGCTTGTTTGTGTTGGTCTAATGCTGCCACCTCCTGGATTTGGAAATACTTACAAGTAAATGTTTCTATCTATTAATGAGGAAATGTTCATCACGTGGAAGACATATAATTAGTTTAAAGTCAACTTTAGCTAGACTATCTGAGTGTTAACACAAAGAACTACAGTGGAAAGGACTACCTGACTCTGGGTGATCCTTTATCTTGTATTTTTAAATATTTTACCCAAGGTCCAATCAATTAAACTAACAAAGTGCAACATTATTGTGATGGTCCAGGTGAAGGGAGTGATGTGCAGGTACCTTGTTGAATAGGAAAGCTCGGCCGGTGGCTCCAGTGAAGCGCGTGGAGATGAGTTCGGCTCGGTTGGTCAGAATGGTGTCACAGTTGGCACAGGAGAAGAGGCGAGTCCCACCAATGTGATCCAAGAAGATCCGCCCCATTTTGTCTACCAATAATAATAATAAAAAAAAAAACATACAAATAAAAAAACAGCCTTGTTAGATGATGTAACACACATCTTGGTAGCGACTGTACAACCAGACATAGATAATATACATATACTTTCTTTAATATCCCTTATATTATATCATTTTGGGACATGTTGCAAATTAAATTATCTAATTTACTGGATTTGTCAAAGAAATTACAATCTGGTCCTTTTTCCAGTAACAAAATCTCAACTACAGACTGTGATACAAGATTGTATCCATATTGCCAACCTATTTTTTCCCTGACACCCAATTTCTAAAAGATGTAGTGATTCCTGATGAAAAAAAAAATGGTTGAGACTATGTCAATCTTTAAAAATCATGCTCAAAGTAATGTATTATTTTACTTTCTTTGTAATCATTATTGAAGGTTTTATTTGTATTTATCATTTACAAGGTATTTACAAAGATTATCTGTTCAGAAATGTATGTAGGGTATTAAATATCCAACTTTATTCCCTCTACAACACAAACTAATAGTACAGTTTAAGTACTTTTTACGACTTTCACACTCAAATGCAGAGATTTCTAGGACTCACTTGAATGCATCATTAGGGTCAATAACAAGGTTAAGCAAAAGACAAGAAAATACATTTTTAACTGTGGATTTAGCTTCCTATGATAAACTAGCAAGAGCTGTAAGCTTTATGTACTAAACAACAACACCACAATCTGCTCGATAGTCTGTCAGGAAACAATGTCAAAGGCATCCAGATCATCGCTAATAGGCCAAACAGCGGTTAGGCAAAATGTCTCACCTCGTAACGTCAGCAAGCGGAACAGCAGCTGGCAGAAGAAGATAATATTATTCACGTCGGAGTGTCTTAATTCTCCTGTTTTTGTCTTCAATCTCGGGTGATTAAACAGATCCCCGTTTCCTCACGGTGGAGTTTGACAACAACAATAACAGAGGAGAGCAGTTACCATGGCGGCTGTTCTATCCACGCTGGCGTCAATGACAACGACGACTTCCGCGCAAAAACACTTCAAAATAAAACAAATGTATTCTGACAAGGCCATTTTAAATTAACATCCGAATGCTTGTGATCATAATAGTAACGGCGATCATCTCAAAATAGTATTAGAGTCTGTACTTGAAGATTAGAGTACGCAGCTCCGTGCTTGTAACGCGTTTTTTTTTCAATTACAAAGTCTACGCTTTTATTTTGTAAGCCGGGTTTCCCCTGTGTTTTCCGTGTATCTCTGTTAGCTTAATGCGGCTCTAGAGAGGCAGCAGAGCTCACTTGTACCAGTGACAGTACTTCAACACACAGCAAGAAGTTGTCAGTCCTTTGGCTACTTCTATATATGTATATAACTAACTGTATAAATGTATTTATTTTATTTAATTGCCTCTGGTAGGCACTGTACGCCTGTTTCTACCCACAGGCCATCACTCTGACCAACAGTTAACTGCCTTGTACAATGAAACCATTTATTACTTATTTTCCATTGCTAAAAATTCAGTTTCTTTTCGAAAACGTAAAACATAAATTCTATTCTAATACATCTATCTATGCTGTGCATACTGTATGTACATGTATTTGAAAAGTGTCCTGAGATAACTTCTGTTATGAATTGGCGCTATACAAATAAAATTGAATTGAAAAAATTGAATGTATCGACGGTAGGCGCTGCCATATCCCATGTACATAAAGATACCTGCATGTAAAATATTTATTTCAGCATCCTTTGCACTCTGCACCATTGCACTACTGTCTACTGTCTACAAATGTTTGTATGTATAGCTGTACGTATAAGTCTATGTCTTTTTTGTTGAACTTGTTCTGTTTATTTATGCTGTTAGTCTGTGTTTGAGTCAAATTCCTTGTATGTGCACATGTACCTGGCCAATAAAAGTGATTCTGATTATATGAATTTGATGATCTTTTCCTGTGTGTGTAGCATGAAGGAACTACAAACTTTCATTTTGTTATATTTAATAATGAAATATCCTTGATTCTTTGATTTCCTTGATTCATCTTTTAAAAAATGATAGTTTGATAAAACCTATACTCCCCAGCTGTTTAAGTTAAGTTTAAGTGACACTATATTCTTTTTTACATCTTTGTTGGAACCAGTGGGCTTGGGGCTCAGGGCCTTGATGGTGTACCAGATGGTATCCTTTAAGATCAGTTCATGGTTTATTAAATGTGGAATATTAGTTGGTTTTCAATTCATTTAATATTGTGGAAAAACACATCACAGCCACGGTGACGCCTCCAGATCCAACAGCCTATCGAGAAGCAGGGAAAGAAAGCAGCAGAAAGTGCACGTATTGTGTGCTTGTATCAAATATTATAGACCAATTTAGCATTGATCAAGGCTATCACAGGCCCATGACATCAATATACAACCAAGTACTTATCATCATGTACTATAAAAATCCTACAATCAAGTCACAGATTAACTTTACAGCTGTAAGATTAACAAAATCAATGTGATTTACCTGGTGATTTATCGCAAAACATTTTAATCCAAACTCACATACTCCTAGCTCACTTTATCCTCCCATGGCATTTCATATGTCTTCACCAGATTGTTCAAAACCCTCAAAGCCTCCCACCTTAAGTTACGTGACAGTGAGCCAAAGGCATTAGCAATGTCCCAGAATACCACATAAAAATCTCTCTCTCCTCCCGACTGCATCTGGTGCCAAATCATCGTTGGTGCGCTCTGAGCAGCCAGAAAAGCAACGATCAGTAAAATCCATCTGGTGGTCTATTGCTCCAGTTGGTGGGATATGAAGGCCTATCCTCCTTCACCCTTTCCTCGTTGTTTCTTCTGTTCCCTCCTTTGATACTTCACTTTAATATTCAGAAACTAAAAAGGCTCCTCAATGCAACTGTTTCTTTAATTCTTCTTTTTTTTCAGAAGACTCCATTCGCTCCTCGAAGCTGCCAGTTTATTCTTCACATTTCAAAGTTTTCACTGTCTTTCTGATTATGTAATTGAGTAGCTATCTTAAGACAAGTTTGTACACGACAAGTAACAACTGCTTCTTTTTTTTAAGTCTCAGATTTATTTCAAAAGCCTCTCATTCACTCCTCCCAGCAGCCATTTTACTCCAGGGGCCCTCATTTATCAAACTATCTATCTGGAAACTTGTGACAATATTCGTAGGGGGAAACGATCTTTGCCACTACCACATAGACCAAGTGTTCTTAAAAAAAGAATGCACCATACATAAATGATTCATCATGATCAACACACAAAACATGTCTCAGAAGCTGCATACTCTCTGTTTTTGTACTGAAGTTCTTGGATCTACACCAACTTCAGAGACTTCTAGTTTTAAGCATTTTTAAATTGGTCTAACTCTAACTGAGCACTTTTCCATAATCCTTCCAGCTACAGGAGTTTGTGTCTGTGTCTCAGGCTTTTAATTAAGTACGAGTCTTGTTTGTGGTCAGATATTTTAAAGCTCTTTTAATTACATCCGGTCTGAGAAGGAAGAAGAAAGATCCTCAGGTCAAGTTAGGCCAATCAGTTTACAACTGTTTGTATGGACACGTGTCATGGCGTCTTTGCATATGCAGAAGTGTAACTAAAGGACAAACTGTTCAGCCCCACTAAGGCTGTACAAAGATTAGCATAGATCGGGGAGATAAAAGCCATGCTTCGGCAGGGGTTTCATGCAGAGTTAATGTCCTTGAGGGAAGATAACAGACTGTAAAGGCAATTTGACCTCATATCTGGATTATGGTAATCATGATTGAAGTGACAGCGTTCATAGTTCTGCAGCATTCAAGATCCTGACTGTATATTCTCCAGTACAGACGTCAGCTGAGCCCTTTAAATGTGTGTAATATGTGCTTCTATGGGCGTGTGTACATGTCCAAGTGATTTAATGCAGTGTTAATACTGGCTGGATTAGAGGCAGTATTAATATTATGATATAAGGACAGAAGCAGTAAAAAAATCTGGTTATTTGTTTTCTTAACCCATTTGCGCTTCTGGTCATCCCTCACCTCTCTAATCTGAGGAGGCATAAGAGACAGTCGAGCCTTACGACTGGGAAGCATCAATGTTACGTAGAAAATAACATTTTTGTTTTGATGACAATATTAGATATTAAATAAACACACCATCTCCATGCACAGTAAGATTCACAGGACACTCTGAGAAGAAGATTTTAGGTAATCTCTACTGTTCAAGTAAGTCCAAGTAATTATGAGGACATAAATACAAATGTTTCATTGAATTATGGGACAAAAATACCTCCAGAAGGTTCAGTGGGGAGTTGACTCACTACTGTGAAATACTCATTAACTCTACTTTGTTCCCAACGTTAAAACAAATGATTTTTCTTATCCTCTTATCAGGCCCTTTCTTCTAAAATCAAAGTATGTGTAGAAACTTAAGTCCTTTCAAATGTAAGTAACTCCTCTGACATAAAACCAACAAGCATGGTTGGTCGTTGGGTTGTTGTTTTTACTTATTGTACCCATAAATCTATAGATAAAAAAGAGATAGCTATTTGTGCTGGTAAACGAGATAATCTTTTCCCCCTCACACTGGTGGTGTTTTTTGCCCTGTCACACCACGTATCTGTTGTCAGCCTACAGTGTGGCGTGAGTCCTGACCTTATATTGTTGAGGTGGAGAGGTCAAGTCAACATGGGGAGCTTAGCATAAAGACATTTTTGACCAGACGACACCCGAACTGTATGCTGGGTCTACCTTTGGACAGAGCCAGGCTAGCTGTTCCCACCTGTTTCCAGCCTTTATGCTAAGCTAAGCTAACCGGCTACTGGCTCCAGCTGCATATTTAGTGTGCAGATGTGAGATGGTGTGTGTGTGTGTGTGTGTGTGTGTGTGTGAGTGTGTGTGTGTAATGTGTGTCGAGCCGATATAAGCAGAAATAATCTGATTCAGATTTGCATTAAGTTTTAAAGCAATCTTCGGTCACTTGTTTGACTGCAGTTAATCCGTCCGCCTTCAAAATGACGAGATGTTGTCAATCAAAGCATCCCTGGAATAAATGAGAAGCTCTTGATTAAAATAAACTGGAGATTCAAATCGTTGTCACAATTACACAGTTTTGACTCAGAAGACAGGACAAAGCTTGTATAACTGAAGTTGTGCCGTGTAGATGCTTATGTGCAAATTTTTATCACAATGACAAAATACATTTATGCAGGTTTAATGCTGCTTGTTAAACCAATAAAGACCATGGGCTCTTCTCTTATCTAACTGCAGGACAGATAATGCATTGCTCTTTTATCAGACAAACGATTGAACAGTAAAGTTACTTCCTTTTGTAACTCTAATGTTCTGATTATGATTATCCCAGTCCAGTAATAATAGAATATAACAGTGGAGCTGCAGATTTCCTTAGCATACTAACAGCAGTGTTATTTGGTAATCAAATCATGTTTCATGAATATTATGTTGTTTTATCGGATCTATTAGTAGATTATTAGATTCTTATCTTACTTTTTATTTAACCAAATAAACAATAAAGTTTAAAGCCTTTTTTGATAGTCCAGAAATAGAATCACATTAACACCCTGAAGTTCACTTTCTCTCATCATTACAATAAAAGTTTCATTTACTGTGTCGTTGTTTCATTATCAAACCTGATGGCTGTGTCCTTTGGACATGAAGGCCAGTCCCTCCCCTCCGTGAATATTTATAGTTTACTGGCCAGGTATAACTGATAATGAGATAGAAAGACGGCTGACTGCCAACAGAGAGAGCAGAGAGGAAGGAAGGCTCCATAAAAGATCCACGAGGACAAAATCTGAGAAAATCAGCGATATGATGTTTCCACAGCTGGTTCTGGTAACGGTTCTGGGGCTCACATGGACGACAGGTTTGCTTCATTTAATGCTCTTGTCTCTCTTGTTAATGCTGCAGTTTTTAAATCTGACTTGAAGAAACTAATAATTACTGAAATAGAAATTATGTAGAACTTGTAAAGGATCATCAGTTGTGTGGGGATGAAGCTGTGTTTGATTGTTCAGTGGAAGTAAGACAAGTATATTTAAATATAAGTTTTTAGCTTCTATTGAATGTGCTTAACATTAGTTGGTTATAATATTTAATGTCTTTTTAATTTTGTTTTTGATTTGACATAAACTGTGACTGAATGCATGGATATTTTTTCTACTTCCTGCCTTTTCCTGCTCCACCAATTCTACATTTTATTAGTTTTTTTAAATGACAACCAAAAATGTTTTAATTTAAAAATTCTGCACAGCTCATCAGTTGTTGAAAGCGATGACTGATCTTAGATATTTGATCCACTAATGTAGCCTATCAAAATCTTAGTGTAATATATTTGTGTGCTTTTAAAGGGGAGTGATTATTTAAGTTTGAGTCACTTTTCCATGTGCAAATTGTACATGAGATCAGTACTGTAACCATATCAGAGACATGCTGTTTCTGGTGAAAAAAGGAGAGTAGTAGCTAAATGTGTGGTTTGAGCATTAAGTTATCATAATATTCGATCCACTATATATATATATGTTCACAACAGTGCACTCACAACAGTGCACTCTTTGTTGTCTATCCCTGGTTTCAGTCACTGGACTGCCCTGCACTCAGATGTTCCCCTCTCAGTCGCCACCTTCCAATGGTAAGTCAGATAGATGACACCTTTATTAGAGCCTCACTTACATTAATGGCTGTAGGTTCAACTTATTTCCCAAACTGTTACTGTGGATGGAAATGTGTACATCACATAAAAATGATGATGTGGTTCATTGTTGATTTTGAGGGTGCATCAGTGGCTTTACTTGAGTATTTCCATTTCATGCCTTTGTACTTCTACGGCATTGTAATGTTTTTTCTGCACTATATATATGAGCATATGTGACACCTGTTGTTCGTATTTACCTTGCATATTAAACATTTTCCATCTAAAACATATAATCAGCTTATAAAATAGGATGTATTATTGTAGATTAAACTACTGCACAGTACATAAAGAAGTTAACTCCAACTCAACATTAAAATGCTGCGTTCTGGTAAGTAATAAGAATCCAGTAATATATTAACAATAAATAAATATTTTACTTTTGATACTTACAGTATACATAATCTTTATGTACTTTTACTTTAGTTAAATTATGAATGGAGTATTTTTATAATGTAGCATTGCAACATTAACTAAAGTAAAGGATCTGAATACTTCTTCCACTGATTGATTCATACAGTTAATATCACTGCCCTCATAGCTCTGACACAAATATTAGTTCTGATGTGTAATATAACAAATTCTCCTGTTTCCCTGTGCTGAGATTCAATTAAAATTATAATTTTTTCTTTCTCAAGTTAACAGTGTTAAGCCCTCAGATGTGGCTGTACTCTCCTCCATTGGACTCCACATGCATAGGTGAGCACCAGTTAGCTTCAACCATGAGGTGATATTTGCACCAAGAGGTCTGCAATTCAACAATATAAACATAATCACACTGTGGTCTTTTGTTTTCCTGCAGCACTGAGCTGTCCACAGTGGTGTCAAGACTCAGTGGTAAGATTCAAACTTTTATTTTGTTGTTTGAAGTGTTCACAGTGCCTAAAGACAAATCTTTCTTAAATAATTTACTTCACAACAGTTCATAACTTTCCTCCTGCACTTCTTTCCCCCACTGCCTTCTAACAGGCCTGATGGGAAAGCTCCAGTATCTTTACTGGTGCTAAAACAAACTTTACCTTTCACTAGAATTGGCCCACAGTCTAAATACACAGTGTAATTCATCTAAAGGGGTTGATATGAGCTTCTATTACACTACTGTGTGCTATCTTTACTACACTGATATCTACTAACTGTGATAGTTTGAATCGATGAACCCCGATACACCGTAGGCTGTTATCTTGTTTAAAGGCCATTCGTGAAATAAAAAGTACTGCCGGGACTTCATAGAGATAAAATACTGACTGACCCAAAGCAGGAAGGTCACAGTTGTTGATCAAAGATTATTTCTTCTGATTAAATTGTCCACACAGGATTTGCAGCCCTTTTGTAAGTTTTCAGTAATAACTTATTTTATGAGAATGAAGATATTTACTGTATTTCATTGTCATATTTGTGTTTGATTTATAGACAAACTACATGGTAGCTAATTATGAATCATTACATGTTTAAGTGTCTGGATTGAATTGTTATGAAGCCCACAAAAACACCTTTTTCATGGTCAATGTGTCATGTGTTTATGGCTGCAGATAACAGTTATTATTAATTAATCTGTGAAATATTATCTTGATTAATTATTAAGGGGCTTGGGCTCGGGGGAAGGGGGGTCGTTCCTTAAAAGGAAGGGGGGGGGGTTCCCCCCCCCCCCCCCCCCCCAAAAAAATATACCCTAAAAAAAAAAAAAACAAAACCCTGCCTCCCCTGGGTTTGTTAATGAATATGAATATATATAAATTTTTTTTTTTTTTTAAATGATTTTACCAAAAAGGAAAAAAAAGGGGAAAAAAGGAAAAAGGAAAAAAGAATATAAAAAAATAATTGGTGGGGGAAAAAAAAAAAAAAAAAAAAAAAAAAATAAACATTAATTGTTTGCTCTATGAAATGTCATAAAATAGTAGAAAAAACTATTTCCTAAAACAAAAGCTGACATATTGAAACTCAGAAGAAAACAAGCAAATATTTACATATGAGAAGTTAGAGCCGGCACATTTTTGGTATTTTTATTAAAAATTACTTAAGACAATTCCTCAGACATCTGTCATTTTACAACTGGATTAATAGTTTAAGTTCTGCTGTGATTACCCATACAATGACACACATTGAGATAGAAGCTCTGGGTTTTGTTGTTAAACTTAAATATCCCTCCATCAGAGCTGATGACCTTGTTCAATCCGGCACTGATCAATCCTCATCAATCAGACGAAACAAATCTGTACGGCCCTCAGTTTGTACAACACAGGTAAGGACAGAACTTTCTCACGCATGAAAAATATACTAATGCCGACAGCTACTAATGATTTGATTTGTTTGGTTTGCAGCACGCTGGTGGAGCAGGCCAAGGATGTGTCCCTCTACCTCCAAAACAGTCAGGTAGGGACTCCACTGTCCACACTCACATCTTAAAGGATACTTATACATCTTTCATCCACAGTGAAACCAATGAGGGAATATAACTTATGTGGGAGTTTAACTCTTTAACTAAATCTGAGTGGTTTACTTTGTTTTTCTCCTGCAGGTCATTGATGTTGACAGAGACTGGAAGCTGCTTCTTCTCTTTGTTCAGATGGATCGGCTCTGTGCCTGTGAGCAGGTAAAAAAAGATATTATTAATATTGATTAAATTATTTTTAAACAAAAAAATACACATATGTGTTTTTGTGTGTTTAGAGTGAAAGTCCAAATCACCCATTCACTCAATCACTGAAGTTTCTTTTATTCTTATCAGTGTCAAACTCCAAACTTTCCATGATATAAGCTGATAAACTGTCTGTCTTAGATATATATATATATATTATATTGTCTTCAGTGAACAGCTGCTTCTAAAGCGAGCAGAGGAGCTAAAATAACTGTGCAGATGTAGGGAAATCAGTGAAATGTAGTATGTAGAAAGTAATAATTTTCTAAACCTCCACAAGTGAACACAGAACTGTGAACACCCGTAACAAATATTAGCATAAAAATACCAATACCGAGTGTCTGTGGAGAAGTTGTTCCATTAGTTGTATAAATGTGGCCTCAGACTGTTTGTGTATTTGTGTGCAGGTTCAGTCTGTCATCAAAGCCGTAGTTGAAGAGGTGGATGATGCTCTGCAGTTGTTGCACTCTCAGGTATATTTCAGATTATATATTTTATGTATCGGAATATTCATACTAATTTTGTTGGTTTATTATGTGTACTCTGTTCCTGGGAGAGGGATCCCTCCACTGGGGCTCTTCCTGAGGTTTCTTCCCCATTAAAATGTTTTTTTGGGGGAGTGTTTCCTCACCCAAATAGAGGGTCTAAGGACAGGTGGTGTTGAAAGTGAACTTGACACACATTTTGCAAATGATTTTGTTTCACGTCCCTGTGTGGCAGCTGAAGCGGACCATCGTCTGTGTGGCATTGTGGGATGGAGAGCATGACAGGTTCTACAACAAGTGAGTTCATGTGTGTCTGTCGCTGTCTGTCTCTGGCTTAATATAAAACAAATAAAACAAAAACTCATATAGTAAAATGTTTAATAGTTAATTTAACGAATGTTGTCAAATCAATGTAACGGAGTAAAAAGTAAAATTTTGGCTTCCAATAATGTAGAGAAGTACAAGTATTAAGTAGCATAAAATGGAAATACTCAAGTATTTAAGTGCAGTACCTGAGTAAATGTAATTAGTTTGATTCAATCACTGGTGCACTGTAGTTACAAGATTTCAGTCCTTTCATGCCTGTAGTTTTTAATGAATTATACAATAAAAATTGCAATATAAATTCCTAAAAACATCCCAACAGGCATCGCAACTTCCTAGAAAAGCAAAATCAGGCATTTTAGGCCACAACAATCCTGGAGGGATCCGTATCAGTATCATGAGAGGATTATATCTTCTTGCCAACTAACACACAGCGATAAACCGACTGCTGAAGTGAGGATAAAGCAGCCTGATAGTGCAGAACGTCTCTGTAATCATTAACTTTTAGGAGTATTATGTTTTAATTCGAGTGAATCTGTTTTAATGACAGGATGTGTCCATGCATGGGGACAAACAGTGAAGGAGAAATCAGACTTCAGAGGGCCATGCTGAGTCAGGCTCTGCAGGTTTGTCCATTATTCACATCCAACATATCTGTCAGATACATTCAGTCCTTTGGTTGTTTTAGCTGCTCTGAAATGTTGACCTGTATCGGTGGAGTTTGCTGTATATGTGACCTCTTCATGATAACATTTTGTTTTCAACTCAGGAGTCCTTGGATCAACTCTTGGTGAAGAAGCGCTGGTACGGAGATAGAGATGACTTCACTGTCATTGTGCAGGACACACCTTTAATCACAGACCCTTCATCTGTGAGTCACAGGCGGACGCCATCTTTTAACTCAAGTCTCATAGTTTCACCATCCGACGTCCCTTATTAATCCTTACTGGCACTGAGGCAAGATGAGCCATGTGTACCAATTTCTCAACACTTTATTGCCACAAAGTGATGATTTATAAATGTTATTTTCCATCAGTGCCACAGTGTAAACAAGTGTTTTAGACTTATGAACATTTCTATATCATAGTTCTCTGAATTTTGTGCCACATTTTATGAGTTTTTGAGCATGTCGTGGCTTTCAATTGAATTCATTTAATTTCTAATGCAAATTCTTATGAGATGATGTTAGTCTATGTCTGTTTATCACATATATCAGATACAGAGTCTTGGTTATTGCACTGCAGCTGGAAGTGAAGATGTACTTACTGTATCAAACACACAGTACCATTGTACTATTGCGTGGATGTTACAGATACAGAAAGTACATACAGTATAATGTTGTTGATGTTTTTAACAGAGTGGGAAGCCTCTCTCTGAGTCGCAAGCGTCACAACAAACTGATAACCTGATGGTGCAGATGTGGACAAACCTGGTAAGGCCCTAAAACAATCTCTTTTCTCTCCTATAGACACACACACACACACACGTATATACATAAACATACAGAGTTGTTGTACTCTGTGTGTTGCAAACATGAAGACAATGAGTTTTCTGTCTTTCAGCTGCAGCCCACAAGTGGCCAACACAGCACAGAAGACAATGGAAAGATCATTGCATTGCCATGTCCAACTGAGGTGAGTAACTGTGCTGAAAAGTCACACACATGCAGTAAAATCAGCATTTTAAAGTGTGCAAACACACATATTGTACTTTAAAATAAGTTTCAGTGGTGGCACACTCCTACTTTACCCTCCTTCTTCCCCAACCAACCTTTTTTTTCTTATTTCTATCTGCCTCCCTCCCCAAGGACCGGCCCTTCCTGAGGACGGAGGGAAATTCTCCTTCATATCACCACAGCGATGCCTCTCCTCTCCTTCTCCCAGTGAGTCTTGTGTTGTGTTGAGCCAAATGGAGGTTGTGGCAGCGTTGTATGTCTCCTGTTTAGTCTTGACTGTGGATGTGCTCTGTGTGGCTGCTCAGTTTACAGGTACAGAGATGCCCTGTGAGGACTTTAGCCCCTCATCCCCCACACCCAGCTCAGGTAAGATGGTTTACAGTCTTTTTGAGGGCGACTTTCAATTGAGGCATGTGTCATTTTTCATGCATGAGGCTTTTTTTGATACAAGATCAGCATATTGAAGTTGATAAATGAGGTATTGTCTTTCTTTTTAACTTAAAATGTCAATGTACGCACATTAAAATACAAAACTAAAGTCTTACACTGGCATACAAAATCATGGTAACACTTTATAATGAGTACAACCCGATGACGGTGGGAGGCGGGATGTTACGTCATATTTACGTTAACTCTCAGAGGTTTCTGACAGTGCAGCCAAGGGGAGCATGGAGGAGCACATTGGAGTCGGCGGCCGTCAGCGGCTCTAGAGGTGAGTATGTGTCTTTGTTTGGTAGCACACATTATGGTTGAAAGATAACGTTAGCTTGTCACTTGACACTAACGACTAACGTTACTAACGTTACCGACCCGCCGCTGCTAGGCACTCACCTCGCCCGGCTAGACGAGACTAGGCTAGGTCGGCTTAGCCACCGCGGGCGGGTCGGTAACGTTAGTAACGTTAGTAACGTTAGTCGGGGAGCGAGAGCAAACACCTGCAGCTGCTGACAAGCTAACGTTATCTTTCAACCATAATGTGTGCTACCAAACAAAGACACATACTCACCTCTAGAGCCGCTGACGGCCGCAGACTCCATTGTGCTCCTCCATGCTCCCCTTGGCTGCACTGTCAGAAACCTCTGAGAGTTAACGTAAATATGACGTAACATCCCGCTCTCAGCACGTCATCACGGTGATGACGTGCTGAGAGCGGGAGCTCAACGTACACGTCCCAAACAGATAAGATCACAACAATAGCATGTCTTCATAAACCACCCTTGTTCGTCTCCATACAATATGTTGGGAAGTTGCAGTAAATATCAATACAATATGTTCTATATCCCTTTGTGTTGTGTCTCTCCTTCGTCTGTTAAGATAACTGAACATCGAGTCTCGAGGCATTGTCAGCCTTTATATCTCATTTGTAAATCCTTAATAAGCCATAGATAGTGCTCACTTTAGATCAGCTTGTGCAAAATACTTAATTAATGAGTAGTAAGTGCTTTGTAACTGTGAATTCCTGCATTAATAACTGTTTATAGGCCATCATTAGAAAATGAATTTGTTGTGAGTTTTATAGAACATCTGCTAACACAGTCACTAATCATTAATACATGTCTGAATATTGGATGTGCAAGTGCATGCAGAAATGTACAGTACAATGAAGAGTAAAACATTTATAACTGTGATTATAAACCACATAGTAATGACTATTTACAGCAGAATCATGCTTTATAAAATATGAATTCAGTATTTACTAATCCATAACTAATGTGCTTATCAATGATGAATAAAATATTTTTAACTGTGTTTATAAACTACATACTAATGTGTATTCATGCGTTATAAATGATGAATTAATTATTTATTCATGCTTAACTAATGCTTAATAGTGTGTACTCATTATAAAGTGTTACCCAAAATGATTAATCTGATACTGGACAGACTTTATATTGAGTTTTCCTTTTATTTGTCACTAATCTGTATATTTATCACCTCTACCTCTATCTATCGCCTCTGTTTAAGTTACCTTTAATTTCAAACGACACTGCGTCTGATAATGTAATCTCTATTTACTACTTAGAAATTAATAATTTCTTTATACTTCTTTCTAATAGTACTTTATTTCAATCCTACTATAAAGTACGTCTAGTTTGTTTTACTGCTTTATTATTATAATTACACATATAATGAGTATTATATTACTGCGCAGTCTCTCTAGAAATCCTGGGCTGTAATACTTAAGTTTTATGTCCTCTGTATTTTTCCAGTCCATGAACTCAGGCCTGGAGATATCAAAGTGGTGGCTGCTGTGGGAGACTCTCTGACAGTGAGACATTATGTTCATTATTTTCAGTAGATAGAAAAACAAAGCCATATAATGTAAAGTATCAAACATAATTAAATATAAAGTGGGAATAGATCCTAAAAGTAGGACCATAATCTTAACCTTTAAAATATACTAAATGTGAACTGTATTACAGTAAAATACTGTGTATTAGTTGCTCAAATTAGTGTAAAATGTTATATTCTGAAGCGTAAGATTGTGCTTGGATATTGAAATAGAAAACCGTATGTCACATTTATACCTACAAGAAGAGGAACGTGTCAATTATGTAGTCATTTAGAGTACACATATATAGTTTTATATACATATGGCAATCAAGAGGGTCTAAAAAGAGCAAGAGAACAGCAGACAAAGCTTTATTTGATTGAATTGAAAAGATTTTCAGCCGATTAATTAATAATGAAAAGAGTCAAGAGTTAATTACATTAGTTGGCCAAGGCCTCAATGTCTTAGTGGACATTCAGAACATGCACTTATTATGCATATTGGATAGTTATACCAGAGAAGTCATCATAGTATAATGAAATCACATATTTAATACCCACAGTAAACCTGATGTACTGGTTCGGGGAGGAGAAGGTCACACATATTAATATTTCTATCTTATTTTATCATGTCCTCTTCTATCTGTCAGGCAGGAAATGGTATAGCATCCAGACCTAACAACGTCCTGGATGTCCTGCGTCAGTACAGAGGTTTATCCTGGAGGTAAGCCATGTTTTAACATAACTATCACACAACCTTCCTGCATAATGCTTATTTCATATGTGCTATCATTTAAACACTGTATTCTGTGTTTTTTCTGCAGTATCGGTGGAGATGAAAACCTCACAACTGTCACCACGCTGCCCAGTGAGTCTCCTTGATGACTTGTATAATGGTTCAAACAACCTGTTAAAGCCAGTTTGTGTTGCTCTGCGATGGCCATTGCATGGAAAATTCACACGGAAATCTTTTTATTTCTATTATTTCTTTGTCATAACACAGACATCTTAAAACATTTTAACCACAACTTGACGGGCTACTCTGTTGGCATGGGCAAGCAGCAAACTCCTGAGGCTTTCCTCAACCAGGCCGTAGCCGGAGCTAAGAGCAAGTGAGTCCTATCGGAGGCATTTTCAGCTGCCTCTCACCAGATTATACCTGCTGATGTTGTAACAATTAAACTGATTTAAGTTAAACTTTAGACACACTCATCAAAGCTGTTCAGTTTTACACTTAATTGCAAGAGACCACACATTGTCGACTGTTTGTATTGTAATATTTCTGCAACTCTTACAGTAGTTACATATACATTTACTTTAACATAAAAGAAAAAGAAATTCATATAAATGATAAAAAAAAACTGTACATAAGTATATATATATTTTGAAAAGGAAGGGGGTGTTTCTATGAAAGAAAAAAAAGTTAATTTTATTGATATAGAATTTATTGTTTTAAAATCAAGTTATCAAGACTAAAATCTGTGATTAAACTGCTCTTTAAGAATCAGTTACTAAAGAAAGCAGAATTTGGATGAATATATCTTAAAATAAATGTGTTTTTAACTGTCTGAGTAAAACCTGTGAATTCACTGGGATACTGTATTTTGTTTATGTTTAAAGGGACATACCACAACAGGTCCGAACCCTGGTAGCAAGGATGAAGAATGACTCTGTAAGTTGATGTTTATTCTTGACCTATTTTTTAATTTGCCAACTGCCCTTTAATATCCTCTTGCATTGCAATATGTTACATCCATTTTAGACAATAACAATAGTGAAGACATTTCTGCTTTTTAAAAGACTTATGTCTTATATGTCTCTTTAAACGCCACTGCAGAGAATCAATTTTGAATCAGATTGGAAGGTGATCACCATTTTTATCGGTGGAAACGACGTCTGTGACCATTGCTACAACTCTGTGAGTACTAATGAGTAATAATTCATTTCCTGGAGGGGCCAAAAGTCACACAACCTGAAAATGTTTCCCTTTGTTTACAGCTGTTCTACTCTGTAGATAATTATGCCCGCAATGTTCGCAACAGCCTGGATTATCTACACAAAGAGGTAAAATCAACAGACATGCTACATTTTCTAATATATATATATATATATATCGATTGATTGTTTGTCAGCATTAATTGAGCTTGTCTCTGTCAGGTGCCTCGGGCTCTGGTGAACTTAATAGAGCCTCTCCTTATTACCCCACTGAGAGAAATGCACATGGACACTTCACTTAAATGCCCAACATGGCTGGTAAAGTGAGTGTCACCCTTATCTCTGCCTTTTTAAAACTCTCACTGAGATACTGGATGTGATGTAGGCTTTCCAGCTCACGCTCCCATCACGACTCCATATTCCCCCAAGTTATGATCTAATCGTAAGCAGTAGTATATCACCTTGTTATCTCTCCTTTCCCAGTATACTGTGTCCATGCGTTATCCTGCCAAAGGCCAACTCTAAAGCCCTTCAAATGGTGGAGGACATCAATAGAGGCTATCAGGTAGGAAAGAGCAAAGAGACCACACTATGATCACTATAATACCAGTCCAGTTCATGCTCAGGCATCAACACCTTCTCCTTCTTTCTTTCTTTCTTTCTTTCTTTCTTTCTTTAAGCGTTCACTGCGTGAGCTTGTGGAGTCCGGTCGCTATGACACTCGCTCAGACTTCACTGTGGTCGTCCAGCCTTTCTTCAGAGACCTCATCTTCCCCAGACTGCCGGTCAGTAACGTGGACTACACCGACTTTCAGTCAACTCACCGCAGGTTTAGCACCAGAATCATGACAGTTTTTCTGCTCCAGTGTGTATTTTATATTTGTATACGTGTAAAATAACTGTAGGCAGTTGACACAAACCAAAATTGACATTTGTTAGTAAATTTATGGTGTCAACCTACTTATCCAACTCTCTGCAAGAAAGCAAATATTCTGTATTCTTCGGTATCTCTCGGTTTAACTCTCTCTTTTTGAAAATGTTTTTCTTGTTGTTGCTTTTTCTATCATGCACCATACTGCATTGCCCAAACTCTCAATATTTTACTGCTCTGATTGATTAAAACATAGTAAGTAGTCCATAAAAGTACCTTTTCCACAGGATGGCCGTGCTGATCGCTCTTTCTTCAGTGCTGATTGCTTCCATCTCAGCCAGAAGGCCCAGACGCTGATGGCTCGCTCCCTCTGGAACAACATGGTAAGTATCTGACAGACAAAGTAAAAGATTATGTCATGTTTTGTGGATGCATTTAACTTGATGTGTGGATATTGGTCTGCATGGTGACAATATTAATGTACATATTATTTTGAGATTGCTTTTCACATGTCACCATTAAAGGTTTGCCCTCACTATGCATAGAAGTACACAGCAATGCAGCAAGCTCTACACATTTCCAATAAACACTGAAGACAGACATTGTGTCTTGGCACTATGGAAGCGCCTGAAAGCCAAACAAATACGTCTCTGTCTCACATTAGCCAAAGACCGTTATTCAATGTAATTAACACAAATTTAACGGATATGGTGTTATATTGTCAATGCAATTTAATCTTGACTCTGTAATCAGTTTGACACGAACGCTCGTAAGTCATTGACATGGGAATTTCTCCCTTCTTCACCGTTCATCGTATGTGACATGAACCGGGCATAACTCTCAATCAGCTTTCTCCTTTGGAAGAAAGTATCACCAATAAAAGACATTAAGACTTACAACAAAGTAATTCATCTAGTAATCTAGTAAAAAAAAACTAAAAAAAACTAGAGTGACAGTAAAGAGTAACATACAGAAAAGCTAGCTCAACAGTAAAATAACACTTTGCTTAGCAACACATTAGCTTCAGTCAGCTAGTGCAGTGGTTCCCAACCTGTGGGAACAAGGCTAGGGAATGGCTAGCATAGTTAACAATAAATGAAAACTAAATTTACCAAATAACGAAACAGCTTTAACAAAAGAGTACCTATAGATAATGCTCCAAACAAGTGGGGAGTAGATAAAACATACTTTGACAAAATGGTGGCTGTAACAATGTCAGTTAAACTGTCACGGAACTCTGCCAGTAGTGGTTGCCAGTAGCAACAGAATGTTCAACTGAAACCAACTGCTGGTGGCAGAATAGTAACACAACACTACTGACACGTATTACGATAAAAACCTTTAATGTAACATTTTATATTACATTTACTGAATGATACACTCTGATATATTTTCCCAGCTGGAACCTCTGGGCAGTAAGACTTCCGTACAGGATTTTACTGCAGACATTAACCTGAAATGTCCAAACAAGGTAAGAAATGTAGTGCTATAAATGCTGGTCAGTGTGTTTTTGTAAATCATGTGATGGTGGAATCCTGTGAGGAAACAAAAAACTATAAATGAATTGCCCAAACTTCTGTTGTTAAGTATATAATGTTTTTGATTGAACAAATCAATTTTATATATTTTGTGGCTGCAAAGCCACTTATGCATTATGTAATGTAAGTCCTTTCCTTTGTCTACAGACTTCCCCATACATACGGACCTACAACAACAGCAATTACATGTATGCTGGTCCCTCTCCGACACCTGGACCTATCGCAGTAAGTATTTCATCTCCATCGGAGAGGCTGCTGAAATTAAATATGTAAGGCTTAACAACTAAAGACCTGAATGAAAGTAACATTTCATAGACGCTTGCATTAGTTGATGAGGTTATTGACAGAATAATTGACTACTTTGATAATCTATTAATCATTTTTAAGTCATTTATCAAGGAAAAAATGCTTAAATGTGAAGATTTGCTGCTTTTCTCATTTGCGATTAAAATTCAACATCTTTGGTGTGGTTGCACAAAATAAGCAGTATAAATGGGATTTTTTTCTATTTGATGACTCATTGTTTATTGAATAAACAGACTAGCGAAAACTAACACAACACACAGTTTATAACACCCCAGCTGTGAACACCAAAGAGAGAAACAAGATTATCATACAAATGGAATAAATTTCTCTTTTTGCCCATCAATCTATTTTGTATTCCTACGTATCCTGTTCACATTTGTGTATGGAGCCTGTCCCAGCATGCACTGGGAGAGAGACAGTGTACTGTCTGCACAGACAAGTGATAGAAATAGATAGAAAAAACACAGCTAAGCAATATCTTTTGATTATTTTTTTTCTCCAGAACTGGGGAAGTGACTTCTCTTGTGTGGACCTTGCTCCATCTGACACTGTGCCAACCTCAGGTGAGACAGACAGCCATCTCTGCATTATCAGCAGACAGTTGATATCAGAGTCGATGTTCTCTAGTATCTACAGTTAACTACAGCTGAAACGCAGACATTGTTGAATGAGAATGAAACGGACTGAAATATCACTGTTGTATAGGAATGATGTCTGTGGTTGAATCTCTTTTGTGTCTTTTGTCTGTAGTTCACAAGCTGAGACCAGCAGACATCAAGGTGGTGGCAGCACTGGGAGACTCTTCAACGGTTAGATATGCAGCCCTTTTCAACAATAAAGTACAAGGAAGGAGATATAATGAATAAAACAGCTGGACACATATAAAATAAAAATCACACATATTTATTTTAAACTTAAGCAGCAATAGACAATACGTACTTGACGGGTAATTAATTGCATTTTAGCCTCAACTGGGAACCTGTTGGTATCAGCTATTTGGTGTCATTGAACCATGAACTCTCTAATCAATTTGTTATCAGCCAGATAACTTGCACTGCTGATGATCATCAATTTTATGTTCTGGTGTTTTGTCTTTGATGTGAGACTTATCTTTGTCAGTGGTCTCACTGTCCTCTGCAGCATTATTCCCTTTATATTTCTGTTTCTGAATATGTGGATTGTTTGTTCTCTGTTCACAGGCAGGTACTGGCGCTAAAGCAAAGAACCTCTTTGATCTCAATAAAGACTACAAAGGAGTATCGTGGAGGTACGACATGCCCGCAGGGTTAACAAGGTTTACATTAACTCTCGTATTTTTCAAATCAGACTGATGTTTGTGGGCTTTTTTTTCTTGCAGCATCGGAGGGGATAAAACTCTGGAGACTGTTACAACACTACCAAGTGAGTTTATGCCACTTGTTTGGCAAAAAATGTACTACTAGTCACTAAATCTGACAGGTATGACAATCTCTACAAATACATAATGCTGCAGAGGTGCAATCTTTGTAGTATTGGAAATCTAACCTTAATATGGGTTTTTAAACAATGGGTGCATGATTCACTTACACAAACAGTCATTAAGTGGCATATACAAGTGATGAGAGATTTTTGTCGCATTCAACAATTTACTCATATATAGAATTTAGATCAGTGGTTTTCAAACTGTGGTGCTCGTCCCACTGGTTGGGCATAACGACACTGCAGGTGGGGCAGAGATGACCAGGGGAAAAATATGGAGTGGAGGAAAATTGAATGAATACGATTTATGTGGCGACAAAAAACGAAGTAAAAAAGAGTTTGCTGATGATATTGTCCTGAACCTTATTTCACTAAAATTCAAATTGGATCTCTTTTTATTAGTTTTACTTCTCCTGTCATTGTTAAAGATTGATTAAAATTGTCAGATCAGATTCTTGCATGGGGCCCAGTGTCAGCTCACATACAGAATGACATTCCTAACTGGAAGCTACTATAACCACATACTTCTCAGCTGGTACTCAATCCCTTTTTTCCTTTCTTTAACTCCTCAGACATCTTGAAGAAGTTCAACCCCTCCTTAAAGGGTTTCTCCAGAGGCCAGGGCTCACTACAGAAGGGTCTTAACATGGCTGTACCTGGAGCTAAGACCTCGTATGTGCATTTTCTTTTAGTTCCTCCACCTGAGTAAAACTTTTGATTTCTCATCTCTCTATAACGCCTGCTATCTGGATTTATTCTGTTACAGAAAGATCCCAGAACAAGTCCAAGGTCTCATCAAGGCCATGAGAGAAAATAAGGTAAGACTTCCCGAAAACTTACAACATGGCTCTAATTGTGTCTTCCTCTTTCATGCTTATGTTCTGCACTCATGCTACACAGCAGGTGAATTTTGAAAAGGACTGGAAACTTGTGACAATATTCGTTGGAGGGAACGATCTTTGCTACTACTGCATGGACCAAGTAAGTGTTCTTCATGCATCATCTATAAAAACTGCATATTCTGCATGTTATATAACTGCAGTAAAAAACGTGCTTTGCTTATCTCTGCAGAATAACCTGTCACCCAAGAACTATAGTCACAATCTTATGATCAGTTTGGACATGCTTTACAAAGAGGTAAGATATCTATGGCTATAAATTATTGTCATCTGCTGTCCTGTGTACATGTGAGTAAATGTTTCTCTGCCTCTTCCCCCTCTTCTCTTTCTCTGTATCTTTAGGTACCAAGGTTGCTGGTTAATGTCGTGGAGCTCTTGCAGATAGACCCACTGAAGACAGTTAAGAGGAACACACTTGGCTGTTCCCTCTTGCAAAGGTTTGTTTTGCCTGTTTTTCTGTGTGTTTCATCATCTTCCCATCTGTCATGCAAACCACCAGAAGTTACATAAGTGGCTATAATCAGTATTGTAGTAATGTAAAAGTTGTCGCTCATAGTGATGAACCTGCAGAGAATTATCACCAGGCTCTGCAGGTCGTTTTAACGTTTTTTAGCTCATTGGCTTGTTTTTTCTCGCAGCTCTTGACAGACAAAGTTACCTACTTAACATAGTGGGGCATTTAGCAGCTAAAGAGCCAGATATTTATATCAGGGGTTGGTGGAGATTATATATATCACAATACGAGAAACCCGACTCCAAATTAATGATAATATTGCTCTGTGTCTTCTAGATGTGTAGATAAGCAATTGTTAGCCAAAAGGTTACCTTCAAAGATGATATGTCAGTACTGTGTTTAGAACTTGTTACGCTGCCCCCAAGTGGTCAAAAAATCAGTGACTGCAGCGTTCAAACCTCCAAACATAAAGATATGTCAAGATTAAAATATAGTAAAAGCAAAGGTTAATAATTAAGCATTTGATAAAGATAACTGAAAATACAAAAAGGTTTGAGTCTCCCTCTCTTGACTGTTTAATATAAACTAGTCTTGATGTTGGGAAGGTGTTCAAATGCATCAAAACCTAAATAACATGCCTGTACAGATATTTGTGTAAAAATGTGGGGCATAAAAGTAAAAAAATGTCAGAAAAAGAAATACTCAAGTTCAGATACCTGAAAAAACTAAGTTGGTACTTTGTTACTTCCCAATTTGAGTACATTGTTATCTTATAGCCTAATTGTTTTCAATTCCACTTGAAGCTCCGAACAGTCCTTAAACCTCTAAAACCATCTATTTACACTTGATCCGTCCAGGATTTGGGCATAAATAATTATTTGCACTGATTCTTATAAAAAGAAGAAGAAACAAGAATCTGCTTTTTACAGGACCAACTGTCCTTGTGTTATCAACCCAGTTGAAAACTCCCCAGAGCTCGAAGAGATCAAACGCATCAATCACGAGTATCAGGTAAAAGCAAAGACCTCTTTTAACCATTTCAATATTTTTGTTAAAAAAAATAAAAATTTGGTTCCCTCTGTCATTCTTACATTCTTCTTTCTTTGTCCTAGGCTGAGATCCAGCAACTTATTTCTGGAAATCGCTACGACAGAAAGGAAGACTTTGCTGTTGTCCTTCAACCCTTTTTACACAATTCCTTTATCCCTCATATTGGAGTGAGTCACAGAGACATACAGATGTATCCAAACAAGCAGCCACACACAAATAAATGAAATGTACTTGTGCTGACAATTTAATCTGTTCACCAGGTGGGTGAGGCTGACTCGAGTTTCTTCTCTTTGGACTGTTTTCACATCAGCGAGCGAGCTCATGCTGAGATGGCCATTTCCCTGTGGAACAACATGGTGAGCACGGAGCAGTAATGGACCAAACTGCAGAGAACAAGAGTTTTTTTGGTGCTTTTTGATTTTACAGAATTTCTCTTTCTCTGTGTTAACAGTTGGAGCCCGTAGGCAGAAAACAGGCCTACAATAACTTCACATATGACCGCTCCAAGATTCACTGTCCCTCTGAGGTATGTGTGGATGGAGAGAAATCCTACCCATAACTCATATTCATTTATTAGCAAACTAGATCTATATTTATCAATTACATTTTATCTGAAATCTTTTAGTCACCAAATAAATAAATAAGACATTATGAAATACAACTAAAATCAGACCTAAAATAACCATTAACGTATATATTATCATCCAATTACTTTCATAAATTCAACTCAAATATTAAGAAATATACAATATGACCATTAACTTTTTTGCTTTTTGTGCTTCAATTGTATGCATAACACTTGTTGCTGTTGTTAAAGTCTATGTTTTATACTTTGGTTTGTTTATTGAATATATGGAAATGTGTGTTATGTGTATCTTGTTTTATATTAAGAATACTTTCATCCAGTTTTTTCTCACCATAACAATAGAGGGTTATTTTTATTTTATTTGGGCAGTTTTTACAGTTTTGGCAAGAAACGTTGGGTAAATTTCCAGTGGGTGACATTTTAAAATAATAAACTAGATTTTTTAAAAATGTATTAGATTGTTCTGGAGTTTTCTGGGTTTCATAGTGTTTTATTTATTTAACATTGCAAACTCTGTGTCTCCATATTACCTGACTCCTCAGTTCATAATCCCTGAATTAAAGCTGCAGTAGGTAACTTTTAAAAAAGGAAAACTTTTGGTCATAGTATTTGCTGAAATCTTCACTATATCCTGACAGTATTCAACAGATAATCTGTAAATAATTTTTTTATAAAAGTTACCTATGCAGCTATAACATGTGTATCTTCTTCAGTATATTTGGGCACAATTGCTCAAAGACTCTCTATTTCTTAACCTTGAACTATTTAATGTTTCCTGTAGGCCAGTCCCTTCATCTTCACTAAGGTCAACAGCCTACCACCAGTGACCCCCAACCCTTCCACAACCAGCTCTCCTGTGTCAGACTCCACCATCAGCACTGTAACAACCATCCCTGTGCCCAAGTGTCCCTCCTCTATGCCTGTGTGGGTGCCAGTGATTGTGGGAATCGTCAGCTTACTGGCTGGTGTTACTGTTGCCTGGCTAATTCTGTCCTGCTGTCGGCGTCGTGAAAACAAAGCGGAGAGAGTGGTAGAAATGAAAGGGACTGGTTTTTAATGCAGTTGTTCTTGTCAAGCTGTGTTTATTATCAACAATATATAGTTAAGCTTTAAAGCTGCAGCACACATTTTAGGCCACTAGAGGGCAGAAAAGTAGACTCCAGAACAAAACACCCAGCAGAAACAGGCACCTGTCTGAATGAAAATCAAATATTTAGTCGCATCGGAGTCCTGGTTTGAGCCACTGGTTCTTGACAAAATGATCTGTCTCTCTTTGTTCTTTGAGATGTTTGACTTTATTCACTAGCAGCTTGTTTACTTAAGCTCTCAGCTGTTTTACTGGAGCCAGATAGCATGCAGCACGTCTGAAATTGTGCTGTGAGAGCAGCTGTTATTTAAGGAGTGACAGTGTGAGCTCGTGAAACTCAACCCAACAAACAAAAACAATGGCATTGGCAGTACTACATTAGCAGTCTGTTTACCTTAGAGACTAATGTGATTAGTTAGTTCAAAAAATATTACTTAATGGTGCGTAAAACAAACAAGTATGTAAAACATTTGTAATTTTTATACTGCTCTGAAATTGAGAAATGTTCTATATGTAATTGACAGACCTTGTTGAATCCAGATGTTTTGTACATTTGTCTTTACTTATTTTTATTTATTGATAAAATAAAATTACAATGCTCGAATTATGGTTGATGTACTCTGTACTTAATAGTGTCGTACCCACTGAAACAACAAGGAGTTCCCACACAATGTATTCTAATAACTTTGGTGAGTCCTTGACTTTTCCTATAGCGCCACCATGAGGTTGACATTTGTGATTTGAAGTGAAATGTCTCAGCAACTATTGGATGGATGCCATTAATTTTCTTTTGGTTTAGATATTCATGTTCCCCTCAGGATGAACTGTTATAACTTTGATGATCCCATAACTTTTCACCGAGCAACATAATCAGGTCGAGCTTTGAGTTTGTCCTCAGCTTTACAAGCTAAACTAGTAAACATGGTAACATTATACCTGCTAAACATCAGTATGTTTGTATGTTGACAATAGAATTTAGCTCAATGCATAAAGTACAGCCTCATATAGCCTTTAGTCGAAACTGATCCGTGACCCATTCTAAAAGATGTATTTCTTCAACATACCAGTGGGTTTGGTGAAGAGTGCCATTTTGGTCTTTTCATGGGATTTGTTGACAACAAGAAAAACACATATTAACACTTATTTTTAAAACTCTGTATGCAAATTGCATTTCCTGAATCCCTCACAATCAACACTGAATGACTGATTGATAAACAGTTTGGAGTTACTGTCTCATTAAAGCATGAACTAATGGACGCATGAAAGTTAAAAACATAAGAGAATGAGGAGTAAATGGTAGAGTTTACTCCACCATTAAAACATTGCACTGTATTTGCCTGTAAAAGAAACCTTTGCTCTTGGTTTTCATCTGGTAGCGGTTTGTTTCACCCAAGTCTTTAGAATTTGCGTCACAACATGACTGATGGCTTTTTTAATTAAAAAGCACAAAGCTTTACAACTTACCCTCTGAGGTCAATAACAAATGTAGCTACATATAGCATATTTGACATAACCAAGGTGTTTTAAATATTTTCTAATTTGGGAGAAACTGACCTCTTCAACTCAAACCGCACAAACTGAGACAGCCTCAGTTAAAATGTAGTTATGTTTCCAGTTCAAATGTAGCTGGAAACTTCTCTGCTAATATTTTTAAAATAAAGGCAGAAATTCCTGAAAAAAATAAGTCTTCTTTATTTATTAGTACTTTGTAAAAACGTTTTGTTGTGCATTACCCCTTTAATAATTCTCCTATTACTCCTTTGACTATAACCTGACTTGAATTTAATATTCTAGAACAGCTTTGAGTTTTATTCGTTTTTACTCAGTTATATTACCCACTGTATCTTGTGGTGTAATTTTATATTAGATTATTTTCTGTAGCCTATAATACAGTATTTATTTTGCATTTTTGTATATAAGGTTACATATTATTGTATTATCTTACTGTAATGCTTGCTCCATGAACAAACTATAACTAATGTTTTGAAAAGTGCTACATGCAAATAAAGCTATAATGATTATGTTTTCAATGTCAAAAAATCTGAAAATTATACCTCAATACTGTATTTTAGTCCAGCGCTTGAGTAAATGTATCTTAGGTGATCCATAATATCACCATTTGTGTGCATGCCTGGGAAGGCTAGTCCTCTATCGCGCCTACAAGTCACTGTTCAGGGCAGCTTTGCCCGGGACCCTGCCTGTGAGTATCAGAAACATGGCGGAAAGCGAGTTGAACGTTGACAGCATCATCTCTCGGTTACTGGAAGGTAGGCTAGCATTGTGATATATTTGGTCCTTTCTCGGTCGTTCGTTAAGAAAATAACTGCATTGCACGTTGTTGTTTGTAGCCAGTAACTTCTACGATGTGTTAGAAATCATTAGCCTGTGTGTGTTGTTCATGAGCAACCCGTAAGCTAGTCGTTGCGTTAACCGCTCTCCGCTCCCGGACTAATGTAAACGTTCTCATAACGTCACATTCCCTGGTAGCTACGTGTCCGTTACCGTCGGGTTGTTAGTTAACAGTTAGTCTGGGCAGTTAGCGTAATTAAAGAGAGTGGCGTAAAAAAAAAAAAAAAAAATTCAGCTTAATGCTGCCAGATAGAAAGCTAACGTTGTGTTAACTATCGATATAACTTAACGTACTCAGAACAGCTAAACCAGCCGAGTGGCAGCGTACGCAGAGGTTAGTGTAACTACTCTCTTTAAATAACGGAATACAATGGAACGCCAAAGAACCGTGGAATGCTGTGGTTGCTAAGTAACGTTAACTGTTCTTGTTGGCAAAGGCAGGTAGCTAGCATGTCGGCTACCTCCTTGGACACACCCCCCTTACGAAGGAAACCACCAAAGCCTGCAGAACTGAGCTGTTTCAGATTGATCAATAACACGTACCCATCCGGAGGATTACACTACCATTCAGTTTAGGCACTGAAGTTTATGAGTAAAGTAGATATTAAAAACCACAAAGCTTTTTTTTTTTTTTTCTTGTTGTCACTTTCAACTATATGTGAAGCAAATAAAATGTAAGAATTAAAGTTTACCCTAACTAATCCTTTTATTTTACACTGGAGACCAGTTTATTTTATGTATTTTTATACTATTTTACATTATTTTCATGTATACTAATTATTATTATTAGTCTATAGCTTTAAATGTCTTTCTTGATATTCTTAATTTAAATGTTCTTCTTATATATACATATTTATGTTTAGTTTTTTTGAAACTCAGACACACACCAAAGGTCTGCCACAGTAGTACTGCTTTGTGGTGTGTAAAAACTAAGATACCTTAACCACTAACACGCAGTTAATAGCTAAGACATTACTAAACAAGCATGTTTGTTCTTTATACATGAAGCTGTAGACTTTTTTTGTCCTTGTTGGACTACACCGCCCTCACACACACACACACACACACACACACACACACACTCACTCACACACACACACTTCCAGCTGAGCCAACAAGCTGTTCATTCCTGTACTTGCCAGTTCATAACAACCCGTGTTGACTGGAGTAAATGGCATGTCTGGCCAGTAGCAAAGCAAATGCAATGGTCAGCTCTCTTTAATGGTACACCATGATGCAAATGTAAACAAAGGGATAGCTAACCCCACCACCGAAAGAAAAACACAGGGTTGAAACATGCTGTCACTCTCAGAGTAATTGCCACGTGTTTTAATACTTACATTTCAAAACTAAATGTAAGTCTTTGTAAGATTTTATGATTATTTAATACATCTGTTAACAGTGATGTTTGTATACATCAGTGTGGAGCAGACCTGTACTTTATGAACAGTTTAGATATGCAGAAAATGCTGACTCTTTAATGATATATTTTAATGTAATGACAAATCCATGATTTAGCCTCTAATTTGAAAATGTAGCTAGCTACCTGGTCCATTGTTATGATGCATATTAGTTCTGATCACTGTGTCAGGTTGTAATTGTCCTAATGCCTCGTGTCTAACACTTACTCATCCCCGTTTAAGGATCAGCCCGTGCAGACTGTTGATCTCTTAGACCTTTTGACTTGCAGTGCGAGGATGTCGTCCGGGGAAGGTCGTACAGATGACAGAGGCTGAGGTGCGGGGGCTCTGCATCAAGTCCAGAGAGATTTTCCTCAGTCAGCCGATCCTGCTAGAACTGGAAGCTCCACTCAAAATCTGTGGTGAGAACAGCAACGATCAACAGCCACCCTTTTTCTTTTTGTTTACATATATATATTCTTATGTGACTCAGTGTTCACAGTGGGAGGTGATGAAAAAACACATAATGTTGATGGCTAGAGGAAACCTTGAGCTATTAAGTGCCTTAATTGTGCAGATTAAGAGTCACATTTTGGAGCTGAAATATGACTTAATATGACACCAGTTAAAAATTAGCTGAACATATCCTTTCAGGTGATATCCATGGACAGTACACAGACTTACTGAGGCTATTCGAGTATGGAGGCTTCCCTCCAGAGGCCAACTATCTGTTCCTGGGAGATTACGTGGACAGAGGGAAGCAGTCGCTGGAGACAATCTGCCTGCTGCTCGCCTACAAGATCAAATACCCGGAAAACTTCTTCTTGCTCAGGGGGAACCACGAGTGTGCCTCCATCAATCGCATCTACGGCTTCTATGACGAGTGTAAGTTGGAAAACGCACCTGTTTGTTGTGCACATGTGCGTACAAATACCAACCACAGAGAGTCCAATCAGCATTTGTAAACATGAATAATTCTTCCAAAATTATAAAACTGAGAGTCAAGACTGATGATTTATATTTACAACCCAGAAGCTTTTTCACAAATGACAAAAAAAACATCCATTATGTTTTTATTCTTAATCGAGAGAGATGCAAATAAAGTCTCATAAAGGAATTAAAGTTTCTTCAGATGATAGAAACATGTAATTGGATGTAGAGATCCAGCATTATTTAGTTAAAAGCCTCATTATGTTCCCTGGCTGATAAGTTCTTTTTCTGCCACCTTTCTTTATTTTTTCCTCAGGCAAGCGCAGGTTCAACATAAAGCTCTGGAAGACCTTCACTGACTGTTTCAATTGTCTGCCCATTGCTGCAATTATTGATGAGAAGATTTTCTGCTGCCATGGAGGTTTGTGAAGCCTCTGCTATGTATTATTATTTTGTCAGTAATGTACCGCAGAATAATGTAGCTGATTATTTAACATGACAGTTATACATTTAATATTTAATGAGGGGTGTAATATGTTCTGTAATACCATGATTTAATGGTGTCATACTTAATTAGGGGAATAATCAGAATGTAAATAAAGTTTAATGATTTTTCTATATTACTGTTAAATTACATAATGAGTTAAAATATATGTGAAATAACTACAGGTGTTAATTATGAGTCAGTCAAAGCATTGTCGGTTTGCTTTAGGATTAATAAAAGTTACACTTGACTTTTTATCCTTGTGATTCACATAGGATTTTCTGTAGTGTCACTTATGATACAATTATCTGTTCTCGTCAGGACTCTCACCTGATCTGCAGTCCATGGAACAAATTCGCCGCATTATGAGACCCACTGATGTCCCAGACACAGGTCTGTTGTTCTATGTGTTGGTGTTACTGAACTAAAAAGGAGGACACAGTCTTGATCAGCAGATTGCATCTTTTAAAGGCTTTTTTCTCAACCTAAACTGATACTGCTGGTAATTCAGGCATATTCTGAAGTTTAATGGCTTTACAAGACCTACAGTAAAAAGAGAAAGATAAAAAGAACATGGTCTAACAACACTGACTTAACTGTTTGTGTGTCTGACTGCTCAATGCTTCTCCAGGCTTGCTGTGTGACCTGCTGTGGTCGGACCCAGACAAAGACGTCCAGGGCTGGGGGGAGAACGATCGGGGAGTTTCCTTCACCTTCGGGGCTGATGTGGTCAGCAAGTTTCTCAACCGTCACGACCTGGACCTCATCTGCCGAGCGCATCAGGTAACACTTTGTGCTGCTTTGTGATTAAGGGCTACATTCAAAATAACACCGTGAAGAATTTAACTTTATTTTAACAAATTAACAGGACGGTGCAGAGAATGTTTAATACAATACATTTCAGCAAATATAAGAAAACAGAAAGTTTTTTATTGTCACTGAGTTCATTTTAACATATTTATAGAAGAAGAAGAAAGACTCATTTTCATGATTTGTGCAGGCTTGTTTATGGTTAGTTGAGAGATTTCCTAACCATAAATTAATTGTGAAAAAAACCATAAATTAAATACTTGTCAAATCAAAGTACTGCAGACAGATCTCACAATATATTGCCATGTAGTCCAATCCTAATTGTTATTAGAGTTTAACCCTAGTAGTGCCGCTCTAGGCTGTAGTTTCTTTGTCACATAGACACGACATACTTGCATTCTTGAATATTAGCTAGTAGTATATATAAACATAAAACATTTCATTATCCTGCTTAGGGCTGACAGTAATGGTTATTTTCTTGATTAATTGTTTGATCTAAATAATGTCCATCAAAAGTTCCTCAAACCCAAAATAAGATATTACAATTTCTTATTTTTCTGACCAACAATTCAAAACTGTTGTAGAAGACAAATAATATACACATGTGTAAAGCTAGAACCAGTGAGGTTTTTTTTTCCAGCTCTAATCCCTGCTGCCACGTTACAGGTTGTTGAAGACGGCTATGAGTTCTTTGCCAAACGGCAGCTGGTGACGCTGTTCTCTGCCCCAAACTACTGCGGCGAGTTTGACAACGCAGGCGGCATGATGAGTGTGGACGAGTCCCTAATGTGCTCCTTTCAGGTAGGGAACTCAGTGTTTGTTGTACCACAATCTTGATTTATGTGCTTTTTTTTATAATATCACCGCCATCTTTTCTTTCAGATCCTGAAGCCGTCAGAAAAAAAAGCAAAGTACCAGTATGGAGGGGTGAATTCAGGACGCCCTGTCACCCCGCCTCGCACCACTCAGGCACCAAAAAAGAGGTGAGCGGCTGGCCCTGACTCCTCTGCTCCTCCCCCGGCTGGTCTCTGGCCCACGTCCCCTGCAGGCTGCCTCAAACACTCCAGCCCTCTCTCAGTCAGCTTGTTCATGTGTAAACAAAACTCCAGGAGTGTTTTTTGCTTGTTCTGTGGGTATTTTTATGAACATGCGAGTGGTATTTTTTTCCATTTCTTTTGATGCCATGGTATGTATTAACTCAGCCCTCACTTCTACTACTCAGTCCATTCAGCAATATTAAAACCAACCTTTTGTGGAATGGGTAAGATGTTTAGAAAAGATGCTTCTCTGCCTTCAAATTAACAATTTCCATAGTGATTTTGTGAATGCATGCACGCTTTGTGAGATTGAGAAGCCCCTACCAATGTAAAATACATAAATTCTCCCAGTCAATTGATCCTTCCTAAGTCCCGCCTCTTTTCCCTCTGTGCTCCAATAACAGCTGAGCAAACCTCAACGTTGGTCAACTTTCTCCTTTCCTGTAACTAGATATGCTATGTTCTAGGCTCGTCTATATAAATATAGTCGCATATTAAGATAGATTGCTAATGTTAGCAAAACGCTAGCTAATTTACACCAGTCGTTACGTCACGTTTTGCTAACATTGGCTAACTTAAGGAGTGACTGTGTTGCTTTTACCTTTTAACCATCTTCAAAATGTGGCTGTTCAAAGACAAGCCTGGCACGTAGCATATCTAAAGGAGAAAGTTGTTATTGGAGCACAGAGCAAAAAAGAGCGGGACTTAGGAAGGGTCAATTGTTTCTGGTCTCACCTTGATTTGTTCATGTAATTAACTAATTACTGCCATTGCCCCCTTTTATATTGGCTGAAGTAGGACACTGCTTAAAGGAATAGTTTGACATTTTAGGAAATACGCTTATTTGCTTTCTGAGTTTGATGAGAAGATTACAACCACTTTCATGTCTGTCAAATATAAAACTACCACCAGCAGCCAGCTAACTTGGCTTAGCAAAAAGACTGTACGCAGGCGGAAACGGGTAACTTAGCTCTGTCCAACAGTAACAAAATATACCTAAGATCTCTTTAATCAACATTTTATATCTTGTTTATTCAAACTAAAAAATCAAGTGTAAAAACAACAAGATATAACATGTGAATTAAGAAGCTTTAAAAGTTCTTGTATGTGGATTTTGTTACCTTTTAGACAGAACTGGGTTACCCGTAGCCGCCCAGACATGAAGTATCTGTCTTCTCGTCAAACTCTTTTTTTGGGAAATACGCTTAGTCGCATTCTTGCAAAAATTTTCCTTTAAGAAGTTAGACATTGCAATGACCTTCCCTTTGACTCAAGAATGTTTTTCTCCCCATGGAGGGATCAATAAAAACCTGAGATTTTGACGATATCAGTGCAATAAATATTGCTAAAAATCTTGCTATATGCAAGCATAAACGTTTTAAAGGCCATTAAAGCCTACTTCAAGAAAAGGACACAGCCAACCTGTGCTGTATCTTTTTATGAGAGCATTCATACACAGTAGATGCTCTACATTTAGTGTTTGCAGCTCTGAAACTTTTTTTTTAATCCCTCAAATTGCTGAAGGAGAGCTTTTGGTTGTTAAAGAGCAGAATTTCTATTAAGTAATGCAATAGCGTAAACGTTGCATCTTCAGTTTTGATGTAAATTCAGTGTATGTGGAAACTGTGGGAACCAAACATCAGTGAGCAGTATGAGTTTGTGTCCTTTAGTCTGGTAAGTACAGTAGGTGTGTAGAAAAGTAGAGATGGATATGTTGGTGCAGGAGAAGAAGGTATATAAAAGAAATGTAAAGAACGGCAGAAAAAGGATTAGAAAGAATAGTTAGCAGTATATTATTTTTTTCAGTAGATGTCAAGCTCTCACATGCTGAACATTGTTGCTCTTCCAGTCATTGCATGACATTGTAAAGAGGTCCAAATCATCAAGTCAAGACGGTGGCATTTTGTTTGTTGTTCCCACCTTGTGGTTATCGGATTGAAAAGTAAATCATTTCCAACTCACTAAATGAGCATTTAACCGATGTATTTTTATTTATTTAAAATTTAAACCTTTTGCCTTGTAAGTCTATTGGTCTTCAAGTTGGAAACAGTATGTTAAGACGTTTTGAGATTTGTACGAGTTTGTTTCAAATGAGTGAAATAAATGGAAGTGCTGTTGAGCCTGCTCTCTGTTTGCTTCTGGTGTTTGACCGACACAGTAGTTTACGATGTCCAATCCAACTCTGAAATCATCACGGTCAGTTTTAGGCACTGGAATAAATATGTCTTACATATAACCATTCATTTTTAATGTTTTGCTAAAATCAGATATCAGTAAAAAAAAAAAGTACAAAATAGATTTTATTACATTTCCACACACACGTGTCTAGGAATTTGTCTATGGATTTTAAGTGTTAAATCCCTCAACCACCAACAGACATGATTAGTGTGATTGTGATGGAGACAGACTTCAATCTGACTTGAGGGCCTGCAGCACTGACTGTGGTACTCTGTTGACATAGTACTTGTGGTTGCGTAGTGTAGCAAGAACGCCGGCAGAATTCATGTGCTTTACATTAGCATGGTAGCAGTATGCATTGCCATGCATGTCAGTCAGTTTACCTGCACAAGAAAACAAAAGGATGAGTAAACTATGCAAATTTAATTATAAAGTTGCATTCTATATAGTTTGTACGCAGAGACACAAACACTACAAACAAACTCTGCTGCAGAATTGGAGTTTTTTTTTTACCTCCGACAGCACTCAGAATGGCTTCAGGAGCGCAGGTGTCCCACTTCTTGCACCCTGGACTGGCGAAGACATAAGCAGAAGCCCTTCCTTCAATAAGCTGGATTATCTGCAGAGAGAGAAGTCGATAAATAAACACATATTAATGTTTATCACTCTGAGGGAATAAGAATTATGACACATGAACAGCCATAACAGCCGCTGGGGGACCCACAGAGGCCAGCAGTAATCACATTGATCCTAAATATAAGAAACCAATTTTTATTTTATTACAATATTTACTTAAAAGTACTCATCATTACTAAAAGCAAAAATAAACATTTTGAGTCATCTTTTTTTGTAATTAACGTCAAAACAACAAAAGTGCTCCATGGGCAGCCATGACCTGAGAAATGTACTCATTTAAACTAACTACTAGCTCATTTTGGAGTTAATTTCCTTGCTATTACCAGGACCTGCACATACATTTGGATGCCAGAAAAGAAAGGGCTTAATAATGATGTAATAACCAAACAGCTTTTAGTCAGTCAACTCAGAAAGGCTGAACAATAGCCAGGAGGCAGCTAGCATCAGTGAAAGAGGCACCACCTTGTGCCCGTGTGGCCCTCTTGCACTGGGTCCAAGCCTTTTATGTGCGCACATCTGTACTATTTTTGTGACATTTCACATCATCAACACATTGCTGTGGTTACTATAAACTATAAATACTATAAATATAACTACTATAAACACAAAAAGAACATTAAGGAGATTATCAGCCTCCATGTCACTTTGTATGGATCAAATTTAACAACAATTTTGCTACACTGATTTATCGGCACATACTGATCTAAAGCTTTCAGAGATTCTTCTGACGGCAGATGTTCGGAGCAGTAACAGTTTCTGTTTGAAGTTGGCTCTCAGTCATTTCAGATCAGGATCAGAAACCACGACTAGGCTGTATGTACACGGGACTGAACGAGAGGAATAAAATCCCAGTTTAGTGTGTTGTTAACTCTAAATTCATCTCACCTTGTTTCCAGCGCCACCCACTCTTATAACTTCATGAGGCTCCATGGCGTCTACACAGTCCGTTACGACCTTGTTGCTATGGGAACGTGTGGTGGTGACTATACGTCTATCACCTGGAACTTCCTGCAGCTGGAATCCAAAGGCGCCCAGTCCCGGCATTCCCCATATGGTCCTTCCTAAATCTGCTCCCTCTCCAAGCTGACGAGGAGAACGTTTGAATTAACCAGAGAGTGACAGCTTTTAGGACACAAGCTCATTTAGTTCGGTCTGTACCTGGTAGTTGTAGAAAGGCTGGTTGATGACACCTGCAATAGCTCTGCCTCCGTATGCGATACCAATGAGCACCGTCACATTATCCAGGAGCCCTTACATTTAGAAAAATAGCAGGATGTTAACTGGAGGCCACTTGAAGTCGTCAGTTTTATGCAGTTTAAGTGTCATTATGGCAACTACATGCTGGACAGGTGGAAAAAGGACAGCAAGTCATAGAAATGTTTTAAAGATGGCAGAATAATCAATATTAAACACTGCTATAGTTAATCTTCTAATCAGTGTCCCGCTGTTGCCTTCCCATACAGAGAGCCGTGCTGTGAAGCTGAGAAGTGTCCGACCCTTTGTGTGGTATCTGGGCCTCAGTTTGGTGATGGAGACACCTCGCCGCTGGGGTCAGCAGAGAGAGAGAGAGACAGGTAGACAGGAGAAGCAGGCAATACAAAAGGGAGGGAAAGACAAAAAAAAGGTAAAAGTGACAGTGAAAGCTCCGAGAGCCTTAAAGAAACCCAACAAACTGGTGCACGGAAAGTATTTTACAACCAAATAAGACAGAAATGATTTCATTAATAGAGCTTATGATCACTGATAGGTTGTGAAATTCCTTAAAAGGAAAATGTTGATATAAAGAAAGGATGAATAAAACCACATCATTTATCACATTCTACAACACAGAATTAACTAATTAATTAGTAGTTTTTACTTGTTCAGAAGTGGCCTGTAAATTTGTATTTAAGGAACAAACATTGTTCAAATAAAAGGTGGAGCCACTCCAGTTAATCAGTGCTGATCAGTGAAACTTACAGAGCGCGGATCCAAAACCAGCTATGTATTAAAAAAATAAGAAAATCAGCAACCACACTGCCTGGAACTCATCATTATAATTTTTTATAGAGATTTTTTGGGGCTTTTATTGCCGTTTAACTGATAGTGACAGCTGAAGAGTGACAAGAAAGGGGGGAGAGAGGGAGAGGGGTGACACTGGACTCAGCCCTGGTAGATGGCGCCCCGTCATTTATATGTAAGGTTAAGGGGACGGAGAGATTGTTGTGGCACTAAAAATGACGTGGGCGGTCCGAAGGGAGTGAATCAAAGTAACTGACATTTACACTGACATCGATTAAGTAACTGTATTTAATGTGGACCCGTCTCGTCTAGAAAAGCTGAAACTGTTACCATAGCAACAACACTTCACACAGCAGATTACCAGTTAGCTCACTATGGAGACTAACACGGCCACAGCCTGCTGTTGACTTTAAAAATAAAAGATTAATGATCAAGGGCTCAAAGTGCTGTACTGTATGTGTTCTTAAAGCCCTCAAACACAGGCGGGTGGAGTCACTTTGGAGAAAATATGTAATACTTGTTCAGGGAGTTTCACAATGTCTCGGCCCGAACACAAACGCAGATTTCTTAAAGAAGCATATTTTAAAAGAGCCTACCTTCAGTATATTCCTTTGTGCCATCGAGAGGATCAACCCACACAACTAGCTGAGTGAGATTCAGAGAGATACACTCAGAAGAAGTATGTGCACGTACAACGTCCAGATCACTCAACACAACAATATTCTGACACAACTGCACCACACCCCTACCTTCAATTATGATGCATAGAAAATGTTATTTTATTTTATTGCTAAACCTAATAACTACTCATTGTATTTCTGATCACACTGGCGGGTTACCTCCTCCTCTTTCAGCCCGCTAAATTCTGCTGGACATGTCTTCTGAAGGATTTCCTCTGAGTGGCCATTCTCAATGAGATCTTCCCTTATCTCCTCAGGTGGAAGCTCCTGATAAAGAAAAAAAACACATAATTGTCAGTCTTTTACTCACCTTCTGTAAAGCCCAATACTAGAATAATCTGAAATGGGGGGTGGGTGTCCATGGGACCTCATTTTACCTCCTCTCCAATGATGGTGATTTTGGGGAAACGTCTGGACAGTGACGCACAAATGCTCTGCTGTGCCAACCTGTCAGCCAGTGTCTGCAGATCATTGGCTCCGGTCTGTGCAAGGGACAACTTGTATTAAGTCTCCACAGCAGGCAGTATTAACATGTTTGTTTAATGTGTCAAGCTTTAAACTGGTCCCCACCTTTTCCACAATGCCAAGTTCTCCACTGTGAAGGACCTTCCTCACAATGGACCCGGCCCTTTCAGCCACAGAGTGGGCACAGGCCACCAGCCTCATGACCACAGCAGGACTCCCAGACATTGCTGGACAGACAGAGCAGACAGTTGTCAGTGGACACATTCACACAATCAGGACCAATACTAACATCTACAGGCTCTATTAAAAACAATAAGAAAGTAGTGCTCTGCAGCTCCTCTTGTTTATCTGCTTGTTTACATCTCCTGTTTTTTTATGAATATGACACAGAAAGAATACCAGATCAGTTTGTAATTAGCTAATATTTTTTCCTTTAATGCACAACCCCTCTTATTATTATTATTATTATTATAGAGTAATTAGGTTAGATAATCAAACAGAGCTCGTAAATGCCTCTGCAATTCCGGCTAATCAGCTAAAATGCTACTGATCGCAAGCTAAATCAGAGGTAATAATCAAAGAATATAAAAGATATGCAGCAGTGGTGTTGATGTGTGAATACTCACTGGTGGCGTGAACACGGAGAAGTAGCAACCAAACACTTTTCACGGGTACGGCTGAATTTGGAAGATACAGGAAGTGCGTGAAGACCTTTCACCCAAAGAACGGTCAAGATAGTTGCCTGGCAACCATAGCAAGATTTTTTTTTTTTTTTTTTTTAAACGACATTCAATAACAGTCTGCTAACTAATGATCGACATGACAGTGATTCTAAAAAACCGAGTATTTTGGTGCTGATTTAAGAGATGAAAGATCTGCGTTTAACTGCTGCAACCATATATACTGTCAGTGGGTGTAACGTAACGAGCGTTTAAGCCAACGCGGAAGTACATGGGAGTGAATCCTCTCGCTTTGTCCTTACAAGTTGTTCTCTCTGTGCAAAAAGTCATAAACCGGGTCCAAAAGTCCGTCGTGTTTCATTTGAGGGAAAAATGAAAGCGGGCTCTAAAATAATTACACAGAAATACACACAGAAAATACAGAAATACTTCTATATTACAGTTTGTTTCATAAACGATCCTCTTAGGCTCAACCCTGATTACTTTTATTAAAGATCCCCTCCAGATGTAAATACAAATAGGCTGTTTGGAGCGTATTAAGTATTGGAGAGTATATTAAGAGTTTCATTAAAATCTTTAAAAAGGCACATACTCCTTCTAAAATGTCGATAATCTGTGAATATGCTAGTTTCTAAAGTTTTCTTGCTGAACACAAGATCTCTCCTACTTCAATGTAAAGTCCATTCTCAGTGTCAGAGCTGATCTAAACTTGTGATCTCACAAATCATAATTGTAGACCGCCCATTAAAATCTGATTTTCAATAAGCACAGGGCAACATTAACATTCAGCAGATAGTTACAGACGCTGCACATACGTCATTCTGCACAAACAACCAACTGTAGGAACAAGAAGAGAAACATATTTACGCAGAGGAAGACTAAGAGGGTCCCATCGCAGGTTTTTACATTCCTTGAATCTTCAATCAAACATTATTTTACACAGACAGATTTAAGATGACAAGACCTAGAGACAAGATGTAATACTGCTTCACACTTCTTTATTAATTCTTTATTAAAGTGCAAAACCTTTGTGCAAAGCCACACCCCATTTTATAGTTTTTCATTATTCTGATGCACAGAAATGTAATGTCTCATTATTCTGTGCACAAAGTGATATTTCATGTAGCACATCCCTCTTCCATGACCTTAAGGCAAGGCCAGTATATGTGACACTATTAAACTGCTTCAAAAGAAGAAACAGAAACAGGAATAAAACTGTAAGCAAACCAATCTCAATTTAATGTGTTATACAGAAATAATTACTATTTTAAGTCACTGTGCATTCCTGAATAAAATTAACATTTTTGAAAAGACAAAAAGATCTGATCTTTTTTTTTAAATATATAAATGTGCAAATCACAAGCGCTTCATCTGTTAGCCAGAGGTCTGTAACCCATCTCTCCCTCCAGCTGCTCTGCAGTGAGAGAGCCCAGCAGAGGCTGACAGTCTGGGTTGAAGACAGAATAAGCGCTCAGTTCTCCAGGTTCGCGGGCAGCTGGACTACGGAGTCCTTCATAGAGCCAGTAGAAGAGGGAAATGACGAAGAAAGGCAGGCCAAACTCCAGTTCAACAAACAGACCGAGCAGCACCAGCCACAGCAGCACTTTAAGCAGAGCGAGGTTTGAGAAGACCAATTGTCCCGAAGTCAGCCATCTTCCCAGAGCGCTGTCCAGCAGCCAATCACTACGGTCCTGCAGAGAAGACAGAAAACAGGAGCTTCAGTAAGTTCAGTATGTTTCAATATCACATGTTTTATCATAAAGTAGGCCTCACTCTGCTGGGTGCTCACATTTTCCACATTATTTTTTGTATTGTGCAAATATATTTTCTGGTTTAATCAGTACTGATGTAAATGATCATTTACAGATTTTATTGTTTAATCTTATGATACACGTAGACCTAAAACAATCAGATACTGAACTTACCTGTCACTAATTTATAAACGATAATCAAATCAATATTAATCGTTTGTCATTTATCAAACAGAAACTAACAGCTTCTCCAGTGTGAGGATGTTCTTTATTATAGGTTATATTACTGTACATTTAATTGGCCAGACAAAGAAAGTCATTTGAAGATAGCTGGGTAATTATAATGGGCATTTTTCACTTCAGTTGTAGCCTCAGTTTCATGTTCTGTGTCTATCTCTCAACATCTTAGGAACATGTGTATCCCGTTTGTTGTCTCTTCTACTGCAGTGAAGACTTTTATAAGTAATAATAATAATAATAATAATAATAATAAATCAGAAAACACTTAATTAGAAAGCTACTGATTCATAGTTCAAACAGAAATCCAACTAATAAACTGAGTCATGTCTCACCTTCCTCGGAGAGCTCTCAGGTGAATCTCTGATATTTCCTGTCTCCTCCTTTGTCTGTTGATTGTCTGTTGTTGTTGTTGTTGTTGTTGTTGTTTCAGTCTGAGGGGCTGTGTCCGCTACTGTCCGTGCTCTGCACTGCGGATCAACACCCTCGACCTTTACAGCAGCATTTTCAGCCTGTCGTCTGGCTCTGAACTCCGCCAGCTTCTGCTCCATCGACACACCAACACCACTTCCTTATTAACGTTCAGGTGTACGTGGCAAAACACCGGCTGGAGCAACTCATTCAAGACTCACCGGGAGCGACTTCGGTTCAAAACAGCGTCCCACAAGGTCCAATACAATTACACTGACTGCCATTCACTCTGACTCTCACTGTAACTACATTGTGGACAGATCTCACCGTGCTGCTAGCATTAGCGAGGCGTTTGTTTACCTTTTTACATCCGCGACTACCGGAAAGGCGGAAGTCCTGTCGCAAAAAGCATTCGATTGTCGTAAAATGTGTCGTTTTTCCGGCAAATTTTCACAGGTCTGCCACAAGCTAGGTTGTTTTTCATCAGTGGTGAGTTTCCAAAAAAACCTCTTAACGCCCAATGATTAAACCCGGGAGTTTGTGTTTAAGTTGTTGTTGTTGTTGTTGTTGTTGTTAACGGTCTCCTACACTACCGTTAGCTAACGTTAGCGGCTAAGCTAAGAATAGAGAGAAAGTTAACGGTCGTCTGTTGGCGAAGAGAATTTATTATAATAAATAATCAATGATTATCTCACAGCATCGATTATAGATTTAACATACTGGAATATGGTAAACTCGTGTTAGATCTGGGTGAACCGTTGCTGTGTGTAATCTCGGTTTCAGTCCCGAAAACAACACAAGTACGACTCATAACAATTATTTCCATTCTCGGTTAATCAATGGTTCGTTTTAGTCGATGCAGTGGGGTTCAAACTGCGGTTCAGGGACTAACAGGGGTCTTTGAGGGGGTTGTGAAGGGGTCTTCAGGGAAAGGAGGAGTATTATGTTTCAACACATTGTTTTGGAAGTTGGGACAACAAGGGAAGAAACAGGGTTGTCTGTTTTTATTGATTGGTATTTATAGTGAACCGATAATGAATCGATAGTGAACCGATAGTGAACCGATAGTGAACCTGGGTCTGTGGTCTAATGTGCATCTACTGTGGGGGTCCTGGACATGAGGAAGTTTGGGAACCCTCCGCTTAATGTTCACACAATATTCCTAATGATTGTGAAAATTTCCATTACAGTTTGTCAGGGTTTAAGATTACGTCTTCAGATTGCTTGTTTTGTCTGACCAAGAGTCAAAAACCCAAAGATAATACTTTTACAATGATTTATAATCACCACCGTGTAAGAGAGGGAACTAGTGAATGTAGGTAGATGCTGATGTTTAAAGTAACAATGATAGATAACAGATGTTTGTTATGATTGTTATTTATTTGCCCTTTTGTGGCAGGGAAACTACAAAAATACAATTTGTGCCAGTGCTGCAAAACAGAGGTTAATATTTCTCCAATAAGCAACACAACATTTAAATCAACACAACAGGGCAATGATTTACCGATGTCAGCCAACAAGGTGAATATCGGATGATATCAGTTTATGTTTTTGAAACAACCCAGAAGAAGATATTGTGTTATATGAACTTCACCGTCCTGTTTTAAGCCATCCACTGTAAACATCTGACTACAGGTTGTCCTCTCGTCTCTGCAGACATGGCCTCAGCTCCAGCACAGCAGCCCACCCTCACTGTTGAGCAGACCAGAGGTGAGAAGAACGGGTTTTATACCATACAGCTTATATTTTCTAGCTCTTCTGGTCTTTTTTTGGTGTTCCACATCAGTATTGCTGAATTAATATTGGAAAAACACTTCCAGCATGTCAAACTGCCTGCCAGTCTCAACTGTACAGGGCGGCATTATGTGGTAAAAACATAATATTGGGATTATTTTGACAGATACTGCAATTGTGATATGATTCATGATTAGCGTGGGAATTATTATTTTGCATCACAAATTTAATTTTCAGTATTAAAATCATCAAGATGTGAGATTTATTGGGGGTCTGTGCCAAACAAACATGTCCTCTTAAACCTAGAGAACATGGTTTGTAAGCCTTTCTGTTCAGCGCTACAGTATTATGATGATAGTCAGACATTTGACCTTTATCAAACAAAGTGCAGCTTCTGCCATTTGCATAATATTTTGATTAACTGTGCAGCCCTACAACTGTGTCCACCCTTAATTCACAAGTTGAAAACATTTCCATTTTCTCACTTAATATTGTTACTGTATGTGTGTTTGTCTGTGTCTGTACATGTTTGCTTCATGTGAATTGTAATGAAAAGCACATTTAGTTTACTTGTATAAGATCATGCCTTTATCTGCTACATAAAATCTAATTGCAGTTATATATACATGCTGTAAAGGTTTTGTTTGTGTCTTTCAGTGGTACTGAGTGAGGTGATCCAGGCCTTCTCAGTACCAGAAAATGCAGCGAGGATGGAGGAAGCTCGAGAAAGTGCCTGTAACGACATGGGGAAGATGCTGCAGCTTGTGCTCCCTGTGGCCACCCAGATTCAACAAGAGGTTATCAAAGCCTACGGCTTCAACAATGAAGGAGAGGGTGAGCAGAAGGCAGCATTTTGTAAAGCACAGATTTACTTCAGGGCTAGAAAGTGCAGATGTGTTATGCTGAAAAGACTTTTATATGAGCTTATCTGTTCAAGCTGAGTGAAATAAACACATGACTAATCCAATTTTTTGGTATTTTTGTCTGTGAATATCATCTGAAAGTGACAAAGCTCACAGACTTTAGTTCTTCAGGGTAGATGACACATTTTATCACATTGATTTCTGCTCTGTTTCACTCAGGTGTCCTAAAGTTTGCCAGATTGGTGAAGATGTACGAAACCCAGGACCCTGAAATTGCAGCCATGTCAGTTAAACTGAAGTCTCTCCTCCTGCCGCCGCTGTCAACGCCACCTATAGGAGGCGCCATTCCAGCATCATAGGAATTATTTACATTCAACTGCAAGGTTACGCTCATCTAATGCTTTTGGATCAACATAAACTTACTGTAATTCCAACATGTTCTCTATCATCCACTTCTGAGGAATAATGGAAAAACTTAAACTCAACACACTAATACGTTCCAACAAAGATGGAATTCATATTTTATCTAAATTATGGATTCATTGAAAGCATCCTTGCAAAAACATGTTAAATTATTGCTTTTAAATGTTTCAGTATTTATTTGTTACACTTTGACCATTTTTTTTTATGTCATTGAACCTTGAATATTTCCTTTAATGCCATCTTTTTTCTTTTAAAAAAATCATTTTAAACATTTTATATGCTGTCAGATGTATCAAATGTTGTGCTTTTGTTATATATTAAAATGAAAAAAAAGGTTTTATTGTGAATCTTTGTGGTATTAATGAAGAAAACGTGGGGAAAAAAACTCCCATATACATTACTTTATTATTGCAATAAGGCTTTGGCAACAACATCTTCATATGTTAACCATGTTTTTAAAAATACTGAAGGCCTTACACACATTTACATGTTAAATATACATATAACAAACATACATATATACATTTCCTCATAGGCAACTTCTCTTAGACACTCTGGTGTTTAAGGATAAAACATCACTTTTCTAACACATTAAATCTGGGTTCACGTCTTCCCCCTTTCCTTTGTTTTGTGGGTTTTAGTTTTGGGTGGATGCAGACATGAAAACACCGTATCATGGCAGGAGAGATTCATGATTAAAAATAACTATTAGTCAAGAAAAATAAAACTAAAAGTGCCCCAGATTCTGAAATCATTAACTTAAAAATATAACACAAGTTTAATCAAAGTGCTCATCATTTTTAAAAGAAAAAGCAAACTGTGCAAAACCAGTGCTCCCAGCACCCAGTAACAAATGTGAAAGAAACTGTTGTTGTGGACTTTAGGATGATTTTAAATCTGACAAAGTGCATTATCACCCAGCAGCTTTTTGGATCTGAATAGACAATATGTAGAAAAATAAAAATACTAATACATTTGGTTTCTGTGTGAAGGACATTGTATTGATTCATAAAATCATGTCATAAAATCTTAATATTGCCTGGCTGACCACTTCATTACGGGTAGAGCGCCATCTTGTGTTAAACAGTGTTTCAGTCCTTTGCCTCCAGTCACAACGATGGAAAAGAACCAGGCGGAAGAGCGAGACGAGAGGCGACGCCTTCACATCTCAAAGTGACGGAAAATGCTTTCGACGTAACTCAGCACCTTCTGCCAGTCCGGCCCGTCTGCCTTCAGCATCTCCCCCACCGTCTGCCACACAGTTCACATGTAAAGGAGAAGATTAGAAGACCAGTGGACTGTTTAGTTTATGTTTTGTACCAAACAGCAGAAATGTGCTGTGTAAAAAAAAATGTCTCACCAGTGCGGCTGTGATTCCCACACTCTCCCCCGTCTTAAAAGCAAGGTCCAGATTGTCCTTCTGTAAAAGACAGTCGAATCAGAAGCAGATACACATTTTTACAGACCTTTTTTTAACCTTTCAGTTATGGATTCTTGTAAGAACCAAAAAAAAAATCATCTGGATCACTTGTTGTCCCTCGATGTCATCGATAAAGTGATTCATTTATGTAATGGAGTCATGAATCTGTTGATGAATTGAACCTAGTTTTATGACTTTAGAGACTACATAGCTCATATCTTTTATCAAAAGTCTTTCAAGACTTTCATTGTGGCCATTACATAAACTGAAAGAAAGAAGCAACATTAACAGTTTTACCTTGTCTGCTGGGTTGAGGGTGTCGTACGGGACGAGAGTTGGTAAATATGTGTGATAAACGGCACAGAACGCCAAGCCGTCCTCCCAGCTGCTGCTGAAGTTTGTGATCTCAATATTCTGCCACAAAACATATTCGATGAAGAAAAGATATTTTTTGCCCACCCTGAATTCATAATTTTACAGATTGGGTTGAATTTTTTTTATATTTTAACATTGGTGACATTCTCCTCTCTAACCTTATAACCTTGGGTGCGAGTCTGGCACCAGCGCAGCAGGGAGTTTCTTCTGGAGCCGCCATGACGCCTCAGCAGAGCACTGAAACCATCTTGAGGTCTGAGAAGGAAAGAAAACGTCTCACCACAGTTTTAACTTGATTTGTATCGCAATTTTCCAAAACATAGTTAAAGTGCGTAATCAAAGAACAGACAGTAGAGACAGTAATCAAAGTATATAGTGAATAATATAGTAACATAGTCCAGGAGACAGTTTAAAGCCAGTTTGACAGTTGTTGTCCTGTATAGATACATTTTCTCAGCACACCAGTCACTTTTCACTTTCAAAAGTTTAAAAGAAAATACAGAGGTGGTAGTGCAAACTGTCCACAGGAAAAGAGCCTTTTCTGCAGATTCAAGTGTGCAAAAGGTTCAGCTGGAGATTGTAGCTAGGTTTGAATGTGACGTCATGGTTTATTTGAAAATGCTACTCGGACTCATTCATGCTAAACAGTCGTCTTCATCTCGGTCTTATTTACACACAAAGTTCAGCGTCTGTTGAGAGGTCGGTATCAACGAAGAAAAAGGGGCCTAATAGTTACTTACTTGATGGAATCTAAGCTTTGGTCTTCATCCTGTTTTCCTGTGAGACAAAAATGACGTCTCAGTCATACAAACCTACGCTTACTAAGCCGTCTAAAACAACATAAAGGTGGTTCAGTGCTGTAGGTTTAAGCTCACCCGTGTAAAAGCTGGACCAGCTGTCCTGTCTCTGTAAGATGCGGTCCATCCTTCTCTGTTTTGGTGGCTCTTCTTTCTGGAAAAGTTTAGAGATATTAATCCAAATAATCATGATTGTTTAAAGAACATTTATTATATCATTTCAACAAGTGTTATACCTTGCATAGCGGTAATGTTGAGCTTGTGTTTTTTGAGGTCCCATTTTCACTGGAGGAGTTCGTCGGGAGTGGGAGACGAGAGAGACTCCTAAAAGACATTTTTTTGCATGTTTTATAATACTGTCTTCTCTTAATAGGCTGACTGTGACTGTGACTGTGCTGTGAGCGTTCATGCAGACTTACCAAGATCTTTCACACAGCATCACAATCCTCCTTGGATCTCTCTGCCCATGTCCCCCTTCTTTCTTCTTCTCCAGGGCAGCCAGACTGCGAAGGTATCCCTCCGCCACCCCTTTCCCCGTCAGCTGCGTGCTCTCTGATCCATTTGCCTCCTCGGGATCATTATCCACAACTTTCGCATCCACCTCTTGATCTGTTTCGTTGTCCGTTTTTTGCTTTTCAGCATTTTTAGCGTCAGGGTCAGCTTCGACTTCCTTGGGTTTCTCCTCCACGACTTCCTGTGTTTCCTCCCCCTGCCCCTCCTCAGAGTCTTGTCTCTCTGTCTGTTGTTCACAATCTGTTACGTCTTTCACCCTGCATGCGTTCCTCAGAGCGTCCAGCTCGGCCCGCTCCTGCTGCTGCTGCAGGGTGAGTTCAGTTAATTTGAGGCAGACGTCTCCGTGCTCCGCTCTCAGACTCTCCAGCTCTCGGTCCTTCTCCTGCTGTCTGTTGAGGGCCTGAGCCAACTTGTCCTCCACAGCCCTGTGGCTCTCCTGGAGCAAATCCAGAGCCTGCTCCGACTCGACCCGCAGCCGGTCGGCCACCGACACCGCGACCTGCAGGTCACACTGGAACTGATGCCACTCCAACCTCTCCGTCTGTCATGGAGGATGAAAAGAAAAATGTTTTCAAAGTGGTCGTTACACGACAAATAAATGTTTGTAGGGTTCATGCGACCTGCAGTTCCAACTTACCCTGAGTGTCTCCCTCAGCGTTTCCACTTCCTCGACCAGCTCATCTTTCTGTGTTATCAAAAGCCTGAGCAGCTCTGACAGATGAGTCGAATAAAGAGAGATAGATTTAAAAGTCTGACAACTGCAATGAGGAAAGGTAATTCATTAATTATTTACTTCATAAAAAGGATTAACTAATAACTAATAATATGAATGTATGCTCTGTTACATTTTGCCATCCCAGGGAGCAAGTATGGCAGGGCCCTGGCACTGGTATACGTGTAGCTTTTATTAATATTATTAGCTTTACATGTCTTTACAAAGTCAAAATGTCTCTTGTGAGAACAGTTTTGATTTTATAGTGAAGGAGTTGCCAGTTAAAGGTCCGGTGTGCAAGATTTAGGAGGATCTATTGGCAGAAATGGAATAAAATATTCACAGGTATGTTTTCATTAGTGTATAATCACCTGCATATAGCAATTGTGGTTTTGTTACCTTAGAATGAGCCGTTTTTATCTACAGAGGGAGTGGGTCCTCTTCAACAGAGTCTGCCATGTTTCTACCGTTGCCCAGAGCAGAGAAACCAAACACTAACTCTAGATAGGCATATTCAGTTGGTTGCAATCTGAAACTTCACCGCTAGATGTCACAAAATCCTACACACTGGTCCTATAAATCATGAAAAGGCTTTTTTTGTGCTTAAAAGACGGACTCCACTGATTTTGCAGAAGTTGTTCAGTTTACTTTTCATGGCGAGTACTGCTCACCTTGTGAGTTACTTCTGTGGCTCTGGAGAAGCTTTCTACTACAAGTATTTACCAGAAAGCTTGAATTACCAAAAGGAGGCCTGGAGTTGGAAAGACACACAGGCAATTACCAGGCTAGGGTGGTATATTAAAAGATAATGACTTGCATTATGGGAAATGTGGGATTCAGTGTTTCTGGAGCTTGATCCCCATTAGTGTCTCCGGCTTCTGCTCTTTCAGTGGTTACCATTCGTTCTTTAATTAGTCTCTTGCAAGCAGATACTAAAATCAGTCAAGTACCTCTTTAAAGGTTTCTCCTACCTTACCCAGATATGTCATCTATATGCCTAATTAATCTGAAAACACTTTAAGTAAGTAATTTTGCAGATTCTCCTGTTCTCCAACAGAGATCAATAACAAGAGGACCTACCTACTGCTCCTGTGGTAACATCAGCGTTGGGGCTCAGGCCTAAAGAGGTCCTGTAGTGCTCCATCAGACTGAGTAAAACCAGGGTCATCTCCTCTCCGGCTCTCTCTGCTGCAGCCTGCGGCTCCAGTCCACTATCGCGCTCCTGCCAGCTCTGCTCTGAAGGCGACTCTCTGGACAGGGGCAGAGACATCGGGCTGCCCGGGGTGCTCGCTTCCTTCCTGTGCCTCGCTGCTGCATCGCTCACGTTCGTCTCTGAGCTGGTGACACGGTCTACACTTATCACAGCCCATTCTGAGGGAGTGGACAGTTTCTGTGTCCAGTCTGGAACTGGAGAGGTGGTGCAGGGGGTGGCGCTGCCGGCTGGTGATGGCGTCTGTGTCTTATTAGAGGACGCTGCAGAGGATAAGGCCATGGCAGTCAGCTCTGCCTCTGAGGGCGTGGTAGGAGGCGTGTGGAAAAAATCTAAAGGAGAACCTGAGAGGGGGGATAAAATTGTAAAACAGATGGGGAGCTAAAGGAAGACAACATCAGAGAGAGAAAACTGTACAGAGCCTTAAAATAAATCTGATATAAGTTAAAAAAGTGTGCTGAATGCAAAGCTCCCCCTCTTCTTTTCCTCGATGCAGATGTCAGCACTCACTGCCCGCTCCCTTATTTACTGTCCTAGGCTGACTGATGCAGCAAAAAGCTTCTCCTGCCAGTGTCTTGGCAGGCAAACACTCACACGCTGTTCCCCCATGTGGCAAGATCCAGGAAGAGAGGTGATTTTACCCTGATCTACTATCTAACGGCTGCTCTCACTGCTACCACAAAGCAATTACATCCATCATCGATGCTGCTAGCATTCTGCATAAACCAAAAAATAAACACATTTTCATTGATTTTTTTTTAGCAGTTAAGTTTGGTTTCTGTCTAAAATGTCACCTGTCACTGAAGAATTACGTGATTTGCTGTTTATGAGGTGCATTGGCTGATTTTGGCAACACGGATCTCCACCTGCTTTGACTCAGATCTTTTTATGCTCCTTCCTCCTCCTTGCCCTTGTGCTGTAGTGCAGGATTCTGCAGACTCATCATTTCCCTGGCAGCAGCATGATGTAGTCTGCTACGGCAGGGGAGCTATTCTCACCCTCTAGCCTGAAACTACTTCCTGCATACTGACAGCCAAGAGAGGGGAACCAGGAGCAGCATTTTAAAACAGCTGTAAGTGAGAATTAAACAGAGCGGGCAGCTGAACGTCTTCAGTTAGAAAACAAGATGTGCGAGGCCGCAGAGGACCAGTTTCAAGCATTTGTTGAGCCAAATGACAGCTGGCTTTGAAGCTGAAGGATACTGAACGAGAATGTTCTTCCTCTGAATCCTCTGGGATACAGTTTGTATTTCACTGCGACGTTCTGATTAATTACTTCCCCTGTGCCAGGAGAGTGTTTCTGTGATCGTACAGGAGCTGACACCAGACTTTAATTTAGACAAACGGGGTACAATCAGGGTGTCAATCAGTGGAAATGTGACGTTCATCTTACAGCAGCCCCAATTTATGATTTAGTCTGATATATTTACAGAGAAATCTGTAAATATAAGATTTTGGCTTTCTTATATCAGCGTGATTTGGGTCAAATAAAAAGATATGTGAATCGTCTCGGAATTGGGGGGATGTAAAGAAAAATCATGTTAAAGCTATTTGCTATTCTAACTGAAAATAAACTTGTTCAGACAGTAATCATATGAAGCTCTCAGTTCTGTGTTCATTCGTATTCTGAATTGTTATTATTTTGTAATGCAGAAGATCGTACGTCACGTTCAGAAGACATTTGTTTTTGTTGTTGTTTTGAGTGCAAACCAGCTCATTTTCCACATAAAGTTTTGGACACACACTGAAATATAGAGCATGTGGCACTTCCTGTTGCAGAACCAGGAAAGATAATAGTTTAAAGATCATGTGTAGAATCAGCAGAAGAAAAGTGTTAGTTCAAGCATGTTTAAGAAACAACTTCAAAACGATAGTATTCTCAATCACCTTTGAGGAGAGCAACAAATAAATGAACAGAAATAATTAAAAAATAAAATAAAATCAGCCAGTTTCCAAAGTGTTTTAAAACAAAACCATTGTTTGTGTCATTTGGGTCTTTGTCCTTTAGGTACCTGTAGTGCCATGGCTGTCTTTGCCAGTGTGGTTACCCATGATCCAGCAGGGGTGGGTATGTGGACAGGCTGCCCAGTGTCCTTCAATGCGTCCTCTGTTTTGTAAGGCCCCTCTGCTGTCTGGACAGGAGGGAGTAAATGTAAATCTTTTATGAGTGTGACTCATCGCTGAACTCTTGGTCACCAGAATAAAATGATTAAAACATGTCAAGAAAAGAGCCTCTGAAGACCTTCGCTCTGGTTTACTGCTTCTAAGCTTGAAGGTGGGAGCCAGAACATCTTCCCCTAACATAACAATGGGGTTCTTTAAGATTATGGTTTCTTATCTAACATTACAACTGCAACATACTACTACCAACTGTAACATACTACTACCATCTGTAACATACTACTACCAGCTGCTCTTGGATGGTACAGGAGTCACTGTGTCAGGTGTGTCATCTACCTGCAGTTCTTGTTGACTAGCTCACAACAGCATAACTTGACATAAAGTAACATAAAAAGGTCTTAAAAAAAAAAAAAGAGCCACAAATGTGTTAATAACATCCTTTCTGACAACGTATACACAGCTTCATCTGCAGTGCTGTGTAACGCTTTGAATAATTGACCAAACTCCATTGAATAATCATGACATTTAAGGTTGTCATGTCTATTAATTAAAGACACATACATTAAATGTCACAACTAACCTCAGTAACACGTTGGTGGTATCTTTAGGGGAAATTCGGCACATACATGATTTTATATGAAGCACTAAATTTCAAAATAATTTCATTTTTTTCCCAACAGAATCAGCTGCTGACTACTGGCCTGGAGTATTGTAGGATTAAGCTACCAGGAGAACTAACTCTAAAACCAGAAATATTATTAAATCAAGCAGTTGCTCAGTCGATTGTAAACCATTGTAAACGAGTCATTTATACCTATTTGTATAATGTCTAAAAGAAACTGCGGTGCTACATTAGTCCCGCGTCCAAGGAGCTGCGCCACACTAAACTGTCCGGTTGGTGAATGAAGTTTGGAGTCACGTTTTCCCCCAAAATAAGCCGGGGCGGGTGGTATTTATTTATTTGTGTGTTAAACTATTCTAGGTGTGACCAACCACCGACACTACACACACACACACACACACACACACACACACACACACACACACACACACCGGTTTCATTCATCCTACCTGCTCAGCCTGCCAGCTGGACGCCCTCCAGGTTGGGTCCCCGGCTGTCCGTCCAGCGGGCTTCTTCTCTGGGTGTCTCGACCTCCCACCGTCGGGGGGTATATCTGAGCACCGTCTCCCCAAAGAAAAATCACCGGAGTACACTGTTCCTGTCCGCGTTGCTGACATTCATGTTTCCCCGATATCCCATATTCACCATGCAGCTATAGAGAGGCGGACAGCATCTCTAACTTGGGTCCAATATCCCCTCAATAACTCTGCTTCGCCTTTAAATCCAATGCGACAAAAAGCAGAGAAGGAGGCAGAAACAAATCGGTTGCGCAGCAGCTGCACGTTGCATGGACGACATGAGTGTTGTCAGTGGCATAATTTTAATGTTTGGGAATAATGTTTTTCACACAAAGTAACGAGTCAAAAAGACTGAATAATGTGTTCAGTCTGTTGAATTAAAACACCGCTGCTGCTGTTAGAGGAAGCGGTCACACCAGCTGGAGGTTAATTATCTTTAAATGCAGGTGTGCTGGTGTTGGCACGCGGCAGGTAACAGGTTACAGCTTCACGCGGTCCGGATTACGTCACGAAGCATCTGTCATAGCTCTAAAGATATATATGCTTTTTTTTTTTTTGCTGAATCAGGTCCAAAAGCTGTGATTTCCAAGTGTCAGTGAAGAGGTTCCAGTGGATCCACCTGAATGATCAAAACACCTCTGACTGCACAAAATACTGGATCAAAGCAAAGTCACTGTATTATTAGTATATGAGCAGTGGTGTAGTGCAGTGGAGTATATATATATATATATATATATATATATATATATATATATATATATATGTCAGCATTGGGTAAACACACTTTTTAATCCCCTCTGATGTGTGTTTTCTAGGATGGCAGAGGCATGACACAGCTGTAAGTAAGGAAGGAATAAGGCATATTTAAAGCTGAAATGTCTCACCCTGTAGCCTTCGGGCTGGTATTGATTCTTCTGTGGTTGAGTTCATAATGTTCCTCACTGCCTTTAGTCAAGCAGCCGAAGTTAAGTGACAATGTGAAAATACCATACTGGCCTATCTTTGTTAAATATGCAGTAGCAGTCTTTCATGTTTACATTGTTTATAACAGAGGGAGTTGATCCTTTGCATATATTCACTTCCACAGGCACAACTACACCACCGTATACAACAACTATATACTAAACAATGCACTTGTGTTATTTGTCCTCACAGGCTGAAGAACTGGACTAAGACTAACAGATATCATCTCTGTTTTCTATTTATACACAACCATAATTAATATAGGTGAAGTATGAAGAAGATTTCATCATAAAATGTCATAATGATACTTTAAATAGAAATCCAGCCGCAAAATGAAACAAGCAAATATACCAAACACAAGAGAGTCATGGTAGTCTGTATCCAGATGAGAAAACCAATGAGCCTTTAACTGTATCAGTGGTTCCCAAACCTTTTCCTTAAGGGACCCCTTTCTATCATTGAATAAACTGACAACCTGAATAAGTGATATATTTTATTTAACATTTCATTATGTTTAATGAATAACAGTAACAGTACAGAACAACTGATAAACTGCACCATGAACACACATAGTTTATACAACAAGGGATTTGGAGGAATGTGAATACTACATAATTGCATTTCTCTGTATGTATTTTTTATGTTTAACAATTATGATTAAAATGCTTCTGATTCAGTGTTTCCTTCTCCCTGACGATTGGCCATTGTTCTATTAGCTCTGTTTTAACTGCTTTCTAATGCAGGATGAGGCTGTTGAGCAGAGACTTTTCTTACACCTCTTTAAGAAGAACTATGAAGTTTTAGCGACCCCTAGTGGTGTTCCCACTGTACTACACCCCTGTAGGGTACTCACACAGGGGCCTCACTTTGCACAATGCAAGCCTTAACCCTCTTATTTATTCCTCAGATCTGATGTTTTTTGTTCGGTTGTTCACATTATTTGTTAAATGTGGCTCATATGATCCTGAAGTGACCCACAGGACGAATGTAGAGAGTAATGTAGTCAAATGGATTCTGATATGTCACCGAGGTCACAAAGTGAAACATCAGAGTTGTGACTGATCTGGACCACATGTGAACTATCTGGGGAGATTGTAATGTATGTTGCCAAGAGAGCACATTGAAGGTTTTATCTAGGTATGATCATATTCTGACAAATAGAATTTAAATATAAATACGTTAAATTGGTGCAGTGAAAATGACTTTTGTTATTATTATTATTGTTGATGTTGTTGTTATTGAGTGTTTCAGGACCATGGACAGAGCACAATGAAGAAGATTGTCTCTGGCGCCCTCCAGTGACCAAACTCAGTACTGACAGGAATAATGAAAGAGGCAATAATATTTGGATTTATTTATATTTATTTATTTATTTATAAGTCTGTTCTGGGTATTATTTCTGTAAAATACAAGAACTATTAATTAGTAATTCACAAAGAACAAGATAAAAAAAATCAAGATAGATATAAGATATAATTATATATATATATATAATATCAAACAGTTGGTTGAAGTAACTTCTTTGAAGCCTGAGGTAAGTATGATGTGTGGGACTTCTCTCTCTTTTATCATGTACAATGTTTGTCTATTGTCTGAGTTGTTTGTTGTTAAAAGGAGGAATTTCTTGTCTTTTACTGCAAACCAAATCTGTGTACAGGTACAAATAAAGTCACCTAACCTCAGCAGGTCTGCAGGGAGTACAGTACACCAGAACATAAAAATCACAACTTCCTGTGAGTTTCATAAGCTTCATGCAGTGTTTTAGGGACATATTTTCCCCTTTTATGCAAAATATATTTGCTGTGTCTCATATTTTAGATTTTATTTCTTTTACCTTCAAGACAGGTATCATTCTTCTTACATTTAATTAAAATCTACTTGACTTTGATTTGATTGAGGCACCATAACAGTGTGTGTCTGTGTTTAATTGTTTTCTAATGTTATATTATCAGTGTTTGGTAATGTTGTAACTGCAGGCTGATTTGCACAATGAGAAGTCTGTTTGTTTCTGCAGTGTGAGCAAAGGTCAAGAGAGTTTTCAGCTTCTGGCTGTTTTATGGACTGTGCCCACATGATTTCTCAGTGATCTAAACACCACACCATGATGCAAAGTCAGTTTCTCGCTCACTTTTATTTTGTGCTGGATGAATGTGCTGATATTTATATGTTGATGTTCGCCTATAGATTTGTTTCTATAATGGTTAGTAGATAGTAGATAGAGGTGTGATGGTTTTTAGTGACTGGGGATTGCTTCGTTTGTACCTGCCTTCATTTTGTGCATGGTCCTTGTTTAAAAAAGACTAATAACTTTCCAAACTGAATTTAACATTTAAAAAACAAAGCTAGTTCCTTTTTTGTGTGTTCATAACCATTAAAACTGGGGAGTCTTTGGCTCTGAGTTCTGGGCTGATGTCTCTGTGAAGTGGCTGCAAGTAAAAGACAAGAAGCAGGCACAGTATGTGTAGGTGGAGACTGACCGTGAAGGTGCAGCACAGGTGGATGTCAAGTACGAGGAGCTTTCTTTTGAGGAAATATACGCTGAGCTTGTGCTTTGCCAGTTCACTGCTGGTGCCAAACCCCCACAGGAGCTGCCCAGGGACACAGCAGTCAGACCAACGCTGGCCTGTCATGAAGCTCAGCCGGAGGAAAGTGGTTTGCCCGAGGTCGCTTCAACAGAAGTTGTTGGAGGACAGCAGAGTGTTTTTCATCCATTCACACTTATTTCACTAACATCTTCACTGGATATGTTTCATTTCATATATTAATCATCAGGCTATAAAAGGAAAGTCAGTCTCTGTATTTTATTTCATAATAATTGTAAAATGTTACAATTGTTTTAATTTTTTTTTCCTTTTACGTTGTGGATCCAATTTTTATTGACTTTATTGTAATTTTATGAAAATGATGTTACTGTTATGTTAGGGCTACTATTTTTTCTCTGTTTTTCAAGTTTAGCTCATGTATGTGGCTCTGAAATAAGACAACACTGGTACATGTATATTCATATAATATTCAATGAATGTGGTTTATTAAAACAGCAAACACAAATTGAATAAAGCATTTTGTGTTTGGTTTTCACTATAAAAGCCATACATTACTCTCCTATAAATCATCTGTTTAAGTTTATATGTTGGGGGTGTTGGAGAAGTTACATGTAACGTTGTTTCTGTTTGTGTCAGTACAAGTAGGGCACTGTAGGTGCAGACTTTGTGAAAATGGCGTCTGATATCGGCTGCCTTCACAAGAGGAGCTGTGCTATCAGTGACCACAACAACATCAGTGCATTATAATAATTCATCTCCAGAGAATGAAGTCCGCCGCCGCATCGGGACTTGCGTCGGACATGAAAACCCCGTCGAGCCGCCGTCATCATGGGAAACTACGGCTGTGCTGCAGATGTTTCTAACGGACAAGGCAATGAACATCTTCACGGCTACCAGGGGACATGATCGCTTTTCACTTATCCATCGCCCGTGTACTATCGAGGAAGAAGTGACCCTCTCTGAGGAGGAAGATGTCAGCGTTGAAAAAGGTAGGAAGGACGCGGTCGTGTTTGTGCATGAGCCGAGCCTGCAGGCTGAGGGCTTGTTGTTGTTATTGACTGATAGACTATCAATAAGTGCAACCCCACAGGAGGTCTCATTGGGGGATTTTTTTTTACTTGCATCTCGCACCAGGTGTGAAAGTGCCAGAAGTTGTGCGGAGCATGAATGAGTCACTCACTGAATGCTTCTTTTGCACTTGTCAGGGTTGTTTTCCTGCACCCACCAATCAATGGCACTGAATGATGCATGATGTGTGGGTGAGAATTTGGGAGGTTGGGAGGAGGTAGAGGAGGAGGAGGAGGAGGAAGGAGGGAGAGTGTTTTTTTTTCTCTCCATTGGGAGTGGAGGAGACCCACAGCTTCTCCCTCAAGTTTCTTCTCTCTGTAAATGCCCACATGTTCCCATTGTGCTGCTCCCCTCCAGTCAGTCAATGTGTGCGTGTTTGTGTTTGTGTGTGTGTGTGTGTGTGTGTGTGTGTTTGTGTGTGTGCTTCGAGTGACTCAGCTGTATTGTACTATATCTGTCATCCATCTTTTCATCTGTCACAGGTGTTACCATGGCTACTACAGACTCACTGCTGTCTTTTCTTTGAGAAGGACTCAGGTAAGAGGTGGGAGGGGTGATTAAGTCAAACATAATGAGATGTCGTTCACGCTAATAGGCAGCTTCTGTTTTTTTTTTTTTTTTTTTTTTTTTTTTTTTACACATTGTAATATGGCTTAATAGTAGCAGGGATCTGAAGGAATGACTGTGTTAGTGGTGAAGGCTTACTTGTTCTTTTCAAGCGATGAGTTTTAGGAGGAGGATCAGACAGAATTCTGGCCTGCTGAACATGTTTGCGTAGTTGGTGTTTCACTAAGTTTTCACTCGTGGTATTAAATCCAGCTGTCTTACGAAGTCTTGGAGGCAGAGAAAATGCTCAAGACTTCGGAGATCACAGCATCAAACAGGTGAATCTTTCCAAACCAGAACTCAATGTACATCTCCAGCTGATAATTTACCAACTCGATGTTCTATTCTGTATTAAGATTTATTAAAGAGTCAAACAGTTGATCCTAAATTGCAGACTTCTCTAGATCTTTAAAGGTCCAGTGTGGAGGATTTAATGGCATCTGGTGGTGTAATTGCAGAGAGCAGCTCTGTTGCTTCACCCTCCCTTTGCAACCGTGTAGGAGAAACTACAGTAGCTGCAAAAAAAAAAAAAAAAACCCAAAAACCACACCCCTATCTGCAGCCAGCATTCGGTTTGTTCCTTCTGTGCTTCTGTAGAAACATGGCGGTTCAACATGGCGGACTCCACGGAAGGCGACACGCTGCGTCTTTAGATAAAAACAGCTCATTCTAAGGTAACAAAAACACGATTCCTATATGATGAGGTGATTATACACTGATTAAAACATACCTATGATTATTATTTTCCATTTCTGACTATAAATCCTCCTGAATGTTTCAATAATACAAATATATGTTCCCATATTATAGTACTAAATAAAAACATTAACACCAGCAGAGTCCAGAATAATTCCCTATTAAAAATATACATAAAACCTTTGTATAAGCTTCAGTGATATCAGAATATATATATATATATGTATATATATATATATATATATATATATAACATAACCGTTTATACTAAATGTGTGTTAATCTACAGCTTATTTCTGACTGAAAGCCACTGGTTTTGTTTTTTCATGAGCTTTCTTTGACAATAAGAAAAATATAGAACATTCCCAGCTTTATACTTGTTTCAAACTGTAACTTAAACCTGCATTCATTTATTTTTTACACTTGGGGGCAGCACAACAAACAGTAAACACAACATCGGCACATGGTCAACATTGTTACCTATTTACACATCTGGCAGACATTAAAAACATTGGCGTTCCTTTTTAGTCGTGTTTGAGTCCAATATTTATTCTTGTTTTAGTTTTTCTCTCCATCAACTCCTGAGGGAAATATCTGGTTCTTTAGTTGCCAACTCCACTATGTCGACCAGCTGCTAACTTTGCCATCGGTTGCTGTTCAGGAAGTGTACAACGGGTCTGTCAGAGTGTTTTTCACTGTAAACCACTGCCTATTGAGGCTGGAAACTACACTGATAATGGCAGTCAATCACAAGCAAAACAGTAAATTTGCAGCTTTACAGTTGGCCTAGTGCAGGATGGGAAAGGTTTGAGCCTATACCAAGACCTTTAAAAAGAACAGGTAAAGTCAATCCCACATCGTGTGGCTGTTGTGATGTGTGGAGAATCTGGGCATAGAGCATGAAGGAGATGGTCTTTAATTAGTTAAACTCTGCACGACTCCTTCTCTCCGCAGAGGTCAGAGCACTGAGAACCATCCAAGGAAAAAGCGCTGCAGGGGTCCGCTGCCTTTCTCTTGGCATTTTTTGGGCATTGTAGATGATCAAATGCTGGCTCACATCAGCACAAACCTCAGATACTATCACTATCACGGTGATGCTTTTGAAGCCAAATGCCAAGACAGAATCATGAAAGAGTAATCTCTTAAAATTTTAGTTTTGTGAATTATAATTACGTGGTTATAAATACCACACACTGACACAAAAAGTATTCTCACGATTCCCCACGACTTGTTGGTGTATAACTCACAAATGAAACAACATTTTGAGGTCAGGTTAGACTAATTTTACACTGAGGCTTCACCTTTTTGTTGTGCTCGTTATTTATCTCAGGTACATTTTGCATATTTAGCCCAACACTAATTGTTAGCTCGCATCTGCATTATTGCAGCGTCGTGCTAAATTATAACACCACCGTTTGATAAAGATTGTGGGATCTCAAACAATCATATATGTGTTAATCGCACTCTGTAAAAGTCTTTCTAAGCGTTGCAAATGGGCTGACGGTGGAGTTTCAGCACAAGCACACATCAGAGATTATCTGCGAGTTAATCGTGTGTAGGGTCCTCCTGTGCTTTTACAGGCTTTGTCAGCACGGAGGCTCCAGATGAAATGAATGTGGATACGGGAACATCTCTACTTGTTTGATGTGCGTAACCTAAAGAGTTGTTCCGAGTTTTTTTTTTCCTTTATCAGCCATCCACAGAACTTGCTCTTGATCATCCCTTACTCATCATTTTCTCAAGGTTGAGGCAGAATGTTAATGACTGTGTGGACTTTAAGCAATATAAAGCCAGCAGGACAAGCAGCAGGAGAAATGATGCATTTTATGACTTTTTGTGCAAACTTTCGCACGAAAAGCTTTTAAAATGTAAAGATAACGGGTTGTTTCTATGGTTTAATGTAGAATAGGATTATGGCACAAATGTGCACATCTTTGACTTTTCTTAAAGCACTTCACATCAGTGTTACACCACTAGGTGGGACTGCTTACTTGCTAACATATCAAAAGGCTGCTATGACATACTGTACCTACTGAAAGAACTGGCCATTTCAGAATCCACTACAGACTGTAGACTTTTCATAGTTATACGCAAACTATCATAATCATTTCAGTACAGTAGCAGCTCTGTACTGTGCTCTACATTATTCATGATGGTGATGATAGAAATAGCTACCAGAGAAGTATTATTTACACTATAAAATGAAATATCTTCCCATTTTCATTTAAGGATTATGCTCTCAGAATGAAAGTTCTTGGTGAGAATGAGCTGCTGTACACTTTTTTGATGGCTTTTACCTGTCTATACTATATTCCTGTGAAAGCTCCTAGTGAGGGATCATTTTAAATATGTGGAGCATTGGTCTTTATATTTAAATCATATCTCACGCACTTTGTTGCATGTAAGGCCTCCCTAGTTGCTAGATCTTTGGGACAGAAGTTGACAAAATAACAGTAGAACATGTACACGTACACTATACATGGTGGAATAACAGAAAAGCAGCAGTTCTTTAAGGTGTAGGTGTGCTGGTTGGAGAGACTGTGGAAAACATTTGGGACATTAGCTTGAAAGGTTTTTGAAAAGTTTTTAAAGAAAACTGTTTGTTTTTTAGTGCAGACACATTCTTTGATTGCAGCATTGTCTACACACTTAATAACTGAGTATCACAGATCCATCACGACCATTTAACAGTGGGGTTGAGAACCTTTGTCTCTTTCCAAACATTCACCTGAAAATTACTCATCAGATGTCAGATATCCCACTTATTGAGGCTTGTGAGAGCTTACACACACAAGGTTTCGCATCTGTGTGGGTTATCTTTGTGTTTCCTTATTCAAGCGGTCCTTCTTTTCTATCTGCATCAGCTATTGCTGATATGTCTTTTTCATCTAGTGAAGGAGCAGTCATATTTCTCTTGAGTAGCACCTCTACTCCGTCAGAATACCAATAAGTCTTACGTTAGGCCTGAAATCAATACGATCCATTCCAAATCTGTATTTATTCCTCTCTCAGATTGTCTCTCAACCTGAAAAGCTCTGCGGTGCTGTAGGACAGAGAGGAGGCTTGGTGAAGGAGGGAGGACGTGAGGGGAATGTGAGGGCGGTCGGACTTGCAGATCAAGTGTTCTGCTGGTTGGTGGAATTTGTGGTTCTAGATTTGGATGAGAGGTCGCCTCGGGACAGAGAAAGACAGGGAAACGTATTCAATTCTCATGATGTAATTCGCTTGGATCACCGCAGTGTTTACCTGAAGTGAGAGCATCCCTTTTGGCGTGCTTCGCTATGCATCCTGTTGTTCAGCTTTGTGTAACTTTCTACTTTTTTTTTTGTTGAGGGGTGGGTTGGATTGTATGCCATTTAAACATCAGCACATGGTTTGAGAAACGTGTCTGATCTCGGTGACGTCAGCAGGGTCCCAACAAGACCAGGAAAGACTCCCTCCCTTTTTTTTTTCCGGTCGAAGGAGTGATGTCATCTCAGGGAGAGCGTGAGGTTGGCTGAGGCTTTATCGAGCTTGACGTTTCAACACCAAGACAACCAGACGTATGACCACATGCACCAGTCAGTGCAAGGACACAGACCAGGAAAAGTGAGCGCCAAATAACATGGGAACACGTCTGTGACTTGTTATAAACCCCCTGAGAGGGAAAAGGAGTGTGAGGCAAAGGGAACACAGAGAGCCAGAGATGCAGATAGAAACCTAGAGGGGGAAGAGGGACAGCATGAGTGTGCATGCTGATGGGGATAGGAACGTGTGGAGTTACAGAGCTGCAGAATCCTGAATCCAGCAGATGGAGACTCCGTGTCCTTGTTTTGCGGTGATCTGTGGGAGCAACATGCAGCTCGAGCCGCTGCCTCGCACTGCTGCAGTGGAGGAGTAAATGCGGAGCCCAACACTGCTCCAGGTGATCCACAGCAGCCCAGCCCGGCAGACTGCTCCCTCCTTAGCCTTCCCCCCTCCTCCTCCTCCTCCTCCTCCTCCTCTTCCTCCTCCTTCTCCTCCTCCTCCTCCTCCTCCTCCTCTTCCTCCTCCACCACCTCCTCCTCTTCCTCCTCTGTCAGTGCTCCATTCCTCTGAGGGCTTTGAAAAAAAGAACAAGAAAGGAACAGAAAAACGGAGGAGAAATCCTGCTTTCCCCCTCCGTTCTCAGATGTGAAACACCTCTGCATGACTGTCCACCGCTTCCCTGTCATCGTGTGAAGACACGCCGCATATGTGCTCCAATGTCTCCGGAACATAGACTCGCTGCAAGGTAAGGAGACTTGGACTCATCCACAAAAATCTCTCTAGTCTTTTCTTTCTTATTGGCTTTTTTTTCTTGAGACATTGTCAGTGGAACAGTTACAGCCTTGTGTGTGTGTGTGTGTGTGTGTGTGTGTGTGTGTGAATTTAACAGGTAGATGAGAAGTTGCCACAGCAGAATTAGGTAATTAGTATTCCTTGCAGTGGTCAAAAATTTATTAAAAAAAACGCAAAATCTTTGTCGGATATGACAAAATAAATCTGTTTCAGTTTTGGAATAAAAAGCATCTCCTCTCCCCCTCAATCACAGCGATCTGTGCAGGTGTGTATGTGTGTGTGTGTGTGTGTGTGTGTGTGTGTGTGTGTGTGTGTGTTCATATGTATGTGTGTGTAACAGAATCCAGCAGGGTGGGAGGGATTGCTCCTCAACCAGCCTTCTCGATGGGCAACAAGGGGATTTTCATCCTGACAGTGTGGCCAAACAGCTTTCCATCGATCTTCTTATGGCCACTAACGTCGGCAGAATCTCTGGCTTAAATATAACTGACAGGCTGTTTTGTCTTTAACGGTACCAATAGTTAATCATTATGTAATAAATTTCATTGATTCCGTTTGGTTGTAAAGGGGGAGAGAAAAAAACCCTCTCTTCTTGACAATTTATGTGTTTGTCTTAATGCTTCATTTGTCACAGATAGAGGGAATTCAGGATGAAGAGAGGAAGAGGGGGAGATAAGGATAATGGCAGCAGATAGATGGGCGAATGGGGAATGGGCAATGGTGGTGGTGGTGGGGGGGGTTGTAGAACTTACTCCATCACTCAGAAACCTGCTAGCCAACAGCTGATTACTGCGATCCCTCTCAAATCCTTCAATCTCTCAACCACATGTTAGGATGTTCGGTCTGAAGCCTCGAAGCCTGAACCTGTAAGTGACCTGATGAGGGGTTCATCACTTTCACCTTTTATACACACACACACACACAAAACACACACACACACACACACACACACACACACACCCTTTCTAATGCCATAATAAGAGATGGAGACTAGCTGGTGCTGCGGCGATATCCAAATCCTGCATTCTGCTGTTTGACAGGGCTTTTCTATATATATATATATATATGTGTGTGTGTGTGTGTGTGTGTTTGTGTGTGTGTGTGTGTGTGTGTTTGTGTGTTTGAAACCTTTGACAGTGTCTTGCACTCAGTTAAGCTCTTGTATCTGTTTGCCCAGAAAGCACAGATGTGTTGGTCATGACCTGAAAAAAAAAAAAAAAGAACAAGATAAAACAGTTTTCAGACGTTTGCACTCATTCATGTTTGCATACAGAACAGATCGCAGGCCAGGCTCTTTTATAACTGTCCTGTGATATGCAGCAGAGGTTTGACAGATACTCTTTATCATTGGGAGCATTAATCCTTGTGTCTTGACACACACACACACACACACACACACACACTCACACACACACACAGACACACACACAAACTGTACATACAGCGTTTGTCCTTGATACAAGCTCCATCTCTTAATACACTGTACTTACAGTGGGCTAAAGGCACACCTATATGCAGCCGTACAGGCACACTCGGACAGCTGTGTGGACCGAATCAGGCTGCTTTCCTGTGTAGCAAGTTGTCTGGTGGAGGCGGTCATTTGTCATGTGTGGCATTAGGATGCAGAAGACGATCTCTGAGGAGCAGAGCTTCAGCTCCTCGCATCTCCCAGGCGGCTTTTTACTGCTCTGATTCTCCAGCAGATACACTGGCGTCTTGAAACGCCTCATTTAGCCAGTTCCCTGCAAAAAAAAGCAGGCAAGAAAAAGAGTGGAAAGCCCCGCTAGCAGCCCCTAGAGGGAGCGATGTTTATTACACACAACAATATGGAAATGTTGGGCGAAATGGATTTTGGGAAGTATGCTAATTTGCTTAGAGTCAGAAGAGGAGACTCGTAATCTCTTTTCTGTCTGTACAATAAATATGTAGCTGGAGCCAGCAGCCGGTTAGCTTAGCTTAGGATAAAGGCAGGAACCAAATGTAAAAACAACGGGCCGTTCCCTGGGGGCTTTATGTGCTGGACTATTTATTGGCTAGGACCAGTAACTTCTAGTCTTTGCTGGTTGCTTAGCAACACTTTGGTTTTTGTACAGATTAAACAAACAATATGAGATGTTAATTAGTGAGCTTTAGAGGAGCTGGTAGGCAGATTCTGTTACCTAACAGAGCGAGGTTAGCTGTTTCCAACCATTTCTTTCAACTTTAAAGGGGGTTTATCCCTTTGGGAGCATGAATGTGTTTATCAAATTTCAAGGTAATCTGCGTGTTACATTATGAGATATCCTTAATTGATATATTTTTTCAGATTTATCCTCTGCAGCACATTAATATCGACTGTAAATGTCAAGGAAATGTAGTGATTGAATGTTGAGATACTTTTCAGTGTCCTGTATAATTATGAAAGTGTCGGTCAAGGGGACATTTTGACCCAAGGGTGGTGCTAAACCACGAGTAATGTTATCACCAGAATCATTAGGAGTCGTCCTCTGAGGACCATGAAACCAAATTCGGCTATTTGGCCAGTAATGTTAGATATTGAGATCTGGACCCAACAGCTGGACAGACCAATGGTTCAACCAACCTGTAGGACTGATGGTTGATGGTTGATGGTTGTTCAGTTTGGATGAAACCTCCTCTAATTGTTGGAGATTATTTTATGTTTCATGTTCCAAGATCTCTGTCAGATGTTTGCTTATTGTGTCCTGTTTCAGGAAAGGGCTACTCAGTCATTTGACACAATTTAGAAACCAGATCATTTGTTTAAATACCCTCTCAGTTTTACTCACAGTGAGAGAGAGTGAGAGAGAGAGTGTGTGTGTTTGCTTTTAGGATTAAAGCTGCTGTACGGTCTTGGTGTTTATGGCATCTTTTCTCTTTTGTTTTGCTGTGGGGGTTTGGAGGTCATGATGGAACGATTAACCAGCCATTAACTGACGAGCTGATTCATTGCTGGGTGCAGAGCAGGACAGCAATAGAAATACCAGTGAGTTCTGCTGAATTCAAAGCGATTTATACAGCTTCTATGTCGTCTGATTATGTCAATGATGTGGTGCATCCGCTGGAATGACCTCCTACTTGTATCTTCTGTTGAAGAAACTTGGTTTTCTGATGGTTAGCATGAGTTTCTTTGTCTCCTCATTCATTGTAGTGATTACTTTGTTATGTTAGCTACAGAAGTGGCGATGTAACGATAGACATTCGATGAAATTCATGATAACGGGTTCACGATACAATTTTCAAATTATGAATTATTTATTTTAAGATTCTTTTATCTTCATTAAATTTAATAATCTTATATATAATAATATATATAAACCGTTAAGTTAAGAGTGTTGATGACACCCACCTCAGGGTTCCCGACATCCTGCAATTAACTCACATTTTAATGATTCATGATTTGGTTTCTTTTAGCAGCTTACCTTATTTAGATCTCAAACTGTTACATCTTCACATCTTTTTCTCTGTCTTGTCACCAGCTTGCATCTTGCTAGTGACACCTTGGCATTTTCTCCTGCTCCGTGTCAGTATCTACAATACAAAAGGTAAAATTGACAGACATTATAATTCAGCACTTTAAAAAAAAGGTGTCTTAGCAGCTGATATTCTTTCAGGTCAAGACAAAATGACAACAGTTGTTGTTTCAGTGTTTAAAAACAAGTATGTCATTTGACTGTAAATATGAGAGTTAGCAATGCACACTTGCATATCTTCTCTGTATATATTTGCACATCACACACATGTACTTACCATCACTGAAACACTGCTGTGTGTGTGTGTGTGTGAAGTAGCACTGCAACTGGTTATTGATCTTTTTTAATTAGTTTTCACTTTTAATTATTGATCACCAGATTATTTTCTCAATTCAAGACTAATCGTTTGGAGGATAAAATGTCAGTATATTGTGAAACATTTCATTATATCTTCATAATGAAGCAGTACATTTTCACCTTTGATTTGAAGCTGGAACTACAGAATATTTGGTATTTAATAAATTACTTTATCAGATATCCTATTTTAAGCAATACTTTTCATTGTTGTATTCTCGTCTACAGTACACCCTTATTATTTTGCTGCTGCAGTGACCAAAGACCCCCACCACAGGGATCATTAAAGTTTAATCTCAGCTCTGTTATCTTAATGTTTCTCAGGCACCTGATGTTCAGCCCTGTAGCAAAAAAAACGAAGAGAAGCTGGATGGAAATAACCAGAATCCTAGTTCCCAGTTTTAATCCCTCCTAGTGGTGCTTGGTACAATACCATGTTAGGTAGCAAGAGAAGCTGTGTGGGTGTATGAGTGAGTGGAAGAGTGAATATGAGTTTGAATATAAAGAGCATTCAGAGGAGTGAGCTGGATATTGGCAACAGAAAGCACGATTGATACAATTTACAGTTTTGTACGGAGAACATGTGGAAACACGTACCCTCCTGTTCACGTTTGACCTGAGAAGATCATCTCAGGAGGTGTAGATGTGTTGTGGAGGATGCGAGACTCAGAAATGTGTTTTTGCGTGTGGTTTTGCGAGCCTGCTTTTGACAGAAAAAGCAGTGATAGCGTAAATGCTTACCACCACATTCTGTACTTAAGTTAGTGCTGGAGAGTGTCAACCTTAAATTCTCTGTTAATTTCATAGCAAAGCTTTCTCACTGTCACTCAAAAGTCTTCCCTTGCTCTACACTACACGTTGTAGCACATGACCTACCGTGAAAACCACTTCAACGGCCCAGCTATCAAATGTTTTTAGCTCTGTGGGACTGTAAGTCAGCACCAACAGCAAAGGAGTTTATTTAAATCAATCCCCTGCCTGCTTTTGTGTATTTTTATTGATTTTTTCCATCATCAACTCTTCCGACTTTAGAGTGATTTCCACTTTCCATGTCAGCTGTCGGTTTACTGTACAAATTCCAGGATTTGAAAATGGTGAACGTAAGGTGTTTGCATGAAGGATCGATCACGGGAAAGGATGAGACCTTATGAGTGTGCAAAATCTGCATTGATCAGCCCGAGGAGAGAATCTCCTGGCGAAGTCCAATAAGCTAGTTGGAGTGTATTGACTGCTTTGAGCATGAGGAAACCCCTCATCCAGGTGTATTGTGTGTGTGTGTGTGTGTGTGTGTGTGTGTGTGTGTGTGTGTGTGTGTGTGTGTTTTCTGTGAAAAATCTGTTGCAATTAATAATGGAATCAACCGCCTGGTGTGTGGTTTGGTTTGGCTTCCCTAATGAGGACTGGATTCATCCTCAGTCTCTGACAGTACGTCGAGTGGAATATGCTGCTCTCCAGCCTGTTTCCATGGAGATACTCAGGAGCTGTAGCTGTTTCCCCCCCCTTCTGCTGTACGTTCTACCAAACAGTGCTGCTTCATAAGAGGGATCTGGGCCAGGGTGTGTGTGTGTGTGTGTGTGTGTGTGTGTGAGTGAGTGGGATATAACGGTGTGTTAACAGGCACACAAACACGTATCGCGCCATTGACGGATGTGCTTATGCCATTGTGGTAGTATAAAGCTTTACGGCAGTGAATGTGCAAGTGTGTGTGTGTGTGTGTGTGTGTGTGTGTGTTTTGCAGCTCAGTATCTCCAGTAGTGTGACTGTACAGTGTGTTAGTGTGTGTCTTTGTGTTGTACTCTCTCTCCTGGTGTGTCATGCTAGTAGTAGCTGCTAATCCTGAAGCTCTGCTGTAGCGAATGTCCAAGTGTGAAGTTGTCTGTGTGTGTGTCAGAGTGTGTTACGAAGGCTGAAGTATCAGCTGTGCGTGATACTCTGAGTGGTCATTGACAGCGAGCGTGTGTGTGTGTGTGTTGTGTACATGAGATAGTGAGTCAGAGTGACTGAAAGAGTGAGATCAGGAGAGTGAGAGGGTGACAGAGGCTACGAATAGAAAGACAAAAACAGAAGGTGAAAAAACATGATTTAATGAATGCAGAAACTAAACCCTGAAGAATGTAATCTCATTGAAAAAAAACATCCTGCTGCATTCTGTGACCTACATGTGTGTAGTTACTGTAAATATATATATCCCCTTAAGGGCTGTACAGCCAGAAAACTGCACAAAAAAAAAAGCTTGTGGTTCTTGCTTACAAGGTGATAGAGGTGACAAGTGATTCCTGGTCAGACAAAGAGGCCACCACGGGGACCGAGCGGGTCGCAAATAGCAGCGAAAAAGGATCTTTCTGTCTTGGCAGAATGATGCAATGCAGACCTGAACAGAGAGTCCCTGCTGTATGAAGACCAGGGCAATCCCTCGTAGCAACAGGATATCTAATCCTGAAGCTCGGCCCTGTCAATATGCAGCTTGTATCTGTTTGAAGGGTAGATCCGCGCTTTGATTCATCGACCGTATCAGGTGGTTGTTTTCGGGTGTTACTGCCTGGTTTTGTCAGAAGGGCACCGTAATTAAGCTACGCCATGTGCAAAGTTTTCAGATGAAACTTTAATTGGTTACTCACTTAAATTGCCTGATAAAACCCAAAGATATTCAGTTCACTGTCACAGAGGGCCTAAGAAACATCTCATATTCACACAGTGGAAGCTGGAGCCAGCAATTTTTTGCCATTTTTGCTTAAAAATATTAATCAATCACAATTGTTGGTGATTGGGAGGCGCCCCAGTAGCTCAACTGGCAGAGGGTGTACTGCATACCAAGGCTGATTCCAGGGGCCTTTGCTGCATGCTGTTCCCCTTTCTCTCCCCTGCCTTCCCTGTCTCTCTCTGTGGGATACCGTTAAATACAGCAAAATGCAAAAAAAGGAACATTCAAATTAATGAATAATTTTATTTCCTCAATTACAACATGACGTATGAGCAAACTGTTTCCTAATTTACACATCCAGCAGACACGAAGCAACATTAGCATTCATTTGGAGTCGTGTTTCTGGTCTACTGGTGAACGTAAGTCCAATATTTATTCTCTTTTAGCTCTTTTTTTGGTCTCTACCAACTCCTGATGGAAGTATCTGGTTCTTTAGCTGCTAATTCACCAGGTAGTTACTAACGTGCTGCTGTTTGGTGCTGAGCATGTAATAGTGGGTTTTTAGAGCTTTTTTGCAGAAAACAACGCTATGAGAGCAGTGAGACTCAATCAAAATAGTAAAGTTGCGACCAGATAGCTAAACAATGAACCTAAGCTCACAATAAAGCTCTGTAAAGCTGAGGGGAGCTGCAGATTCAAGTGATAATTCTCTGTAGGCATCACTCTGAGCGACCCTTTTATAAAAATATTGATTATATCCACTTGAATTAATAAAAAGTGAGTGTTTAAATTATCACAGTGTGGTGAATTTCCCCAGTGTGGGATCAATAAAGTCCATCTTAATCTTAAAAGTTTGGTTGGTGGCAAGTTAAAATTAGTTTTAAGTGTGTGGGTTTAGACTTATGACCCCAAATCGCCCCCTAAAATCCTGGATGCAGTCCTGGCTACAAAACATTCTTAAACAAAAAAATAAAAGCAAATATTAGATAAAAACAGAAAATGGATATAAAAGCAAATATGTTCTTGATTTGGTCTGATTTCACATTTAAAAATTCATACCATGGGGGGGGGAATTCAGCTTTATCGACCTTTGTAGTTTTAATCGGTACGCCATCGTGCGTGAAATTGATTTGAGTGTGAGTGTGTTCTCCCTGGCAGCATCCATAGTGAACATCTCCATAGCTGATAATAGGATATACTGTGTGCAGGGTTAGCCTGTAGAGACGCTGGATGGTAGCAGTCATCTCAGTCTATCTCACTCTGGGGAGCGCTTATAGGATCAGTACGAGTCTGGGCAGGAGAGAAACTCTGTGTGTGTGTGTGTGTGTGTGTACACTAAGGTTAACATTACCACATGGGCTTGATTCCTTCGCCAGTGCCATGGTACCTGCCGTGCGTTAATAGCCAGGTTGTTCTGACTCACGCAGGGCGGCGATGCCTGCCAGGTGGTACACGTCCTCACAGGGAATTCAGAGTGCTAATACTAATGTGCTAAACCAGCGTCCAGTCAGGTAAGAGCCAGCAGGGCATAGCAGGGTGCACCGCTTAGCTGGTTTATTCAGCAGGAAGCTTGCATGCTCTCTGTCATGCTCTGTTTCTGTATCATGTATGTGAACATGGGAGCACACATGTACAGCGACAGACAGAAAGATGTCTTCAGGAAAGCACTTTTTTTTTTTGCAGGTGTTCAGTTGAAACGCCTCTAAAAAGCAGGTGTTTGTAATAAGGAAACAACAAAGTTTTGACATTTGCTTTCAATCCAAATAACTTTATCTTTAACTTCAATGATAAAGTGGAGCTTTATTCCAAGTTTCTGTCCTGCATTGACACTTAGAGCAGAGCAACCTTGCATTAACAGTGTTTTCAACTTCTTTTTTTATATCTGATTTCAAACAAAAAAAATTACTTTCCACTCATCAACCATTCTTTCAACTTTAAGATCACTTTGGCAAATCCCTAACTAGCCTCTAATCAGAAGGCTCTGCCCACTTGGAAGCAGTCTGTGTAAGAGGTTTTTACTTGACTCTAGCGGGGTGCTGGCAAACGGCACCCTCAGCCTGGCC